AAGCAATATAGTATCACAGCTTACTTCTCGGTTCTTCTCTAATGACGGATCCACAGGTGTGAGGGCCAAACAGCCAGTTACAATTATTTTGGATAACCTTTTATTGAAGGAATTAGGGATCCCAGTAAGAGGTGGAGGTCGGCCACAATTCAGACAGGACTAGGACAATTTCGGAAAAACCTCCAGTCAATCAAAGAAGAAAAAGCCCCCAAGATCTGGCTTTCAACCTGCAAAGCATATACCTATGCTGCAGACACTTGTAGCTTCATTTGTGTCCTCTAACCTTGTCTGCCTTCAAACCGACACTGTGGGTCTCTCTACATCACCGTATAAAACAATTTGTGTGTACAAGTAAAAACTGGTACTAACTCCAAGACTCACCAGTTCAGCTACACCGTACCAAACTCTGACCACATCAGCAGAGTATTTCTTACTAAGCATTTAAGACTCAAATTACACAATACTTTCCCTCCCTCTTTGAATTCCTTGATTAAAGCAACAATCATCCCCAAACACAAATGGTTCCTCATAGCCTGTGCTGCCCTGGCCCAAACTTTGGGGAAATAACCATGTTTCAGCGCTTCACACTGCGATACTCACCAGGATGCGACATCAGGACGGTGCTGTTGCCTTTGCCCAGCTTGTTGTAGATCACAGCTGCTGCCGCACCCCTCCTGGTTGCCACTTGAATTTTTTCAGCAAAACTGCAATTGCCTCTCTCAATCAGTGCTATCCACGGTGGTTTTGTGACGGTGAAGCGGGTATTTGCATCACAGGCTTCAAGATTATCAGACACAGGAATGCCCACAAGCCCCTGAGCACTAAGTAGAGGCGAATTTAATCCGTACAGTCCACATACGCAGTGCTCGGACACAGACTTGTTGCTAGTGGTGTCGAAATAGAATAAACTTAGAGAAGCACGCACAGAAAACGCTTCTGTAGTCTTAAATAGAATACTGACAACCAACAGGTGGCAGAAAAAAATGAACTTCTCCACTTGCTTCATTGCTGATTCACAAAATGCAGACGTCTACAGATATTTGCTTCTGGTGGCGACAGTCCTCGGCTCACAGTCTGCCGAGGGTTTGACGTTTCTGTTCCAACAGGAACTTGACACCACCCAGGTGAGTCCTCAAGGTGTCAGTGAACTTATCTGGAGTGGAGGCTGGGAACAGACACAAGTGACACACCTGCCTGTTGTGAAGTCCAGACACAGACTGAAGGACGTTCAGCTCTGACTTCCTGCTCCTTTCTCATGAAGAATCTTTCTCCACACCCTTCCCTCCCATTCTGCACAAATTCTAGCTCTGATAATGCTTCCTAAGGCACAGCTCGAGCCCCCTGCTCCTGTTTCAACACTAACGTCACCTTGGAGGAGCAGGTCATCTTTCATTCAATGACGTAAGCTCAGGGCTCTCGCTTCACAATGCATCTGTTATGCAAATGGCCTTGTTAGAAAGGTCAAAAGCAGAGGGAGGGAAATACAAAAAGAATTTTACCCATCTTATAGGCTAAGACAACCAAGTTGCTCCCTGCATTTCTCCTTTTAGCTTCTTTCAGTCATCAATTCTGCCAGGTCCAGCTTGTTCTGGTGTTTATAATGGACTGATTTTAATATTGATTAAAGTATGAGATATAGAATCACCAAAACTGATCACAAACTACCACTTCCAGCCCATTTTCACACTGTAGTTCACAATTTACACCGAGATGTTCAAAAGATTATCACACAATTCTCAATTTCTGGAAGCAGGCTTTTCTGGAAGTATTCTTTCTCCGAACTCAGGCTGTTGTATTCTGTAATGATTACAAATATCAACTATTGTTTTCTTATATTTGAATAGAAAAATGAAAACTGTACTAATGTAAGAACTCTGTAGTCCACAAATCATAATGTTAGAGACCTTTTTCTGTTTTTCTACAAAAGTCATGCTGCATGCAGTGATGAAAGCCAAGGGAAGCTGCAGCTGGGGGCAGACAATTTGATGGAAGCTCAACCTAGTTCTCCTGTAACGATTCTTTCTAAGAGTGAACATGAATGACTGTGGCAAGGATTTTTGGGAAACCAAAACAGCTTTCAGAAGTGAAAATGAAAACAAATCGAAATAAATAATCCAAGTTGTTTACATATATTTATTTACTTATATTCTCCAAGTTTTCAATGTTGCACTAGTTCTACATCACATTAATTAAAAAAATGATCTTACCGCTAAGATCTAACACTTACAAAGTTTTATACACATAAAAGTACCATTAGCTACAGAGTTTATCTTCCCCTGTTTTTCCTTGAAATTAGTGCTGGAAACATAAGAAACATGGAAATTTAAGATTTTACGGTACAGTTCTTCGGTTGGGTACGAATTCTACAGTTAGGGAATGTGCTCTTGTATTTTACCCTCAGCAGTGGCAATACACAGCAAGAAGGATGATTCCTATGGCATTCTGCAGGAGTAAGAATCTGTATGTTGGCTTAACACGGCAAAATCAACATGCTTTGACAGACCCAGCATGAAAAATACTTTGGTTTTGTACTTGTGTCAATAAACACCACCTGAAATAAAACAGCAAGTACTTTCTTTGCAGACGGGACCTTTGCCCCAGTGCTACAGTGCTGGTTTGGCAGGGAGGAGGGAGACAGTGGTGGAGCCATATATTAAACACTGCAAGACTTCAGAAACTGAACTTGGCATAGTAAGTTCAGTGTGACGTAAGGGATGGGGTAAGTGCTGCTGTAGAATGACCCAGAGTACTGAAATTCTGGGTCTACTGCAGGCATTGAATATTCTCTAGCTAGACACAGAGAGCCTGTGTATTTCACACTGGCACTTCGTTCTGCAAGATTAAATCTCTCTCCTTCCCAGCTTTTGCCATGAAAAATTTCAAATGACACTTCCGTAAAATAAAATTACATTCTTTAAAGTCTTACGTGTGCATTACACACACTCCACACCATTCTGGTATTTCTTTTAGAGTTAGGAATTCCTAACACGTAGGATGAAACGATTAATGCTATACGTTTAAAGTGTAGTAAGCAGTGCAAGGTGGCAAACACCCTTTGGTGCATTTCTACTGCATGGGGTGGAGTGGCTAAGACAAGAGAATAAAGTGGCACTCTGTGACAGTGCCAGCCACCTCTGTCTTTTCATACAAAGATAAATATTTAAAAAACTGCTTCTAGAAATAATGGTTTCATTAAAATCAGACTTCGACCTGAAGTATATCTAAATAAAAAAATACTTGCTGACACAGTCAGTGTGGCTCAGTTTGGTATACGAAGTGCTGGTGCTAATCCCTCTCACCCTAGAGCAATGGCGTCTTAATTGTCACATACCCCAAGACACAAAAATACACAATAACGTAATGCAAGCACCATTCATCCTGCTCTTGTGGTGGTATATTTTCACTTTGCCTCCTGTGGCAAGGTTACAAGGTACTCTGAAAGGCATGGGTTGACAAACATTGCTCTAGAACTAATACTGTATGATCCATACAAAATATAAACATACAATACATAGTCACATTTAACTTTTAAACCCTGTACAACTCAAGTTAAACTTTTTCCATTAATATATTTTTAAACTGTAAACCACAACAGAAAGACAGGGTAATTTTACATATTTCCTTAGAATGTTAAGATTTTCCCTTCTTATCTAAAGATATGAACTTGTACTATAATAAGCAGAAATGTTTCTCCTTCAATTACCATTAACTGAAGTCAAGGTACAGAATTTAAGTACTTGAAGACAAAGTCCACTGTCCCCAGGACAGACAAGTGAACTACTTGAAAGAGATATTCCTCAATTATCAACAGGCTGCTAACACATGCCTAGAAGTTTCCCACAAAATAATGGTCCTGTAAATCAACACTGTGGGGTTTGGTCAATAATGGTAAAATTTAATTGGCAAGCTTCCATAATGCAATCATTTCTTCTCAAAGAATGGAACTGAGACCAGCATTTCACATGGACAAGTTGTCAAATAGCAGTGTGTTTTAGCTCCTGCTTAAGTTCTTAGGGATTCAGTTGTGTAAATGATTTGAGGCTGTTTCACATGGGAGGAAAAAGGGGGACTTAGTTTTGAACTCAGCAGGAGCCAGCTGCTACTTAGCATACAGGCAAAAAGTTGTCAGAATTTTACAGAGTCTCTTGCTCTTGCAGTAGTAGCAGCTTCTCACAGCTGCTGAGCTCCTTCATGTATTCAGAACACAGCTATTACTACAAAGAAAGACGATAGTACTGATCAACAGAAAAATCCCCAATCATGTGACAAACGGGATCCTGCCATGCTAAGCACTCCTTAAAGTCAGTTTTGCTCTTGCAAAGCTAGAAGCAACTTCCACTAATAAAGTTTCTTTTTTTTTAAATATTTAATAATTTTTTTTAATTAATAAATAAAATATGTTAAAACACTTTGGTTTTTTACACTTACTACCCAAAAATGTATATACAAAAGCAGCCATACAAAAAAACCCAGCAGTTGACCTTGTTCAGGTAAGAAGAACTGAAAATGGTTTTTGGATCACCAAAAGCCCAGACCTAAGTACTGAAGGCACCATGGTATTTAACTGTTTTCTCAAAACACAGTAAGCTTCAAGATTGTCACTAAAAGATCACTACAGAATGTAACAGTTCTAATCCTCAAAATTATTCTAATTTCCAGCCTGAATTTTTATCACAGCCTGTTAATTCTTTTGCAAACATTGCCTTTAATTGGGAAAGCCTGCCCCTCTTTTCAGTTCTCAACCTGATACATACATTTCCTGTGTACGTATGTGCACAGGCAGAGAGAGATGGCAATCATACCGTATCATGGTATCAAAAGATATTGATCACTGTATTGTCCATTCACCCTTCTTGAACATAAGTGACCAAGACATTGTGTAATCTGTTTCAAGAGCTCTCCTTCTCAGCTACACAGATGTCCATTACAACTGCTGTAAGAAACATAATTTTACATTTGTGTCTGCTAGTTCTAGGAAAGTGCAATATATAGAGGGTATATTCAAGTTACAGCAATTTTATTTCCCTCTTTTTGAGCAAGATAAATTTGAAAAATAAGTTATTAAATTACACTGCATCCATCACATTGGGTTCCACTGTCTTGTAGATTTTGCTTAGAAAGACTTCCACCTTATCACCACCCAAGTGACAGATGTCCAGGATGCAGACAACATGTTTGCCATCTAGATCCATCGCTGCTTTTACAATTTCATCTAGAAGTTAAGAAAAGGTGTTTTAATATACATACAGTAAAAAGGTATACTGGATTGACATTGTTTTCCATGCAGTAATGTGTGTATGTTCAACCTTCTTTCAGTGAAAAACCTCACTCTAACTATTAAATGCTGGCTTACTGGGGATTGGGTTTTGTTTTTTTGGTAGAATTTTACTAGTAAATTTAATTCCTAGAAATAACACGGATCCAGAACTTGGATACAGAAAGGCTGAAACAGACATTCCTTAACCATTAGTGATTCTCAGGTCCCATAGTATTATTCAAGGAAAGGTAAAGATGCATTTAAATAAAATCAAGTCTGTCTATATAACCATGCAGGAAAATAATGATAATTACACATCATTTTACAGTATGATACACATTAACAGTGTTCACCATATTTGTTGTGAGGTGCTAGTAATTAGAAACATAATCTGAAGGAAAATAATTCAATAGCAGGCAAACACTTCCATTTACAGGTGCTTTAGGTTTCATTAAAGTAAATGTTCAAAGGGACATCAATGAAATGGATTGGCTGAGTGACTGTTATTCCACTCTATTTCAAAGCAGATCAAGCCAAATATTCACATACTCAGCCACACATCCTGGCTTCTATGTCAGTATAATTTTGCATCAACAAGTAACTGCAAATACTATCTAGGTCACTTAGGAGTTAGTAAAATACTATCTTCAGAGTATGAGAACAGCTCTGGTAAAAACTGCCTTGGAAGTTCAGTATTACATGTATTTACTGAAGGTGGCCACATAGAATTCATGCATCTTCCACTGAAGATATGAACGTGCCTGACTTACAGCAGAGATTTCTATAGAGGATTAACTCTTTTACTCAAAGATAAAAGAAGAAACTAAACATGAGTAATGTCAGTGAAAGCCAGACTCACCTGAAAGTGGAAACATGCCAGGAAGTCTTCCATTGCTACTGGCTGTCTGCTGACTTTCAGAGATGCAACTCATACAAGACAGTAACGTATCATTTTGAATGTCTTCTAGTTGAAATAAGTGGGGATCATCAGGACAAAACAGTGGAAGAAATGCAACATCTATTGCTACGTCATGGTTTATACCTGTTGAAAAAAAAGAAATTAAGTTCTTCAGCACATTAGCAACTTCATGCACTTTGTTCTTTTACCATTAAGAGATAACTGACATCTGAAAATGCATTTCAAGATATATGTGTATATATATATTCATACAGAAGCACATTCAAATTGATATGAAGTTATAACATACTGTGATTTAAGGCTAACTGTTGTTAGCTTAGAAAACATTAAACCAACATTGGAAGCCATTTCACACTCCCTTTTAACTTTATCACTGCTACAAGGGTAGAGAAATTAATTTTCCAACCAGTGTATCTATGCAGTATGTGGGGCAGTACTTGTGCTACTTTCATCTTGAATATTATATTGCAAATTGCAAGCCTCGGGATTCTAATGATTGTAAACATTCAAACACCTTCTCTGCAAATCTCCCTTAGCAAATAATGGAAACTTCTAAATTATGGGAACTTCACATGAGCATTGTTATGCTAGGCAATTTCTTTCTCTTAATGTGAAAAAAGTATCAAACAGATTAATATCCCACAGTAATGTTAAGAGCTACACATCAACTTGCATATTTATATTTTAACAAACAAAGATCAGTCAACCGACACTCTGTGCTAAACAGAAGCTCCTGAGAGCAGTTGGGGCATACAGCTGAAATACAGCCATTCATTTTCCAGCATGAAATACAGGCACTTTAGGAGCAACAGTACTCAAAAAAAACCCAACCAAAACAATTCAAAAAAACAACTCAATAAGGCTCAAAAGAAGCATTTATAATTGTCCTTCTCCCTTTAAGAACACTAACTTGCTTCTGTTGAATACCTCTCCAGCAGGAAAGCCAGCTGACAATCAAGTACAATTGAATAATTTACTTGATTATGTCAGACTGGTTGAACTAGTGAGCAGGATCTACCTCTAACTGTAATAACAGCTTAAGGACTACACACATTCTTCAAGTGATACACATAAACCATGAAAAATACAAACTATATGAAAACAGATACTAGAAATAAGATACTCAGTCATTTCATTTAAAGGTATTTTTAATGAGAATTACAGCTTTCTGGTACTAAGTCATGACTATTAACAGAAATCTAAAATGTCAATCATCTTTTTAAAATTCAGGAAATGCTCAGAATCAACTGACTAATTTTGAGAAATCCATTCAGTTTCTGACAAACCTTCAAGTCATTCTCAAGTGAATGAAGCAAAGAGTTAAGAGCTCATATTGCTTTTGCCTAACCATTTTTAGAGGCTGAGCTACCAGATACTTACCCAGGACTGTCACTTCATAATACCCAAGGCCACTAGCACTTTTAAAGTCACTGATATTTTTATGTGTTCTGGTTTCTTTTGGCTGGTGCACTGCTGCATGAAGGTTGTACTGTTGCATAAGCAAGTCTCGGTGCACATAATCAAATTTACGTGGTATGCTTTCTGGGAAAATTGTGCTGTGATGCAAATATTTCATTAACTTGTCTTTCACTTGTGCCCACAGGTCACTCTGCCACAAACCACAAGCTCTTCCAGCCTCTTCAGTTTCAAGTATATCACTCATTCCTTCTTGGTCTATTAAAAACAGAGAAAATATTTAGTTGCCTATAGGCCATAGAATCATATTGCTTCTCTGCTAGATGAGAAATATTTTCATTAGATCTTTTCAATTATGAAGACATGGCAGAATGTTCAAAACTTACAACACAACAAATTAAATTAGGTTTGGAACATGGACAAACTGGTAACCTTAGAGGCTAGACTAGTAGTAAAAATGCATTTCATCATATGAAGAGCATCACTGTGGCTTGTTTTTGGCAAGCACAAAACTTGCTTAACAAACACCATGAAAACAAGTTTAAAATGCGTACAAATGAAGGTAAACTTTTCCATCCCTTGCACAGTAACTATATGTTTACACTGAGATTATGCTACCTTTACAATTTCTTGCTATATATACATATACATATATATATAACAACATGGGGTTGTTAATGGCAGCTGTGTTAATACAACCATCACCTCCAGTTTGAAGAAAAGTGTTAAACCCTGCTTTTTGAGCTTATCAGAAAGCTCATTTCAAAATATTCCCAGTACAGCCTTGCACCTCCTCCATCTTCCGTGAAACAACTTCTCATCACATAGCCTTCTCTAAGAACACTGGCATTTTTACTTCCTTTTAGTGTCATAATTGCTATGATGTTCAAAAAGGAAGAAACCAGAATGTAGTACACAAAATTGATACAACATACACAAGAATATTCAACAACGAAGAAGTCTTGCTGCATTCAATTAGACAACAAAGGACCATGAATTTAAAGAAAAATGACACTGCTGCTGAAATGGAAAGTGTGCTCCGGTCTGCATAAAGCAGTATTTTTCTCACAAAACTGGAATTCATCATATAAGATAAAGTGGCACATGAAAGCTACTACATGAAGAAACATTTTAATCACCGTTTTACTTAGAGAATTACAGTATTCTCTACAAGCATGAAGAAGTAATATTATACATTAGGCAAATAAAATACAAAAAAAAGTTTCAGAATATAAGTAGGTGGATTAAAAAAAAACCCTTCTCTTTCTAAAACTTCAATCATAACTTTACTTTTCTCCCTCAATATATAATTGGCACCATTATATATATATATATCATATATATATCATAACTTTACTTTTCTCCCTCAATATATATATTGGCACTCTGTGTCCTGCTTGTACACTCATTGACTTAGCATAAACGTGTAATTAGGAGAACACAGTAAAAAAAGCCACCACTGGTTATTTAAACAATATGATGCTGAAATCTTTAACAATCTGACTGCAGTTTAGAGAAAAATAATGCAAATGTTTGAATTCCTCTAGCTACAGACAGCCTCTTGGCAGCAAAGACTACTTTCTGCTTTAAACCAATTAAAACCATAAAAATGGCGATGGTGAACATTGAAACACATGATTTCCCACAAAAAACTGTTCATCTCAGTTCAATTAGCAGAAGGATTTTTTTTTTTAAACTTACTGCATATTTATAGTATACAATAGATGTTTCTTCTTGTAAAAAATTAGAAGTTAATTTGGTTGTCAGCCTACACCATTACTGTAAAGTGCCATTCTTGCAAACACTTTTGCTAGTAAACCTGAGTCAGTGCATTTCTACTTCAGTTACTCATGTTATCTTACAGCACAGACTGCACTCTTACTTCTTTGTACCTCTTGCAAAAAATAATACCTGGAGTAAACAAAATTCCAGTGAATGAACCATATTCCAATACTGCTTGCTGCCTCATGATATTTCAGTGTTTAAAAAGACACTAATAATTTGCTTCGGATATCTCAGCTCTTTTTGCACATCTACCCAATGACTGCTAAAAAAGTGTTACTTTGATGCAGGCTGCTATGATATGGAGAGCAAAGTGTCAGCACTGCTATACATAGCTATAAAGGGAGGAGGGAGGGAAATTTCATGTTCCCATAAATAGCTTCTAAAGGCAGTTTCCTTTGCTGGTATTTAAAAAAAATAGGGCTCTACCTGGGACCATGGTAACAATGCTACGAAGCTCAAAGTAAAACTTCTCCATTTTATATAGCACCTATGTCCTGAACTTCCAAAATATGAAAGAACACAGCACGGAAGCGTTCAAAAACCGTGTAGATGAGGCCCTTGGCGATATGGTCTTGGCAGTCCTGAGGTAATGGTTGCACTTGATGGTCACAAAGGTCTTTTCCAACCCAGTTAATTCTATGATTCTATAGCAAAGTGCTGACTTTGATACATATGCCATACTTAATAGGCTTGTTAAGCAAAATATAAACATACTGTTATTTAGATAAAACTAGCATTGGACAAACACTGTTTTATATAAGACTAATAAATACTGCCAGGAGGACTGACGTTATGTGAGAAAAACATGTGCATATGTTTAGCAGCTACATTTACTAACATATTCATATAATTATTGCATACTTACATTAGATGAGAGACTGATTAATTTATTTTGGTCTACACTCAAAATATCAGCCAACTGAAGTTATATAGGGTTTCACATGCAGTGAGGAAATATCAGTGGAAAAGTTTAAGAATAAAACTACCTAAAGATATCTGTATTTTAGATACAGGCATCTAAATAAAGGAATCTAAATATAAGTATCTAATGCAAGATTTCTTTAGGACACATAAAAAATTAAGCATGTATTTCACTGGTAATATTACCATTCTTTTTTTTTTTTGTTGAAAACCAGCCTTTTAAACAGCATACATGCATTCATTTTATGAGATCTTGATTGTACCACAAGAATTCTAGAGAGAGTAACAGCATATAAAATAAACACTACAGGTAGCAGAAATTCCTCTAAAATTCAGGTGAAAACACTCAATCTGATTTCTTGGTTTTAAAAGCAATAAGAAATTTCACTGAATACTAACAACTAATAAAGCAATTAATTATCAAAGTTTCTTACAGATGTCTTAATTCTGAAGAACAGATCTCAACATTCTACCTGAGGCTGCTCTTTCTCTGGAATAAATCTTCACTTTAAACAGATACTTGTACAATTTTTTCTCCAATCTGGAAGTTCCCTCATCACTTCAGTCTCTGAATATATTAAGCATTTAGGAAAATTAACTAATTTCTACTGCTTTAAAGCAGCACAATGGAGTAATCATCATCAAAAGGCTACAAGGACAACCTACTGTGGTCATTAATAAATGAACTGCTGCCTTGCCAAAAATAAAAGGATGGACAACATTACACATAATATAGTGATACACAGAAATAAATTGGCAGATGTTAATGTTGGGACAGATGCTAGGAGTAGACAAACTTTTAGATGAAATTACATGACTCAGAGTATATTCAGTCAGCTTTGAAAAGAGGAAAACATGTCAAAATATTTGCATGAAATAAAAACCAGACCAAGCTGCACATAATGACAACTAACAAATTAAGACTTTTTCTTCATCCAAAATAGATAGGAAGAAATTAACTGCATAGAACACAAGTTTATTCTTCAATTGCAGAGGAAAAGAGAAAAAAATAAAAATATTAACTTAGAAAAATCCCTAAACCAAATGCCATTCTTATTACTGGCTTGTAGTAAGAATGTTTCATCCCTTTCCCACATCTTGTATTTATCTTTTTAATCAGGTGCTCACAAAGCTCTGGGACAACTTTATCATATGTAGACCACTACAGCAAGAAAGCTGAACAGAAAAGATAAGGTCTGATGCTACCAAGTGCTTCAGAGGTACAAAACTAACTTAAAACTTGTATAAAGCCCATGCTGTCCTTCCAGCCATCCTTTATAACATATCAGGGACATGACTGAGCAGAACAGCATTAACAATACTTTGCTACAGTGGCTCCCTAGAGGTTGATGCAGCCAGATGTTCAGAAGAACTGTCTCGACAAACAAAGGTTATACGGATATCTCTGTTGCCTGTTTTGGACCGAAAGAGAAGAAGTAAGCTTAAACCTCCTAAGGTTAATATAACAACTATTTGCAACGTACCTGTGGAGTGCTGTGAACTGTCTGACAGAGTCTGTCTATTTTTATCTTGCACAGTATCTTCATGTTGAAACTCATCCAAGCTATAAAAAGAAAATTATAGCATATGCATTTAAAACCTATTTAACCTCAAACACTATGCAGCATAAGTTCAAACCTTGACAAATTTCTAGTGGTAAATCATACAAGCTCAGATGAGTGAGCACCAGTACCTGGTTTCATATCATGAGACATGTAATACAGCAGCTTAACATGAGACCTACCACACTCAGTAAACCAGTCTGGAAGAGCTTAGGACAAGAACTACTTACTTCTTTGCTTTATGGAGCAGATAAGAATGTATTTTACATCATTCTATGATGATTCAATGACTCATCATAGATTTACACCCAAAACCCAGTGTCTACACTCAAAAAAACCCAGTGTTTGTTGCCCTCTACTGGGCACCTCCTGGAAAGAGCATGTTTCACTAAAATCTGAACATCACAGATGGCCAACAGGTTTATGATTTGATTCTAAAACACAGATGCACAGGACGCTGCTACACTTTCATAGCAGAACCCTTCAGTAGTCAAAACTAAAGCATGAATGGAGCCATGTCACCACTCCAGAATCCAAAGAGATACAGAAATTCCAAATGCGTATTTTCCTGTGGACATACAACCCTGTTGTAACAACAATCAGTTAAATCAAGCAAACTAGATTTTTCTTATACTTTGTTTTTTGAATCACAAAATTTTTATTTAATGGTGAGCAACTGGCCTGTAACCATCTCTAACTAATTACCTAGGATATCATGCAGGAGAAAAATGTAACAGATACTCTGCAGCCAGATCATGGTAAAATAAGCTCTTAAACTCACTCCTTTTTAATTTGCTGCATTCCTGTTGTTATAAACTCACTACGATGACTGAATAAACTTAGAAAAAAAACAACCAATCCAGCATTTCAGAATATAATAATCCAATATATTTGAATTAGAATCAGTGCAAAGGAAGTGAACAGAAAATATGAAATTCCCCTGATCTGTTCTCTCATTTCACTTCCATAGCGGCTCCTGACCCGTAAAAGTTTGATTTCAAGCATCTGTTCACCATTGCAATTACTTAATATAACTAACTTCATATGACTTACCCAAGTTTTCTTCTTGCAGACCGTGTGAAATAGTGGTGAGATGATACAGGAGTAACGGATGCACTTCTCCTTAAAGTAGGAGATTCACCATTATTTTACAGTGTTTATTTAAATGGAAATACACCAAGCAAAGAACATGTATGTTCTTCTTCCAGGCAGAACTAACCTAAGACACTCAAATGTTGGAATTCTTCTTACACAATGGAAATCGACTAACAAGCTTGCTGTAACACTGCCAAGACAGGACTTCTGCTCACCAGGGTTTTTTCTAAGTTTTTATTCAATCCTATTTATAATTCATCTCATTTTCTCTCAAAATATTTCAACACCCACCCTCTTCCCACATTATGACTTCTGGATGTGAAAATTCAAGAAAAATACCCCCTTTATAGCATGAGAAATCCACTACAATAAAAACAAACAAAAATTGAAATGTGACTGGCTAGATTTTTGCAGCATTAAATCTGTCAAAAATACACCAGGCTTTTAATACTAAGTATGAGATTTTGCACAAACATTGCGACAAAGAGCAATCTTACATAAGCAGGTATTTTACTTGAGTCTGATATTGTTGCATCAGGCAAATTACTTTGTCTTATTCTGTTTCCTTATATTGGAGTGGTATCCTTTGTCTATGTCTGACTAGATGGAATACAGTTTCATTAAATCCCATCACAAGCAGAGCCATAGTATTACATAGTATTTTGAGCTGTTAGGTACCTTAGCACATGACCACCATCTGTTTGCCTTTCTGACAGCAAGTAACAACTACATGCAGCACAGAAAAGAGTAAGTTATGTCTGAAACTAAGGAACAGGTATACCAGATCCTGACTTTGCCTTATCAGTGAAGGAGGAATCTTACTTCCTCACAACACTTAAACTGTTGCTTGTTCCAAGGCTATGTTACTAAACTACATTGGTTCAAGTATTTACTTTTATTTCAAGTCTGTGAGATTAATAATGAAGTAGCACACGTATTAATCAGAAGTGAGCTGTGCAGCACAAATACCTGCTTTAATCAAGACTTCAGTAGCCCTAACAGTGCAATTGTCATCACCTGATGCTAGGAAAAGTACCTAACTGCCCTTTAAACTGTTTATGCTTTCAGAGCTTTCTTATATATTTTTCTGTGGCCTGTGCTCTGAATTAACTTCTGTAAACACTTTTTATAAGATATTATTACTAGATATTTATGAAGAGAGCTTACTGTTGTGCATCTGTGTTTAACCTGCGTGGCATCTTTCTCTTGACTGAACTCTTTTGGGACAGCAGAGCTTGGTGATGATGTTTTTCACCAGGAGTGTACTGTGACTCCAGAAAAGACTTAGCTTCTTTATTCTGAAGGTTGGTGCCTTTTTCCTTGTGAACAGAGTCTTCTTTGGACACAGCAGAACTTTCAAGGGACTGAGAATTATCCTTCTGCAACAACAGTTAATTGTTTAAGAGTTTCAAAGCACTTAAAGTTTTGCTTCTAACTAAAAAACCCGCAAGTTTCAAAATAACTTTTAAAGGAACATTTTACCCTGCTTTGTGAAAGTCATGTTATATCTAGCAGAAATTATTTTCTAATCATATCAATAAGATAAATTCTGTCTAAAAAGTTGATAGTGAGCATGTTACAGTAGTTGCCTCTTCCACATTCTAATTTACATTAGGTTATCCAGTCAGCCAAACTAGAAACTTCTAGTTACACAATTCTGAGTCTGAACTGTAGAGGAATGCCGTAACACTTTCAGGAAAACACCAGATCATTGCTTTTTAAAAAGTTCTAAATTATTATTTTTGAGAATGTTGCTCTCAAAATAGCAAATAATGTTAATCAAGAAACAATGTAACGAGGTTCTCAAATGAACTCAAATGCAAGATTCTCCACTCGAGTTATGATCATAGTTGCTTAAGTGCTATAGTGTTAATCCCAAACACTGTACCTGAGCAAGTTCCACTCCTAAGGCTTCTTCAGCCACATTGCTACAGCTGATGTATCTTATGGCACTAATTATTCCCTGAACAGCGATGCGCTTGTGCTCTCTGTAATGCAAGTCTTCAATCTCTTTCACTGTTTCACCTATAGCTTTCAAAACAGATTCAACTGGAAAAAAAAAAAAATTTGAAGAAATACAGTATCAAAATGTCTGAATGCAAGACTCAAAGGAAATTTTTTTACAATTGTTTAAATTGATTTAAATTGTTTTACAATTGTTTAAATAGATTTAAAAAATTCATGTTTCTTAATAATTTTAAATCTTTAAAGATATTTGAGGGTATGATACCTTTATTGTTTTTACAGTATTTCAAAAAGTTATTTGGAGGTCGCGGAAAAGGATAATAGCCACCAATGACAGCTTTCTCCATTTGATCAACTTCGTTTTGTGTTTTAGTCCACTGTATGAAATTTCTTACTTTGGTATCCTTGGTGTATGGCTGGCCCCTGTGCCACCCTTTTAAAACAAAAATAATTCAGTATCAAAACCAAAGCAGGTTACTGTCATCTGTTCTCATCCTGAAATTATCCTGAACACTATGTAGAAAAAAAAACAAACAGATTAAGAAAATCTGGACTACAGAACACAAAAGACATCTTTCTACCAATTAACAGTGTCATATTAAATTAATGGTGTCTGTGACATTGCCTGTGACATTGACTAGCAGTATCTAGCATACAGTATCACAATACCATAAAGACTACCGTTAACTGCAGGCAGTAGTATTCAAAAGAGACTACCAGACGGAATGCTCCTTCAGTGCCACCCAGCACCACATCCTTTTTCCACTGGGAAAGATGAAACATAACAGCTCTCCAAATACTTGGTGAAAAAGATGAGCTAAGATAAATTTAGGACAATTATATTCTTTTTTGTTTGTTCGTTTTTCTGATAAGGAAATGTATAAGCCAGAGAAGCTGCAAGTGTTGATGTTTTTAAGGAAGCAGTAATTTGCATTGCTACATTATCAAAGGATTAAAATTGTCTGAAAGAATTAGTAAACATATGACTTAACCCAATAATACTTTGGTATTTTTTGTAAGATATACCCATTAATACCTCACAAGAATGCAATTTTCTTTTTTCTGTTTGCAGTGGTATTTCATCATTTCTGACAGGGAAGCCAATGCTATGCATTGATTATTTTGTTGTAAAATTAAGATATCCTTTTCAAAGAAATAAGACGAGAACTACATCAAACTAAAACTAGTTTAAATTACCTGTAATGAATATTTGACTTTCATTTGAAGTTGTAAGGTAAACTGTGCTGGAAAGATTCTCAGTGAGGTCCCGTACCACTCTCATCTGTGTACACACCAAATATGTCACTGGAACAAAAAAAAACAAGAAAACCAAAAAAGCTTTTCAGTTTTTTTTTCCTGGTATTTCATTGATTTCAGAATGTTAAGACTGATACACACTGGATTAATTTTATTAAGTGCTCTAAACAAGACATTTTACTTTTTGAGCCAATAAATGCTTCAGCACAAATTGAGCTTCTGTTATGAATTACAATATGGAGATGTAATTAAATTGTCAATTTAATAACTGTAATTTCAGCATGCATATTAGGACTAAAACATGAGATACTTCATCAATCAGGTAGGATATCCATGAAAGAAGTAGTCAATATGGATATTAAATGGCTGTTTTTCTTAATAATAAAAAGCATAAAACCATGGAAAGCACAAGAAATCATGACATGCCACTGCAAAACTTCAGCGTAGGGTACAAACTCACTCTTTTGTTAATAACTCACTTTACCACTGGAATGTCATTCTTTGCCATTTCCCCAGAACACTCAAGATTAATAAAGCCCTAATCTTAACAGGGTTGTGCAGCTGGTCCTGCATTATATGACATAAAAATGCACATGACATCAACCAGTGTTAATGGAAGGATGAGCACTTGGAGGAGAAGAGAAAGATGGCAAGAAGAAATATTTAAAGTTCCTTTAAGATACTCAATTAAGGATTCCCCAGTTTGAAATGCATCATTATTAGCTCACATGTAATAATTAACACAGCTGGGCAAAGACTGCTTTTTGGCCAAAAAATATTTATTCAAAGAAATTAAGCTTTTCCACTTTCCCCTCTCTCTTCTCTGCCAATCCTCTTAAATTATTCCTGTCTATTAAAAAATTACTTATTTACAGGGCAAAAGGAGCAAAGATTTGACCAGCTGCCTGCTTTGCCTCTGATGCAAGAGATGTTGCCCCAGGTGGTTCACTTAAGTTTCTGTTTGAAATTAATGAGATCGTATGAGCCCCAAGCCCAGCTGCCCATCTATTTGTTTAGAGTAACTGGCAGATTGCAATATGATAAGGGTTTCAGATACTTACTTTATCTTTAAATTTTTATTTCTGATTAGCTATTTTCCCTTTAAGGAGCTAAACCATGGCATTTTTGTATTCAGTGGCAATTATACTCAGAATATGAAATTAGCAACCCAGTAGAAAAACACTATAAATAATTATTAATAAGCATTATAGAGATGAATACTTGGGTGAATATGCTCAAACACTTCTGGTTGAGAAGTTGCAAATAATTCCAGTATGAATGGTTGGTCTGAGGTCCCGTCAATGGCATGTGCCCAACGATAGAGCCAGAAGTCTTCACCATGCTCTATATAAACAAATATTAAGAAAAATGTATAAACATTTATTCACGAAGTTAAATATTATTTGATAAATTCCAAAAGTTATATTCATAGAAAAACCTTTCTTTCTTGTTCGTTCAGCCCTTCCTACGAACGTCACAAGACCAATAACATCACAGGAATGGTTGTGTGGTAAGCCATCCAGTTCTGACCTAAAACCAAAAAAGAACAAAACCATGAGTACTTGGTTAATAACAAAACATAAAGCTTTCTCAAGCACTTATCAAAAAACATTTCCAACTAACATTCAGTGTAACGTAGTAAAACTAAAGTTCCAGCTTGACAGACAACAAAACTTTATTTTACCTTGTGATAAATCGATATTTAACTTCAGGTAATCCCCACTCTGGCTTAACCATTTCTTCTGGAATAATAGTTATTTTAGTAGGAGGATCGCGAACATTAAGGCTGATTTCTGAGAATTGAAAAAAAAAAAAGTCAGTAACATTCAAGGCATGAATGCAAATTAAAACAAACAAACAAAACCTGCAAAAAAACAGGGTTCAAGTTTCTTAAATGAAGTATTCCAACTGTGTCTCACCATTTGTGAAATTACAAATCAATTCCTCTAATTTTATGTTTTCATCAAAATAAAGCAAGGCATTCAGGTACAGCATCCAACAGTGCAATTTTATAATCTAAGCAATGTTAAACTTTCCAATTCCCTACATGAGCCCATGAGTCTGATCCAGCCAGATATTTAAAAGACCACAAGAGAAACTGATACTACAATACTTATTAGATATGAAGTACTTTTTACGCAAGCTTCATTCTCAAACATCACCAAGATTTAAAATTGACTTGGAGACAATGAAGTAAAACAGGAGATAGAACTAGCAGATTCGAACTTCCACAGCTGATACTAGTTCAGGTAGTTATTAATATGATAGAAATATACCATGACCATAGAGGAGAACAAAAAGTCTTTCAAGGTCTGTCTCTCTATAGCACTTGAAGATTTTGATTTATTAAGCAGACTGTTTAGACATTTAACAACAAAATAGTGGAGCACTGGGTGAAGCAAAGGGTTCTGCAACCAGACAAAAAAGTACAGGAAGAATCACTTCAGCATCTAGAATACACAAGGTGGTTCTCTACTGTCTCTCTCGTAACAAGAGTAATATTGCTGGTATGAAAAATACAGATTCTGATGAAGCTTCTACAAGATGATTTTGTTTGGGTAAAGGGTTATGCAAATAATGTACCTGGAAAAGTAATTAAATAGGTATAAAATATATAATTATATCCATGTTTCATACTAGCAATGCAATATTAGGAAGGTGTTAGACTTGAAGTCAGACCCTCTGCTTAAGAATTTTATTTTGGCTATTGCTTTCTAACAATGTATTTGGAGAACAATCGTGGTTTTGCATATGGTGCTTTAAGACAGTATCTTAGAGATACTTTCCAAAAACAAAACTTCCCCATGCATCAAAACTATTTACCAATTGTTTTGTCATTTTGAGATTAGACAAAAGACATATACTCAAGACTATCCCCTGGGATGATTCAGAAGCTAAGGTCTGCCCAGGCTATTCAAAACAGTAGTTTTCACCAGTACCACACAAATTCGGTGATTTGTGTAATGCACACACTGCCTAGCAGTGAAATTCATGGTGTTGGGACTACCTATTTAAGCTCCAAACATTTTAGGTCCTGAAACAGCACTTTTCAGCGTGTCATATAATGCTGCAGCTGCAAACAGAAGCAAGCAATGCAGAACTTGATTCACAGAAATCTTGCAAGAGCTCTTTATTTGGAAAGTCCTTTCCGTTGTGGCCTTGTGAACCCTCCGGATATATTTTACAACATTTACAGGTGAATACTGGAATCTGGTGGAATCACAAATTGGAAGCAGATGATGAAAAATGTACTTGTTACCTAAATAACTGACTGCCTTAAGTAGCTAGCTGAAGAACTTCTGAAGCACTCGTGTATGCTTAAAAAAACCTGAAACATTGCCCCATATTGGGCATATACAGAGATCTCTCTATTAACAGAGTAATTAGTGAGGCACTAAATTGCACTGCATCTGAACAAAAAAAAAAAACAAACCCACGCACCAGGAGTTACCTAAAATCAATTTTAGAACTTCTCTAGAAGTTTTTTATGGATATTCTGTTCTCTTTAGATTCTCCTCTTACAGGATAAAGGCAGAAGATCCATCAACGCATGATGTTATATGCTTTTCTAAGTTTACAGTAAGACAAACTTCTGAGCTTTGTGCTGAGAAAAGGAATAAGATACTGTACATACACTGATATGAACCAAGGATTAGTGATTTTACAGTTTATTCATGGTCTTAAAATGCACCATGGCACTTTACTATAGACTGTCTTCCAGTTCTTCCATTACATATCTATTACCATTTACAGCCCACTGGCCTACTTTTCCATTGTGATCTCTTGTTAGCATTTCTACCCCAATAATGCTTGCAGATATCCCAACCATTAAAATGAAGTGATATTTGCTCATACAGAAAGTCACCTCATGATATTTTATTCTGTCCTTTCTCCATAGAAAGGTTTTCTGTCAATTATAATTCTTTTCAGGGGTGGTTTATAATCATCAACAGTTTCCCTCACGAACTTCCATTGCTAAACATTTTTCTTCTGCCAACTCATCACAAACACTTCAGACATTAAGATATGGTTTTAAGACAAAGTCACATTAGATAGAGTATACAGAGCCTCTAACAGAGAAAATAGTTTGGTTTTGTGCACTGTAGCAACTGCATTAGGAAACTGTCATTATTCGTAAGTTATATATACATATATATCCTTCACTAATTTGCATATATGCTTATTTAAAAGAAGCTGTTTGAATTTTCTGAATGTTGCCTGTCATTTTTTCCAATATGAAAGCAAAAAAGGGAAAATAACTCATGTTCACTGAAAGAAAAAAACAAAAAGTTGACCAAATCCCATTTGAAAAGGCTATCATTGTGTCCAGGGTTCAGCAGTAGGAGTCATTTTTCTCCTTCTTAGTAGCTGGTGTAGTGCTGTGGTTTTGACTTTCAGCCTGGGAACAGCGCTGATAACACCGATGTTTTTAGTTACTGCTCAGTAATGTTTACCCTGACCAAGGACTTTCTGAGTCTCATGCTCTGCCAGGGAGGAGGCGAAGCTGGAAGGAAGCAGAGACAGGATACCTGACCTAAACTAACCAAAGAGGTATTCCATACCACAGCACATCAGGCCCAGTATATAAACTGGGGGCAGCTACCTGGTAGGGCTAGATCGCTCCTCAGTCCAGCTGGGTATCGGTCAGCGGGTGGTGAGCAGATGTATTCTCTTCCCTTGTTATTTCCTTTATCATTATTATTATTGGCGCCAGCAGCAGTGATTTGTGTTAAACCTTAGTTACTGGACTGCTCTTATCTCAGCCCATGGGAGTTACATTCTTTCGATTTTCCTCCCCATCCCTCCAGGAGCTGGGGGAGGAAGCGGGGGGGAGTGAGTGAATGGCTGTGTGGTTTCTGGGTTGCCGGATGGGCTTAAACCATGACATACTGTTATACTGCAGCACTTCTATTTCTGTAGCATAGCTCCTTTGATATCTGTCCCATTAAACAACTGCAAGCAAGAAAATACCTTCTTGTAGCTGAGGAATATTTTTCATAATTGCACTGCCATGGCGCTGCTGTTTCAGCATAGACATCAGTCATCAATGCAACTTTTTATCTAGTGGGGCTTAGCAGACACTCTGGGGCTTGACCATATACACTAAAATCTAAAGACAGATCAGTGACGTGGAAGAATGTGTGAGACGTGCACAAATATCTGTATTATTAAACAGGAAGTAGAATCACATTAAAATTCAGTGTCAGAGGCCTGTCTTTATAATGCCAATACCTGACATCAGGGATTACTTTTTATTTATTTTTAAATAGAAGTTTTAACTAACTGTGGCAATAAACTTTGTATACATGATCCAAATATGAACCAAGGAACAATAAGAGCTTGGATACTAAGACACCCTTCAGAGCTAATATTTAAGGATATATACCTTATCAATTAGTTTCAGCAATGGATTACTTTATTTCTGTGCAGAGCTACCTTTGGATCAGTTTATTTCTGTGCAGAAAATTTACTGCTATATTTAACTGAATCAAAACAGGTTTCTCTGATACTTAACCAATTGTAGCAAATCTCTTCATCTGTGAATCCCCTGGGGTTGGTTTTGTTTTAAATGGGTAACTGGTTTTGACAGCGTACTGCTCAAGAAGTAATACTGTGCCAACCTTCATACTGTTATACCATTCAGGACACAATGAGTTCCACAAAACCATTGACATCATGCCTGAACCATCAGCAACTTCAAAGTAAGCCTAAAGAAAAGAGAGACAAATACATTCATATCTTATATATCATTCTGATACGTATTTATTCTATATAACGCATCAGCTACTTGACTTATGAACAACTTCTCTGATGATTACAGATGGATAGAGTATGTTCCAAAACTTGTATTGAATACTAGAGTTGAAGAAATCCCTAATTTCCACAAAAGAATTCTTCCACAACTATTCCAGCCCAAAATCTTCTCTTTCCAGTGCTCAGTAATGGTAGGAGACACCAGTTTCACTCTGTAGTTTTTTGGAGAAGGTTGTGGCAATAGCATATACAAGAAACAATACTGAGAAGATTCTTCTTTCTAAAAGAGAATGCTGTATTTGGAGTAATATTTCAAAATATCCATGAAGGAATTTGAGATGTTGAGGGATTATTTGCTAAACATTCTTGATCAAAACACTATACAAGTCTGACTTTGAAGAAAAACCCCACAACCTACCAAAACACAAACTCCTAAAATAAGCTGCATCACAAACCACTACATTTTCATTGAAGTGTTTCTCATGACAAAGATTTATACCAGTTGTTGGGTTTGTTGTTTTTTTTTTTTTTTTAAACCAGGTGAACTTTGAATCCATAACTGAGCAGATCACTAAACAGTGAAAAAGATTTTTAAACGCTTTTATAATGGTCTTAAAAGATAGCAATCCACTGAAAAAAGATCTCGGCCTTATCAAAATATTTTATCCATTCATCAGCCTCAATCATCTGCTTTTGTTCATCCTACTATCTTTAATAAATCACCATCCTTGAACATATCTATCACCTTATGTGTCTTTTCCCCTTGATGCTTCTAAAGCCCTCTTTTCCTTATTCCAAGTTCAATACAGACTATACAAATCAACACTTGTTAGTTCATTCTAATATTCCTGATTAGTCACGAACCATTCATCCTTGAAAGTAAACCATTATAACATTGAATCTTTTGTTACCTATCGTTTTTTATCTAACAATGATAATTCAGCACACAACACTATTTAAAGAAGGAATGCATAAAGCAAAGAGCATGTAAATCTGTCTCCTAACTTCTTGAGCTAACCCAGCTCTGGGTGTTGAGTCTACACCTAATGCCAGGTGAACTGCCAAGGAAGTTTGAGTATCATCTAGACTCTCCTGAAAAGTACATCCAAAAAAAAGATTCAGATTTACCTTCAAGTGCACAGGGAATGGAAAATTGGAATAAGAGAACACCACAGCCCTTCATTAAGATGCTTCATACCTCTCTCCACCCATGGAAGAATCATATGAGTTATGGGAGCTCTTCGTCAAGTGCTGCCCTCCTGTACAGGGACTGGCTGGGATGGAGCTGATTTTCTTTGCATCAGTCTGCATGGTGCCATGTTTTAGATCCACGACTATAACAGTGTTAATACACCAATGTTATACCTGTTGCTGAACAGTGCTTGTAGAGTGTCAAAGTCTTTGTTTCTCACTCTGCCACCCCAGCAAGTAAGCTATAGATGGGCAAGAGGCTGGGAGGTGACACAGCCGAGATAGGTGACCTGAACTGACCTAGGGGATACTCCATGCCACATAACATTATGCTCAGATATAAAACAGGCTGCTGTTCTCCCCAGAGTACCCATTGTTCAGAGACTGGCTGGGCATTGGTCTACTTGAAAAGGCTCAGCATTTTAGTGAAGGTAGCAAGTTTAATATAAAGTAGCTACAATATCTTTCTTAACTTTATGTACTTGCTACATGGGAATAATGATTTCCACATATCCTACAGCTATTTGTTCAAATGTTAACCAATGCATTTATCTCTCTTTACCTGATAAGGCATATCCATTTTTTTCTCTGGTTTCCCGTAGTACCTTAGTCTAGATTTGTGCAGGACTCTCACAAGAAGTGGATGGTAGTGAACTCTGCTTCTCCAGGTCATTTCCAGCTGACCAAGAGAAATCAGCTTGGAGACTAAGGTTAATGGAAGGAAAGAAAGAAAAAGACCAAAGTAGTATTTATGATTGAACATTTAAGTTTTCAGGAGTAAAGTGCACAGATGAGGACGTCACATGTATTTTCTTAATGTCTGTAACATCTAAAAAGGGTTACTTTTTGATACTGCTCACCATGAGATCCTGTTCTGAGCTATCTGCAAACAGCATTATTTTGATTTGTTTTGGTTTTTTTTCTGGTTTTGTTTTTAACTGAAAGAGAGCACTGTGACACACTTCAAATGACAAGGAAGCATCATCAGATGAGCAGGAGAGCTAATGCAAAAGATATAGGCGTTAGCCTACAAGAGCATAACACTCATGCAAAAGTCTCACTTATAACTCCCCCCTCACTTCACTTCATGGACTGGTCTCAGTCCCTCAACATTGATCACGTTTTGGGTGGCAGCTTCCAGGCGCAAGCACCAGTCCCACGGAGTAGCCAAGAGATTACTACGGGAAAAGATGTTTTTGACACCTCGGGAGCCTGGGTGCAAGCACCGTATTTTCAGTCAATGTTTTGGGAAGTTTTAAAAACCCTCTCCAAATAACATGAACACGCAAACTGTGACACATATACCACATTCATACGGGTGCCTGTCGCAACCGGAGGGTCACTTCTCATCCGGGAGCTCAGCCCGGCCAACAAGCACGGCAACAACCTCACCTCTTCACCAGTGCGCTGCCTCACGTTCCCACCTACACCCCCTTCCCCTGAAGCCGCCTCCTCGCCGCTTACCGTCGACGTTCACCTTCGCCTGGGGCTTGTCTGCCACCCACACGTCTCCGTAAGGATCCTCGTTGTTCCACAGCGGCAGGTAGTGCTTCTTGTCGCCGCGAAGGGGCGGCAGGCGGCCGCGGGGCAGGGCGGCGGGGGTGGGCTCGGCGCCGCAGGCCAGCTCCAGCTCCTCCAGGCACGGGAACCCGTAGTTGAGGCGCTTCTCCTCGTAGCGGTAGGAGCAGCGCGTGAGGCGCAGGCGCACACCGGCGTGCAGGTGCGCGCGCTGCACCAGGCCATTGAGGCGCGGCGCCAGGTAGCAGCGCTGCTGGTACGCGCCGCTCGCCAGCGTCACGTCGTACCAGTACTGCCCGGCGCCGGCGGGCTGCGCCCCGGCCAGGTACCGCTCCACCGCCACTACCGTCACGGGCGGCGGCTCCGCCGGGGCCACGCTCAGCTGCGAATCGCCTCGCGCTTCCTCAAAGACCCTCTGAAGCCAGGAGGCACTGCCGCTCGCCGGCACCGCCACCGCCTCCTCCCGCCTCTCCTCGTCAGGGCGGGCGCTCCCGCCGCTCTCTGGGGTAGGGTCCTGCATAACAGCTTCGCGCAGTCCCTCCCCCGCGCCGCGCCGCCGACAGCCGGGGCCGGGGCCCGGGCCCGCTTCTGGGGAGGGCGGCGGCGTCAGCCTGAGCCTCCCGCAGTCACGGGCCCAGCCGGAGCGCCGCCATCCTTCGCGCGGGGTGGAGCTGGTGCGCGCGCGCGCCGAGAGCCATTCAAACCTCCCAACGGTCGTGGAGGGGGAAGGGAGGAGCTAGCGGATCCGGGCCGGGCGGGGGTGTAAGGGGGGACCCGGCGAGACGCGGCGAGAAGCAGCCGGCGGTGAATGGCCGGGTGCCGGCAGCGAGAAGGGGGGTTCTGAGGCGGGGAGCGGCGGCCCCCGCTCCTTCCCGTGGGCTGGCGCCCATCGGCCGTTAGGAATGGAGCCGGGGCTACAGCACGGGAGGGCTGCTCGTAACTCGCGCTGCCGTGCCTGACCTCGCCTTCTTCGGTGGGCCGGCGGCGTGCTCTGTAGGTAGCCCCAGACCCACGGTAACAAATGGGCCTGTGCTGGGCTTTGTGCTGCACCTGTGCCCGGTGCCGCTTTAAGCGGATACATAACACTCATTATTGATCAGTATTGCTTTGACCGCATGTTCCTGATTGCACTAAAGGTGTCTCATGCTAGCTCCTAAAATTGTATTTACCCCTTTTATGCTTGCAGGGTGTTGTTAATCATCCTGCCAGTGAAAACATCTCCTGGGTCTTTCTCTCTTGTTTCCAACAGCACTGACTGTGTTTCCGTCTATTAGAAATTATTACAAGTGGTCCCTGAGTGTGTGACCTGACTTTTAAATTTTATTATTGATTCTCATCCCACTGCTACCATCAAGCTCATCTAATTATTCTTTATGATACGATGATCACTTACTATATTAGTGAAAGTTCAGGGGATTAAGAACTTTGTAGTTGATACTTTATTAGCGTTTCCTAAATGTGTGATCAAAGGGCTGGGGAGCCTGCTAGTAGAAGAAAGGCTGAGGGAGCTGGGCTTGTTCAGCCTAGAGAGAAAACAAAGGCTCAGGGGAGACCTTATTGCTATCTTTCCAGTATTTAAAGGGTGGCTATAAAGAAGATGAAGACTTCCTTTTTACAAGGGGTCACATGGAAAAGATAAGGGGTAAAAGGCATAAGTTACTCCTGGGGAGATTCTGACTGGACACAAGAGAAAGACTTTTCACAATGAGTAATCAGTCGTTGTAATAGTCTTCCCAGGGAAGTGGTGGGTTCCCCAACAGTGGGCACTTTTAAGATTCGTCTGGACAGGCTGCTGGGACACCTAATCTAGGTCATGCTTTGCCAAGAAAGGTTGCAGCAGATGATCCTTGAGGTCCTTTCCAACCTGTTATTCTATGTATTTTTGTCTACTGGAGGAAATGTTAGGCTATAAATTAGCAGGACAGAGTGAGGAGAGAGATCTGAAGATAAAGAGGCAGGAAGAGGAAGAAGAGAAGTAGTTTCCAGTATTTATAGTGTCACTGGGTACAGAGAGCCTTTGGAAAGCCAGAAGACCAAAGCGTAGGCAGAGCTGCTTCACACACTGGGCCAGCAGAAAGCAGTTCTCCAAGCTCACAGCTTGAGAATGATTCCGTTCTTAGTCTACTGCCTTTGCCACTATGAAGTGTTTATCTTGGGGAACCTGAAAAACCTGTTGCTTGAACCAATTAAATCAGACTGAAAAGCTGGACAAGGGGTTATAAAACCTAAGCCTTTTCTGGCCTTTAGATTACCCTAGGAATGGTGAGTGTAACAATGCATTCCTTGGTGAGGAAATTTAAAATACATCAGTCATTCTTGATGTTTATGTTGAAGCCAAGATATTGAATAAAATTTCAGTGTGGAGTCTGTTCTTCCCTGTAAACACATGGTCTGTTGTGTGTCCTGATAAAATGGCATTTACGATTTAAAAACCCAAACATGACCCAAACACCTTTTTATTGAGGTTGCACAGGATGTGATTTCACATCACATACCAGCCTTATGTGCAGATGTGGTGTAGACTTTTTTCCAGCTGTTAAATGAATCCGTAGGTGTAGTGAGGAAACCTGTGGAATATTGTCAGCTTCTCTCCACTTTTGTGCTTGTGACAGGACTTGCAGAAGAAAGGTATTTTATTTATAGCAGAGGTAATTGTTACATGTATATCTGTTGTCAAGAGCTTTTCATTGTAAGTCACTGTGGTTTCAGTCATGAAAACCATGGAGCTGTAGCTTTTGTGGTGTGATAATGGACTGATAGAATTAATTAATACTTTGTAATTTTGCTTAAATGTGTATGAGTTGCAGTTTCAGATATGGGGTAGTTCCCTCTCTTAGGAACTTGCTTCTGTTCCCTTCTTTCTCACCAGCAGAGGTCTAGCTAGCACACCCATTTCAAAACTGGAATGGCATGAATGTTTTGCTGATGCAAGACAAGACATGTTTTACTGACTGGTGATGTCTGTAAGTTTCTCTGGTTGTGGTTTCCCTGTCATACCTGACCAGGGGGTCAGATGTGCTTGTATTAGAAACTGCGAATTCAGAAACACTTGGAGAATCAGTAATGTGTGGTGAGGAGCCATCAGCAGATGGCTGTATTAGAATCACAAAACCTGAGGGCTCAGTGTGTTGTGTTGAGCCTGTTCCATCAGGGATGTAAGAAACTCATTGAAGACAACATGATTTTTTTGTATACCTACAACTAAACATGCTGAACTGTACCAGTATCGATCTTGGGTGAATCGATAATATCTCAAATTCTCAGACATAATTAGTAGCCAAGTATCTCAGGTTTTATGTACAACACCTTAAGAAAAATAGCAGTTAGCCTCTCTAGCAATGTCAGTGAGGAATGGGCTATGCTGAACAGGGGAATGTTACTACATTCTGTTAAACTTTACATTGAAGGTATCTTGGGGAAATGAAAGGCACAAGAGAATAAAGGGTGATGCTATAGATTTAAAAATTAACTATTGTGCAGGATTATAAAGCTTACTGTAAACCACAGTTCACTTTTACGTAGGTCTTTGGAGAAGCAATTTCATTCTAGAGCAATTTTGTACCATGAAACAAACTACTTTCAGACATAAAGCTAAAATTAAAATGCCATTTTGTTTGAGCTGCAATAGCAATAGATAATCAAAGCTATTTACAGTTTGATTATACTTGAATTGTGTGTGTATGTGTATCTTACTGCCTGGCTTTACTGATTGGCAAATAGTTGTAATCAGATAGCTTTTCCTATTATGAGATAAAACTCCAAATGCTTTCACTTTGAACTGGCATTGTTTTATATGCAAAAGTGTGTTTTGCGATGGTGAGATATAAACCGTTTGTCATGGTTTAAGCCCAGCTGGTAACTCAGAACCACGCAGCCACTCACTGAACCCAGGACACTATTTTATCTTTTGGTGCAACATGGATAATACAACTTCATCAGAGCAATTCTACTGTCAAGTCAGAGTAGCTTTGAAGGGTTCTTTAGGTGGGGCAGTTTCTGCCAGGGAGAAGGGAATTCAGATGTTCCTTATTAGTCCCTGCTAATTCATGCCTTCTCTTCCTGGCTTTGTTTGGCCTCCTTACAGATTCTGAAGAGAAGATTGCTTTCTGATGTTGAGTAAAATTCAGTGCCCATTTCACTGTTGCCTTTTGGCACTAATAGGCTGATTTTACACCTTAGAGAATGTAAAAGAAAGAAGTAAACTTAGAAGTATATAGGGCTGGAATGAAGAATGTGTGGAGGAGGGGACTGAGTAAAGGATGTATTATATTAGTGTGATCCTGGCTGCTACCTTAAGAAAGGCTAAATTGAGGCTTTGTCTTACCTGCTGATGTCAAAGTTGTCCTGGAGTCTGGTATGCACCTTCTCCATTATTTGCTGGTATGCTAGAAGCTGTACCAGCTGAATCAGTATATGGATGTATTCTCATGTGTCTCCATGTAGGTTCAGTTTTAGCAAATTGCAACCTTCTGTTTTAATACTATTTTAACTGAACAGCTTGGGATGGGGAGCAGGAGAGGATCATGAGCAAGGATGATCAGAGAAAGACTAACTTTATTTTGTTGTAAGTTAAATTTTACTTGGTAGTTACACAAATAAGTGCTGTAGTTGGGCCCAGCTTGCCTTTTGTCTAGTCAATATTTGCCACAGAATATTCCTGTATCTAAGGGCAGGATGAGATGACTGTTATTGATTGCTGGCACACCACTGATGAAACAGGTGTGCTGCTTACCTGCATATCAGTCAGTGCCAGTAAGTGAGAAGGTTGTCGTTACTAGCCAATGCAATGCTAAAAATGAATGACTGACATTCCTTTCATAAGGGGTTATATTGGGCCTATGTGAACAGTTATGTTCAGGTTCCTGAAACTTGTTTGTTTTAGGAGGGTTTTGTTTGCTTTGTTTGGGTTTTATTTGTTTGTTTTTGGAATGGGAGAAGTTTGTTCCTGACTTTTTGCAAACCCAAACATGGACAGGTACTGTCCCCAGCATTTTTCCTGGGAAATACAGAGCCATCTTGGCCAAAGTTAAGGGAGGGAAAAAAATGAGTAAATCTCACCTGCAGTTCTTTTCACATATAGGGGGATGGGTACAAGATTTAGCATGCTGGTTCTAGAAAGCAATACTTTTTCTGTAAGTTTTTTTCACAACATTAATGACATCTCTCAATCCACTCATGTTGCATATGCAAATCACTGTATTTTTTATTTTTTTTATTTTTATAGCAGAGTCATCTGTGCAGAACTGAACCACAGCTGAAGCAGGAATCAGAATTCTTGCTCTTCTCTACTTCTATTCCTGATATTAGAGGAGGTAAGCAAATGAAAAGGAGAGAAAATCTCCTGTCCAACAGGAGGATTGTACTGGAACTCAAGCCCTGCATATTTCCTCTTGTGCTTGGGAGTGAAACTTGCTGGTGTGGGAGAATAATCCAGGTATACTGTTATTACTGTAGCTCAAAAAAAACTTTTGGTGGCAAGAACAATAGTGAGTGGCAAAACTAAGCTATCTGTCTGCCCAGTCAAGCAACCATGACATCTTTAAACTTATAATACAGATCCCATTCTGTACATCAAATGCGGGAAAAAGCACGCTCTGCTAGCTTAAGAGAAATACAACATTGATGAAAGATTCTCTTTATTTAAAAACAATAAAAGAAATTTTGCCTCATGCCCTAACTTGTTCTAACTCCCAACACTGACATAACTGCCAAATTTCCTAATTCTCACTCTTAAGTGTAATTTCTAACAGCTATAATGTGCTATTACACCTCACATTATGTGTAGCAGGAAGTTTTAAATGCAGTGGCAAAGACTGCATGAGCATACCTGAGAAAAAGTGAACTGGGATAACCTGGCATTCAGGCTGATACACATGCACAAAAACCAGTTCTCAGTGTCAGTGATTGCAAGCTGTCATTTCCCAGGCCCACTGCCCTCATCCCACTAGGCATTTGTGTAAAGAGAAGGGTGGAGACACAGAAATGCACTTGTGAAGCTCAGTAGCAGCATGCACAGCAGCACACTGCAGCTGTTGGCCTTAGTAGCACTCAGCCTAGTGCTAATACTCTGCTGAACTCTCACAATGGCACCTCAACACCTTTATCCACTGCAAGGAAATACTTCATTTTGTCTCTACAGGCAGATGCAGATGTTTCCGTAGGGATACTGACTGGATTTGGAAAACAGTAACTTTCTATGATTGCTAGAATAGCTTACGCAAATATAACAGAAGTCTACAAGCACAACAGTAGTTTTAATTTTCAGTATTTTTTAATTATTGTTTCAGTTGTACAATTTCAACATTAGGGAACAATACATAATGTGCAGTACATGGCTTACATTGTTCCCAGTTTTTAAAGCCATGTGTCAGGCTGCAGAATAGAGTTCACCATTCCTAAAATAAAAGCAGGCGCATCCAATATTATCTTGCTGCAGTATTAGCACAGTCTTGGTTAGCAAATACAACATTAGGAGCACCACCTGAGATTAGGATACTGCATGTACCAAAGGATTACTGACATGGATCCCTGCCCTTCTGCCCCTGTGGCAATTGTTCACATCAAAATAACATCACTACAAAAATATTGCTGAGCAGTTCACTCCTTGGTTTTAAAAGTTAGTGAAAGGGTACAGCTAGAGAAACCTCACAAAATGAAACTACAAATCTGATACATTTTGCATAGTTAAATTTATGTCAGGAAAAACTTGGTTCACTGGGTTTTTTTTTTTTTTTTTTTTTATTCTTTTTTTTGACTTACATCTTTGAACTTTTGCTTTGAGCTGAACAGTTATTCAGAGCACTCTCTCATTCAGTGTTCAGACCACTCGGTCACTTTAGACATCTTTCCATTTCTTTGGTAACTTTCTTCTTCTTAACATCTCTTAACATTTTTTATTCCTCCTACAGCAATACAGTGTCCCCAACATCCACTCCCTCTGCTTTGGCCACTCCTATTTATTTTCTTCAGCTTTTCCCTCCTCTCTAATCACTTACAGTCTCTTCTGTTACTTTTTTTCGACATGTCTGGGCTTATCTTCAACCATTCCAATTTTCTCTTGATAAAGAAAAAAATGCCACAGTTGTTTTGTTGCATCCAGTTGCTATTGCTATTTGCAATACCACTTCATCCTCTAAAAGCATTCACCTCTAAAGGCCTCATTCTTTCCATATTTATACATGGATGTAACCCCAATAATTCCAACAGTTTTACATACAAAGTGACACATGAAAATCCAACCCACTGCCTTGAATCATAGCTGGAAAGCAAAGAGAGCCAATAGGAGGAAACAGAATGAAATATTAAAATCTCAATGTAATAGTGAACATTCCTTCTCTTGAACTTGCTTTTTCTTTCCCTTCTGGTACGGACCTGAACATCATCTCAGTGTGTCAACTCTCTGTCACACTAACATTAAACAAGTTTGATCACATTTGCTGCTTTAATCTGTTGACATGGGTTGTTCTAAATTCCCATTATTATCTTCTGAAGTCTTTTTTAACTAGTGCCTAGCATGAGATAAAATCTCACACTTTAAAAGAAATGTTATAGGGCAGCCTGGATCACCGAGCATGAGCAGTTTTGCACACCTCCAGGGTACAAAATGAAAGCTGTTCTTTCTTCAGAGTCTCTTAGACATTTTATTTCAAGTCAAAAGCAAGTAAGTTGTATTTCTAATTGTCTGCAAATTATTTTTTGCTTGTAAATTGTAACTTTCATCTCTGTTTCTGTTACAGGTTTGGGTTTTTTTAGTTTTGTGTTTTTGTTTTGTTTTTTTTTTGTGAAAGTTGAACAATACAAACCCAACACTCAATAGTCCAGGGAGCCAAGCCATGTTTTGCTCATTTGCCCCAGTCCTAGCACTGACAATGGGTAGGAACATTACTACAAATAGACAGAGAACTCCTGTTTTCATACAGCTCTGCCCAAGCACAGCATACCATTCAGATTTTAAGTTTGCACACAAGCTGATTACTTGCATACATGAAGAGCCACTTTAACTACTGCACATATTTTTTAGTATGGCCTCAGGATTATTTTTCTGTAAGTGAAAATATTTAAAAGGAAAATACTTCATAAAAACCACTATACATTTTGAGATAAGCTATTGCTTGTGAAAAGTGCTAGGTTAATAACTTTGGAAAGTGCAGTCCTCCACATAGCCAAAGAACACAGACAGCAACAGCATTGGAATCTCTGATGTGCCTGCAACAGTTGAGGTGCCAGCATAGGGAAGGGTTGGAAGGGTAATTAGGACCTAGTTTGATTCTCCACTGACATATACAAGGATGCCAGTTTTGGAGCTGATGGTTGCAATCTGAGCACCTGTCAGTCACAGCATGACTGCTAACACTAACTAAACCTGACATACTATACAGAACAGCTACCAGTTCTAACAACTTTATTTCTCCCCTTCTTAGTCAATTTTGAATCATCCTCCTTGGGGTAGAGAACCAGATATTCCAACAGACTTTCCCTACACCTTTCAGTATCACATATTTCAAGTAAAAAATATTTATTTTCAAACACTGCAGCTAGTGATTTCACTTTTGCCTACAGCATCATCCATACTGTATCAAGTCTGGAATGAGCTCTTTTGTATTACATTAATGTTTTACATTTTCAAAGCACATCCAAAAATCAGCTAAATAAGGATTGCATTAAACCCTACAATTTAATCATAGTATATATGATTACATATAATATATATATATTATATCTGTATAGTTTTATGGCCAACTTACAAGCCCCTGAGAACAGAGTTTATGCAGAATCACTGGCACCAATAACACTATGGATGCAGCTTTATTTAGATGTAATTAGCAAAAAAAGCACCTGAAATTATTTATATTTTCTATTTATAATAGATTAACTCTTTGGATATTTTCTTAACTATATTAAGAATACATTTGTTAACCTTAACATCCATAGGAAAGATTATATTTACAGACAAAAATATGAAGACTTGATGCTGAAAGAGCAAGAAAAGAAGGTGCCTGATCCTGTGCCCTTATATACATGGGTAGTGCCTTTAAATCAATTCACACGAGTATGGGTCCCGTGTCTGAATAAAAGTTACAGGTTCAGGTCGGTAATACTTTATGCATACCTGATTTTGACAAACTACTATTTAAACTATTTTTACAAATACATTCTACAGTAACTGTGTCTACGGGCTCAGGTATCCAGTCCTGAGAGAAACACGAAGTCTGTCCCCTGCATTTGTAAAATCTACTAGATGGGGGCACATGTCTAGAAGTATCTACTTTGGCAACTCTACAGTGCATTAGACAACTAGCACAGGATACGATCCCCTCAAGTGTCCCAGTCTGCATTAGGCCTTATCAGGACCAGAAGCTCTTTCGCCGATTGTAAGACCCAGACAAGGGAGTTTTAGTGAAAGAGTAAGACCTCACTTAAAATGTGAAACAAGGCAAAACCCAATTCAGTATAGATTCCAATCTGCCACCCAAATCGTGTTTTTATATTGACTATAGATGTTGCTGTCCAAAAAAGAAAAAGACTTCTGTTCAAGCTAACTTCGTTACATCACCTGTGAAAATGAAACCATGTACTTTTCAGAGTACTTATATTGACTACATTCTTCATTAAAGATTTCTCCTAACACTGCAAATACAGTCTTGGTTGGCAACATATTTTAGAAGACAGACTAAACGTGTTTGCAGTACTTTGACGTGAAAATGGAATTCTTTCCAAATAGAAAGAATATATATTTTGATAAGTTAATAATGACAAAATTTCTGTAGGTAAAAAGTGCAAATTAATGTATGTTACCTCCAAGCATTTTACACTGCTACCTACAAGAAGTTTCAAAGCATCCTTCATTTTGATGTGATTCACCAGTTGAATAGCACATTTTGACCAAGAGTCATAAAATATATTTGACTGCTGCCTCCTGACTGCACAGATGCAAAGAACACCTTGAGAGAGGAAAAAAATAAAAGGAGATATGTTACTGCCAGCTTACATTTATGGGTACAAATATTCTCATACAGGAAATGTGAGAGAATGCCACAGCCCCAAATTAAAGGATATATATATATATATATCACAGTTCAATTTTAATCCCATGAGAAACTTTTTAAACTGAAACTGTGCTTCTGGTACAATTGGGATATATATTTTGGTATATTTCTTTTTCCTATTTGGAAAGACACATGAGAACATTAACAAATAATTAAACAGTTTGGGGGCTCCAGTTTTCTAAATTCACCAGTGGGATCAAGCAGGTTTCACAGAACATATACCAAGAACTGCTATATACAAGAAATCCTCCTTGATAATTCATACTCCAGTGCCTGCAGTGTCTCAAATATTAGAGCACTGGGGCTTTTTTAACATGATGGCTGCTCTGTATTACCTGTAATATCAGTTGCCCAGGAGAGGCAGTCCTGTAGTTGGGCATTATCAGGGCTGGCTCAGGGCCTTCCCCACTGCCCCTGATGTGCTGGAGTCTGGCCAGTTGGTCATGTCTGTAGCTGTTACCACCTCTGATACCAGTTAAGGCTGGGTGGAACAGGAGTTATAACAGAGCTAGATGGTGTGAAAATGTAGAATTATCCATAGAGAGTGATTTCTTTTTGTTGGGAGGGATTTGGGGGTGGGGGGTGTCAGTGATTACATTTGCTTTGAATGGAGAAGTTGCACCAAGGTAGGAAATAACCAATGTAATAAGAAAGTAAAAAAAATTAAATGGCCTTAGTGTCATAGTTGACTATTACTCCTTTTTTGCTAAAGCACCACGCTGTAGTTATCTCTGTACCTTGTCATTTCTTTCACATAAAAACTTCAGCTTCTGTGCTTTCTTGTGCATAAATACTCCTTCCAGATTTCCGGTTTCCACAGAGCGTAGTTCAATCGCCTTCTCTCCCCAGCCCATGACCTGGTTAGATTGAAGGTAAGCTAAAACAAACAACAAAAAGAGTAAAAAGTACTGATACTGTTTAACAACTGACACACTGATTCTTGCCTCATTTATGCTAACATGGATCTGAAGCATTTCTCTTCAATCACAGTATGCTCTGAGTTACTTAAGTTTACACAAAAAGTCTTGGGAACAGTAAGTAAATTTCAGTTTGTGATCTCAGACTTATTTTGGACTCTAGACATAACTCTTAAGTATGCTACTATTGTATAGTTTATGATCAGGAAAGTTGGGCAGAAACCTCTGAAGAGCATCTTGTTTAAGACCCACCCAGAAAGCAGGGCCAAATAAGACAAGGTTACTCAGGACCTTGCCCAGACATGTTCTGGCATGTTTCATAGCTGCTGCAATCCATCACTACTTTCAAGGTTAAAAAATTTTGCCTAACACATAATTTGCATTGTTTTGGTGCAACTTGTGCCCATTTTTATCTCTCATCGTTTCCAGTACATGTTCAAGAAAAGTCTTGACTCAGAATTTTCTATAATCTCTCATTAGGAAGTTTGGTTTGTATTTCCTGTGGAGTTCAGTTTAGTCTGAAACCTAAATTCTTCTGAATCTGAGACTATGGCACGATTAATTTGGTGTCCCTAGCTACTGTCTTCCCATCACTAGTTACGAGCAACATCTTGAAAACCAAGATACTCCAGCACCATGGAAGCTTACTATGTAACTTTTAAATCTGGAAATTAGATGAAAAATTGAAATAGCAATGAAGGAGTTAACACCACAGATTCCAAACTGGCCACAGTTTCAATGAAAGCCCTCGAATTAGTGCTGGGCTTCTAGGGTAAAAACACATTAGTTATGCCCTATTGATAGTCAATGCTCAGAAATGGTTCTTGCTCAGCTGTGAACTGTCACTTACTAGTCTGAGAATTCTGGCACACTGAAATGATGTAGAGGGAGTGTGTGCATTTAACTGGTTTTTAGCTTCAATGGACAGTGCTTGCCTGCCCCACATTATTAGTGTGAGCAATGTCTGTTCCTCAAAACCTTCCATTTAGGTTTTTGTCTAAAAATTAAACTTTGAGTACACACTGATAGAGGAAGCAACAATGCTTAGAAGCCTACTTTAGAACAACAGCAGAAAATGAAGTCAATATGCCTGAGTGATTGTGTATCCTTCTTCTAGACGTTGTTGATTTAGTATTAAATTGGAACCCTTGCTTTGTAATTCTTGTCATAACAAGTGTATGAGAATTGTACCTTCTTGGTAATGTATGATTTGGCTACAATATTATATTTTATGTCCCTCAAAGTCTATAAATTGCCCCTAAATCTGTTTAGTATACTTTCATTTCAGTTATTAATGCCACTAGAGCTTATAGCAACAGTTTTTTTCCAGTATCTCAGTTATGTGGAAAGAGGAAGAAACCATCCTGTTTGAAAAGCAGAACAGTGAGCAACAGGGTAGAGTGGGAGACGAGAAGGGGAGGGAATATTTTATAAACATCTCTTTTCTTTATGCTTCAGTTCCTAGTCTGTGTAACAGGACAGTGCTGCTCTAGGCTGTAAAGAAGACTGTCATGAACATTCCTGAACACAGCAACATGATGAGCAGTAGGGCAGCAACCACACTGCAGTTAGTATCTATGAAGGTAGGCCCAGACCACACAAAGTGAAAAAGAGTAAGGAACTCTATCTGGGGACAGGTGTGCAGTCCACAGAGAGTTTGTGGGTCAGGGTTAAAGGGAATATAGCTATGGGAGACATTACTGTGGGGATCTGTTACAGACCGCCTGATCAAGGAGAACCTGCAGATGAAGCACTCCATAGATAGGAAAAGCCTCACGCTTGCAGGCCCTTGTTCTCATGGGTGACTTCAACCACCCTGACATCTGTTGGAAGGACGGTACGGCCCGGCACAAGCAATCCAGGAGGTTCCTCGATTGTGTAGAGGACAACTTCCTTCTGCAAGTAACAGAGGAGCCGACAAGGAGAGGTGCCATGCTTGACCTCATGCTCGTTGGAAATGTGACTCTCCAGGGCAGCCTTGGATGCAGTGATCATGAGATGCTCGAATTTGAGATCCTCAGGACAGTGAGAAGAGCGTGCAGCAAGCTCACTGCCCTGGACTTCAAGGGAGCAGACTCTGGCCTCTTCAGGAACCTGCTTCGGAAGGTTCCATGGGATACAGCCCTAGAGGGCAGAGGAGCCCAAGACTATTGGTTGATGTTCAAGGGTCACCTGCTGCAAGCAGGGGTTGTTGCATCCCAACCAGAAGGAAGTGCAGCAGGAGGGCCAGGAGACCTCCTTGGTTGGATAAGGAGCTCCTGAGGAAAATTCAGTTGAAAAAAGAGGCTTATAATAAGTGGAAGCAAGGACAGGTGGCATGGGAAGAGTCCGAGAAGCTAGGGACCAGGTTAGGAAAGCTAAGGCTCAGTCAGAATTAAACTTAGCTAGAGGTATTAAAGATAACAGGAAGGGATTCTACAGGTACATAGCAAATAAAAAACAGACTAGAGAGAACGTAGGCCCTCTCTGGAAGCTCTCGGGAGAACTGGCTACACAGGATTTGGAGAAAGCTGAGGTTCTGAATGACTTCTTTGCCTCGGTCTTCACTGCAAATGCTCTGACCACACCACCCAAGTCTTGGAATGCAGATGCAGGGACTGTGAGAATGAAGACCTTGGGCCCACTGTAGGAGAGGATCTGGTTCAAGACCATCTTAAGAACCTGAACGTGCACAAGTCCATGGGTCCTGATGAAATCCATCCGCGGGTCCTGAAGGAGCTGGCAAATGAAGTTGCGAAGCCGCTGGCCATCATATTTGAGAAATCATGGCAGTCAGGTGAAGTTCCCAACGACTGGAAAAAGGGAAATATAACCCCCATTTTCAAGAAGGGGAAAATGGATGACCCAGGGAATTACAGACCAGTCAGTCTCACCTCTGTGCCTGGCAAAATCTTGGAGCAGATTCTCCTGGAAGGCATGCTAAGGCACATGAAAAACAACAAGGTGCTTGGTGACAGCCAGCATGGCTTCACTGAGGGGAAATCCTGCCTGACCAATTTGGTGGCCTTCTATGATGGGGGCTATGGAACTGATGGACAGGGGTGGAGCAGTTGATGTCATCTACCTGGACTTGTGCAAAGTATTCGACACTGTCCCACACGACATCCTTGTCTCTAAATTGGAGAGACATCAATTTCATAGGTGGACCACTCAGTGGATAAAGAACTGGCTGGATGGCTGCACACAAAGAGTTGTGGTCAATGGCTCAATGTCCGGCTGGAGACCAGTAACGAGTGGTGTCCCTCAGGGATCGGTGTTGGGACCACTCTTGTTCAACATCTTTGTTGCTACATGGACAGTGGGACTGAGTGCGCCCTCAGCAAGTTTGATGATGACACCAAGCTGTGTGGTTCAGTTGATACCCTGGAGGGAAGGAATGCCATCCAGAGGGACCTTGACACACTTGTGAGGTGGGCTGATGCCAACCTCATGAAGTTCAACCATGACAAGTGCAAGGTCCTACACCTGGGTGGGAGCAATCCCAGGCACAGCTGCAGGTTGGGCAGAGAAGAGATTCAGAGCAGTCCTGCAGAGAAGGAGCTGGGGGTGTTGGTTGATGAGAAACTGAACATGAACCAGCTTCAGTGTGCGCTTGCAGCCCAGAAAGCCAACCATATCCTGGGCTGCATTAAAAGGAGTGTGACCAGCAGGTTGAAGGAGGTGATCTTGCCCCTCTACTCTGCTCTCATGAGACCTCCCCTGGAGTATTGTGTGCAGTTCTGGTGTCCTCAACATAGAAAGGACATGGAACTGTTGGAGCAAGTCCAGAGAAGGGCCACGAGGATGATCAGGGGACTGGAGCACCTCCTGTATGAAGACAGGCTGAGAAAGTTGGGACTTTTCAGCCTGGAGAAGGCAAGGCTGCGTGAAGACCTCATAGCAGCCTTTCAGTATCTGAAGGGGGCCTATAGGGATGCTGGGGAGGGACTCTTCATTAGGGACTGTAGTGACAGGACAAGGGGTAATGGGTTAAAATTTAAACAAGGGAAGTTTAGGTTTTAGGTTGGATATAAGAAGGAAATTCTTTCCTGTTAGGGTGGTGAGGCACTGGAATGGGTTGCCCAGGGAGGTTGTGAATGCTCCATCCCTGGCAGTGTTCAAGGCCAGGTTGGACAAGGCCTTGGGTGATACGATTTAGCATAAGGTGTCCCTGCCCATGGCAGGGGGGTTGGAACTAGATGATCTTAAGGTCCTTTCCAACCCTAACGATTCTATGATTAAAATGATACAGTTCTCAGACACTTGCTGGTTTGTGTTATAACTGACACCACATTAACCTTTTCAAACTTTGCTTTTGAACACACCAGAGGCAGGCACACTATGGTTCTGGGGGCTGGGACAGTGAGGCAGGTGCGTATATATAAACAGCATGAAAGCATTCTATGGCTACACTGTGGAGTATCTAGATCACGGAATCACAGAATCCTAAGGGTTGGAAGGGACCTCAAAAGATCATCTAGTCCAACCCTCCTGCAAGAGCAGGGTAACCTAGAGTACATCACACAGGAACTTGTCCAGGCGGGCCTTGAATATCTCCAGCGTAGGAGACTCCACAACCCCCCTGGGCGACCTGTTCCAGTGATCTGTCACTCTCACAGTAAAGAAATTTTTCCTGATGTTCACATGGAACCTCCTATGCTCCAGTTTACACCCACTGCCCCTTGTCCTATCACTGGACATCACTGAAAAAAACCTAGCTCCATCATCCTGACACTCACCCTTTACATATTTGTAGACATTGATGAGGTCACCCCTCAGTCTCCTCCAAGCTAAAGAGTCCCAGCTCCCTCAGCCTCTCCTCATAAGAGAGATGTTCCATTCCCTTAATCATCTTTGTAGCTTTGCACTGGACTTTCAAGATCATATAGGTCCAGCAACAAAAATCTAATGCACTTATAAGTCTCCTTATTTTTTCCACTATGTGAAATCTGCACTCGTCGATGTGCTATGTCTGTATCAGCTGTTTTCATGCCTTTGGCAGATTTCAACTTGATAGCATCCTTGCAGCTCTCGGAAACAGCTTAATTAGGCTCTGTTGCAACCTCTAGGTCACCCAGGATAGAAAGCCTGGATCCATAACTCCAGTTCTCCCAGCCGTATTACAACAGGAACATAATAAAATGGATACACCAAGTTTGGCCACTGATGTTCTGCTGGCCAGCCAATATACTGAGAACTTGTCAAATGACAGTGGCAAATTTCAGGTGAAATACAAGTAACATAAAAACTCATTCCTGTAGCAGAATCAAAAGGTTCTTTCTCAAATTACATCCGTGGAATAACTTGCCAATAAAAGGCCTCATTACACCATTTGTAGGGTTGTCAGTTATGAGAATATATCTATACATGGAAATTAATTTGGAGGACAACAGGCTGTGAATTCAAAGGTCAGTACTGAGTCTTGGTAATTTTCCCATGTGGGAGCACTTACAAGTGTTTCACATGAAATGAAAGCAGATTAGATACTCAGAATAAAGTTATCTTATTCTGGAACAAAAGTTCCTATTCTATGAGCAATTTAAGTATGTATTTTGAGTCCATTTTCCACCTCAACAAGCTTTAGTTAAAAACATCCTGTGCTTCCAGCTGGCAACATATAAGGGTGTTTATATTACATGCAATAAAAGATTGTACTGGTTTCCAGCAACCCTAGACTTTAGACAGCTACTCTGGTCCTTTGGACAGTAGGCTCAGCAGGGAAGGCATATACTGACTCAGACGGATTTGTCAATACTGCTTAATATAGTGGAACAGTGTTACTCAGAGTTACTTGAAGCTCCCCTGCTTCACCCGGATTACTCCATATCTTAAAAGACCTACACTCGTGCATGAGCTGTAGTTCTTGTTACACCAGCATTACTCCTTGAACATCAAAGAACATATGCCATAAAGTCAGTATGGCAAAGTGAGCTCAAAATTGGTTTCTTAACATTGTGAAAGCATTAGTAACACTCCCAACTTGGAGTGAGACTTGGCATTTCCTGTTTATGCAGTGTATTAACGTTGAGTAGAGCCTACATACAAGGAAGTTACTGCTTCAAGGGGAAATGGTTGAGGAAGACAGGAAAGGTGAAAGAAATTACTGAGCCATATTGGATCCATTAACTTCTGTGAAGTGTCACTGACATGACCTAATGATCTTGGTCTTGCAACAGCAGCCTGAATAAGGGAAGTGCACTTGGTACCACAGAACATGGGTACTACTACAGTATCACTTCCCTTCTTTACCTTTCTTTTCTTTTTTTAACTGTTTCCCTTCAAAAGTCCCTCTTCTGATCTCATGCTAAATTCAGCTCACTGCCCTAAGTAGTTATTCCCTATTGACTGATCTCTGCATGAGAGCAGAATCAGGCCAGCTTTTAGCAAAATATCATAAAATTGGGGATTTCCTGATTAGTTTTACAGAAATAGGGCAGGAAAGGATCGTAATACACCTTCTCTGCCATCTGTGCCATATCAGGATCACTTCTCGCAGTTCTTTCTCTAACCTGACCTTAAAGACCTTTAGTGGAGTCTTGAGTGACATGGTGTGGTGCGGGGTGTCCCTGCCCATGATGGGGGTTGGAACTGGATGATCTTGAGGTCCTTTCCGACCATAACTATTCTATGATTCTATGATGGAGACTCCAAAAATCCCCCAGGCAATTGACTGCAGATAAACCAAGAAGTTCAGAATGAAAAAACAACATGAATTGAAAGATCCTGACGCACTTACACATGTCCAAGTTGCTCTTTGATACCACACTCCATTTCACAGGGTAAGAGTGCATGCTGCTTTACTGAATTCTTTTTTGGAGAGTCAGAATGCACACAGGTGAAATTCAATGCAAAAAAAGCTACTGGATTATGCTTTTGTGTACATGTTTGAGAAAATTGCTTTGGGCAGGTATGCAAGTGGGCATGAACATCCAAAGGAGAGTATCCAGTGGTGACTTTGCTGACAGTAAAACATACATCTTAAGAGCACACACTTGTACAGAACCCCTCCTTTAGCTCTTCAGTCAAAACCAGATGTTCTATGAAATCATGACTTTTATTGGTTCCCTGCTTTATGGAAGGGAGACATAAATGTTGAGGACTAGAAATGGAAATATCTCACGGAGATACCAGCCATGTCCTGGGATACAGCAAAGCTTGTTCCCACCGAAACCCAGCCTTGAGGTCTCCAGTGATGCTGCTGATCACTTACTAGGGATTGATTAACTACTTGTGTATACCTGTGACTGCTGCCCATGCTTTAAAACTTACTGTCTCCAAAGTTAAGCAATTTGGATTAGGAAAACCGAGGAAAGAGTCGGTAACTTCCCTTGTGCAATTCTGTTGTTCTCTGTTATTACTTATGTTATCTGGATGGAGGTGGCTGGGTTTTTTTCTTCCAGTCACAGCTGTGGAGAACTTTTACTAAATGAGAGAGTCTAGAGAGTCAAAGTCAAGAAGGAAAAAACCTAAATCTGGATAAAGTCACAAATGGACAAATTAAGAAATTGGCCAAGGAAGCCAGATGTTCCCCTGCTGTATGTTTTGGTTAAATTGCACTGGACAAAGGGCAGGTACAGACAGCTCTCTAACTACCCCAAGCAAGTAGGAGTAAATTTATGTCTCAACCTTGTTTGTTGTTTTTTTTTCCCTAAGCATGTATGTTTCTGTGCATCTCTGTTCAAAGCTTCTCTGATCCCAGGTTTTGCTCACTCCTTTGCAATTATTCCAGTAGAACCAATAACCCAACCCAGAAACGAATCTGCTTCAAGAGCTGGCGATAGAGCACTGAGGCAGTAATTCAACCACCTTTTGGTAATGCTGCCTGTTTTTCTACATAACATCCTTTTTGCTTCTAATGCATACATGACAAAGGAAATAACGTCTTTGATCCTTACTGTTTCCCCGCTCTTGGAATATCCACTTTTGTGCCAACCCTCTAAGACTACACAGTGTAAATAATTCATTATTCACAGAAAAGGCCAAACGTGCTCTCAAATCTTATTTACTTAATACTTCTTTTTTAATCTTGTTTTATAGAAAGAAACTGCTACAGCAATATTTGTATTTAGCCCTACATATGTGAAATATCTTTCAGATTAGAGTACTCTGACAATTGTAATTTCCCACAGGATCTTAGTTTCCTCTCTCCAATTTCTTATTAACAGATCAGTTACAGAGGTCCCAACTTAAAAACTGTGAGAGTGAGCTATATTTAGATTCCCTGCCTTAAACCCATCGATTATAATACAAACTATTTTTATTTTATTATTCTCACCAACTACACAAGTTTTTATCAAAATAATTGTTTAAAGAAATCAAGAAACAAGCAAAGGACGACTTCAGCGCACCCTGGGGTCAACACAAGATCTTTCTATCTCGACACAGAGGGAAAATTTTGAGGTAAGGTCACACAGACTTTAGAAGGTCTGAAATGGGCCTGGAAATTCCAGGAAAACCAGATCTCTTATGAAACTTTCAAGTTCCCCCTAAGTAACACAATTATTCAGTCTTCTCTCAGAATAGTTAATGCTTTTGTCTGGAGCCAAGAATTTCAAAGGATCAAGAAAATTAATAGGAGGTAGTGGGAAGCAATAATAAAAGAGTTAACAGAGATCTTTGTTTAAAGTTTGAATTGTGTGTTGAGTTACAGGTTGGGTTAATTTGTTTTTAATGGAAGTATAATTCCAATCAGAAGTCAAACTGATCTTGTACCACAAAGACTGATAATTTCTGTTCCAACGAAATCAATTTCTGAGATACCAGAAGTGCTGCAGCAGGAACGCAAGGGTTCTCAAACTAACGTACTGGAAAATGTTCAAATGACAACTGGGAGGGGCTATTTGGAGACTGCCTTGCTCCAGCTGTGAAATCTACAGAAGTATAAGGAATGAGGGAGACAGATGGGTGAAGAGAGACACCAGATAAAACCTACAATCTTGCTTTCTGAGCACTGGGAGAAGTAGTGCAAAGTTCTGTGTAGCCAGCTGTAACACTACCATCCAAAACATGCCATCTAACTGACCTTCTGCTTCCTCAGCAGGCATTTCATTATACGTGTTCTCTCCTTTGATGGGCACTACCTTCCGATCTGGTGGTGCCCAGTACAGAGAAAATCTAAACTGTTCACATAGACAAGACTCCTAACTCTTATATGGTAAAATTCACCAGACAGGGGTGCCACCCTCAGAAGCATCTTCTCCATCCTCTTCCTTTTTAACTGCCTTAAAATACTGTAACAAAAAGCTTAGGCAACTGCTATGATTCATACTGACAGTTTTCCATGCAAATGATTATCACAGTGGTGTGCTGAAGAACAGGAGAAATAGCTGCATGAGCATGTAAAAAGACAAATGTCCAAATGTCATTCTTTCTATTAAGATGCAATCAACCTTGGGAAATTTGGAATATCATGCCTTGCACTAGATTTATATTGAAGGATGTTTTAAATTAATTAACTGGCACAAAAGATCAGCTGGTCCAAAGTGGTGAAGCTTTATTCACTTCAATGCCAGCTGGTTATGTGCAAGGAAATTTGTACTGAAGTTAAGGTAGTGTGATTTCCACACTACAAGAATGCTTTACAAACCTATTATCTTTGTGGGTTTAATGATTCAATACTTTCAGCAATATTAGGAAGGACTTAAACTCTCTCTGGTCACTTCTGAGCCATTCCTGCAAACTCTTCTCTAGATTAAGTGAAAAAGCTTTGAGATCAATCAGTGCCCACTGACAAAACCAGAAAATTTCCACAGTCAGATCTATGCAACCCTTCTTGCAATAACAACATCCTTTCTAAAGCAGGGTGTAAGAAAGCCCACACTAACTCCTAACAGTGACTCTTTGGGACATAGCATATAGTGAGAATAATAGCATATAGTAAGCTTGCTACTTTTAGTAGCAAGGAAGCATGTCCCATAACGACATGCTTCTTGAAAGCTTCCATCTCCTTCAAATAGCATTTGTCAGGGCAGCTTCCATTTATCAGAACTCTTCCTACCCTGGCTAATTGCCTTTTGATTACTGATTGTTTCTCATGGTGTTTCTAACATTAATTCAGAGGGGATGTAACATTTCAACATATCAAAGACCACTAGATACTCCTATGAAAAATGGAGAATTGATTTAATTATGCCCTGTAGCTCTGAATATGGACTGAAAATTGGAGATGGGATGATTCAGTGAACACTGCATAATTAGCTTTAACCTTATACCTGTTTTTTGGCATAGTAGCAGTTTTGTTGCTGAATTTTATTGAAACAGTGCAGAAAAGTTGTTGCGATTTGTGTTCTAGAGGTGGGCTTCTTGCCCTCAGTACTGTTGAAAACCCTCTACAAATGTCAAACCTGGCATTTACTCAGGGGTGTTACTCTCCTGATTTTAATGGACTTTTCTTTTAAGCAGCCAGAAGCCAGAGGAGAAAGGTGAACGTCCTTTATTTTTCAGTTTCTGCCAGGCTAATAATATGCTTTTGTACAACCTAAGTGTCTTGGGCTTTCTTTGTTTGTCGGGATGTTTGTTTTAAGATGCAGAAGAACAGAAGCAAGCCAGAAAAGAAATTAAAACCAACAAATAATAAAAACAAAACTCTGCTTTTGTTGTTCTTTGTTTTCCCCACACTGTTAACTTGAAGCCCTCTGGGGGAGGTGAAACAAACAGCTGTCTTGGCTGCAATACAGTCAGAATCTCCTCCTACAAAGCCAACTGCAAGCATGGAGAGATTGAGAATCTATTAGAAATACCTGGGCTGGCAGTTGTGTTAAAGTGATAAAATTAAGGGGCAATTTGGCAGCAGTTATAGACCTTTTCACTAACTAACCTCTCTACAGTTGTGAATTTTTATATAAAATGCTACGGGCAATGAACAATCAAAGTATGAATTAAGAGCATCTTTTCCCCCTCTGTAATGAACATAATTATCTCTGTGAAAACTGGTGGTAAGCTGCATCCTCAGTAAAGTTTGGCTATATAGTTAAGGTATGAGGCAATAAGCAGGGTGACAGGAATACAGACTGATCCAGATATGAAGACTATTGCAATCATTGGCTATCTTTACACAAATGTATATAGATCTGTTTACATATTTAGTTTGCTTAGAAGCTGCTTTATGTGCCACACACACACTTTCATATGGATACAGACCTCACAAAGAAGTCAGGCTTCATGCAGCAGAATCTTATGTTTAATAAAGTGCTATTTTTATACATACCTACTGATGCTGGCATTTCTCCCCACTGTAAAACGGTCTCCTTTGTGAAATGCCCGTATATATCAATGTAAATGCCTTCATCTTCATAGGTGAGTAAAAGCTCCATTCCGCTCGTATTTGGGAGGATGATAATGGCATGTGGGCGAATAGTCCCCTGGATCTGGAATCATATTTTACTATGATTTGTATCAGAAAATGGACTACAATTTTAGTGACTACATCAATCTGACTACCTCGGCAGAGCAATATGAAGAGCTAGCTCATGGCTCATGGAAAGTGAAAGAAATGCCTGTGTTCAGAAAGGCTGTACAGTTTGCTAGCTAGCCCCTGAAACAGGCTTTCTCCCCACCTCCCCCTTTGAACATGACAGTAGGCTTGCAAACAGATCAACCTTCAGTATTTCACTTTATATGTACCAGTATGAACTGGTTCAAGAAGCCATGGAGCCACTGAGACACAATAATATTTACTTTACTCATTTAGAAGACATTTTGGTTATATAAATAGAAAAAAGGTGAAGTAAATTTGAATTCACAATTATTTCAGAAGATGGAGGAAGGACAAAAGCTTCCACATTGCAGGAAACTGGTGCTTTCACTTTCCATGATAATTCCTTATCCCCACTCACAAGCTAAAACTGTAAATGTCACAATATTTACAGTGAGTTGAAAAGTTACCTGGACCTTTCAAATACAAGCCACTCTCTGTCCTTCCCTTCCCATATACTTCACTAAGAACAGTTCCCCATTTAAATGCTGTTCAGCATATGTTTTCTGCATGCCACAAGAACAGTGCATTTCACTCACACAGATTATTTTAACAGCTGTTCAATGCACTAGAATCTCTCCAGAAGCCAACATGTCCCAGATGAAAAAACCCAGACAGTTCCAAGCATACAACCATGAAGGTGGGATTTTACGAAGCATTTTTGAAAGAAAAAGAGGACAGCCTTAAAAAACATTAACAAAGCATTTCCTTGTTTAAAGCACTACTCAAACAGGATGTTAGATAGTAAATGAAACCACTACAATTCTTAGTTTTATAGGAAGCGTATGACTGGAGTTTTATATCATTCTCACAAGCCAGCAACACACAGATCTTCTCTTCAAGCACATACATTAACACACACTGTGAGGGCACAATGAACAGGAAAAGAAGCACTGAAGCTGTACTTGCCAAACTGAATACACTCAGGCCAACCACTTGACTCCGTGCCTCCGCAACAACTATCCGTAACACTAGAACGGGGATCCAGAGTCGCAGAGCAATTTTAATGCGTTGCCTTGGTACTTGCATGAGCGATCGGAGCAGGTAAGAGATGAAGAAAGAGGTGGGGAACCAGGAAAAGAGGCTACCAGGAAGAGTATCTCAAGTCAGCCTGTTAAAGTCTGGTCTGTTGCCACCACAAAGCTCCTTGAGAGAATTATCCAATTCTAGCAGATGCTCTTTAAAGTAATAAAATACCAAAAATGACAGAGCCACTGTAGCAGCAGATTTATTTCAGGTCTAAGACTCTAAAGGGAAAAAAATATTTTTAGCACATCCCAACTTTTGGTTGAAGAGCACCCACAAATGGAGTCAGCCTTAAATGTGCCCCACATCTTCAGGACAGTCACCTGGGAAATCTCTCTGATCAGGTTATAATTATATTTGCAGCCTGTTGAAAAACTAAAGCTTCTCAGAAGGTTCACTTTTTTTTTTTCCCTTTATCTTGGGCAATTATGCTAATGATCTTTTTGACAAGTCATTATTCACCTTGCTTAGCAACCAGCTTCCAAGCATGTATGCAGGCACCACGCTTAGATTTATAAACCGATACGAATTTGTCATAGTTGCACAGCTAACAAAGTGACTAATTATCAGATTAAATAAACTGTCCTACAGAACAAATATTAAGTCCTTTCAAAACCCCCACAGAAACAAACAGCACAGGCTTTGAGCAGGTGATTCAATGCTTTGTCCTTGCAAACTAGCAAGTCACCTGTTAATCAAGAGAATTTTATAAATTTATAAACAGACTTACACAAAATTTGTATGAATTTATAAATAAACAACCATCCTCAAACACCGTGTCCATCAGAAACACAGGGTCTGACACGATCTGAAGGCTGCCACCTGTCAGGGCAGCAGAATGATCAAGTGCCTTACATGGGAGGCGTGGGCTCTCATTTGGTTTGAAAACGTGGGGTTGAGAATAGAGAAAAAGCAGTTAAAAAAATGGAAAGGATTCAAGGCACAGGCTGCAACAATGGATCTGGGGTGAGATTTCTTCAGACCTCCTGAGCATGACTTCGGGCACATTGCCTTGGGATGCACGGACCATGGCACCAGGATGCACCAACCCTCTGCCCCTGTGGAGCTCTGTTGACTTCAGGGAGGTTTTCAAGTGTGCACGTAAATTCCCTTGCCAGGAGCCTACCGTCAGACTGGAGCCATGGGAACCTTCTCTCTTTCTAGACCTAAGCCCCCAGGTTTCTCTAGCTTTTTGGACTCACACTTTGAAAAGAACTATCTAGAATAGCTAGAAAATAAGCAGGCAAACAAACAGAAAAAGATTAAAATCACAGCACAGGCTTCATACTGGGCAGCCCCATGCCAGTCAGTCGTTTCTGCAGGGGAATTAATCTATTATCCAAATACAAGCAGGAATTTAGTGATCGCCATCACTTCAGTAAACAGACACACAATGCAAGATATACACATCAACCTGCAATCAACATCTTCATGCCAACTTATTGACAAACTCATGAGAAAATCCTGTGGAATATTTTTTTCAGAAATTATTCTGAATTTAAGGACTGATTTCATGGGCAAGTGAACAGCAAGATCAGCAAATTTAGTCTGGAAGCTGGGTTTCTGCAAAGTCATCACTAAAGAACAAATCACATTTTGTGCACAGAGCCTGCATCCGTAATCATGTGAAAAAAGAAAACAACTTTGCTCCATGGTAAAGAAATTGGGATTATTCATGGGTGCACATTTATACCTGGCTCCTCTACCCACCCGTACCGGGTGCAAGGGTAAACATGCTTGCAGTGGATCAAGGTTAAAATACGTTGCACCAATCTTCAGAATGCAGGCCAAATTTCAACTCAGTTTGGATTCAGTGATAATTTCATCAGCTTGTTGGCATGACAGGAAAGCACACTATCAGATTGTAAAAGTCACCTAAATTTATGTAGATATTATTGTGTCTTTGATTGCTTACATCCTAAATTTCCATGATAAATCAATTAAAAATAGCACTGTCCATACAACAGGCTTTCTGACATTAAACCATTAAAACTGATACTCTAGATGTGATAAAAGCCTTTTAACAGAACTTCAGTGTTATAAAAGTATGTGAAAAGTGGTTTTCTATTAGCTTGCACATGACATTTATTCTCTTACCCTCCCTGTCTTTTGAAATACAGCACAACTCTTAACCTGATCATCATCAATACGCAGCTCAAAGAACACAGGCATTTATGTAATGTTTTGGAGTATCTTACGTGTGTTGGAAGGTACAGGTCATACACAGATCCAGAGTCCACATCAATAGCATGAAAGCCTACTAGTGAGCCATATATGACTTTCAATCTTTGTCCATTTTCAACGGTCAGGTCAACTGACAGTGGTTTGTGATGAAGTGAGGTAAAGGACTGGAAAAAGAAAAATACACTGTGTAACACAATAAAGCTGCTGGCTTACAGATCTACATATATGATCTTATGAACTTTCAAAACTCAAAAGTTAGCTATTTTTGTTAAACAGTATGTTAAATTTAAGGAGGTAAGTAGCCATCGTCTACTGTGTTGCAGGGAAAGCGGAATAATTCCCTTGGGTTTTAAAACCCACCAGATTCTAGAAGTGCACTAAGCAAAACTCAGGCTGAGTACCATTCATGTTCAATTTCCTCCTTCTTTGAGGGAAATTGGCATCAATTTTGTGAACTCAAATGTACGTTTTGGCACAGTGCTGAAACAAGTCGTTCACCTCTAACAGAATCATGACTGTGACAGTTTTATGCCTGCCACCTCCCGGGCATGTCAATTGAGCTACGTTTTCTTTAAAAGAATACTCCTTTTATCTTTAACTAGAAATAACTTACACAAAGCAACAAAAAGCCAAAGCAAAGAGTAGATGAGAGACGGTGCTCCATCTGAACCAGAGTGCGATTTCACTTACCTTAAAAGCCATGAATTTGTGATAAGGCTTTGGAGCCCAAGCATAAACTTCCACTGAGTTTTTCAAAGCAATTACAAGGAATTTGATTCTCTCATATTTTACTGTAATATAAGAAGAACAATTCCTTAGGTACCAGACAGACACTTGAATCAAAGACCACCTCATCATATGAAATAATTTTAAGGGACTACTTGTTGAGGTAGACATTATCCAGCAAGAGAGACTAATGGATTCTGGACATCAATGTTTTAACACCACCGATGACAATACTTTGACTGAAAACCTATAGTTCATTTATTCTTAGTAAAGCCACACGACTGTTGACAACATTTACATACTGTTTTTCATAAGATTTATGACAAAAATCCCAAGTTATTTTACTAGTCGGAAAAAAAGGTTTTGACCCTGCCCCTAAACCAACCTACTTTTTTGTTGGTGAACACACACCAACACTGCTGGTTGCGAACAAGCTACTTTTGGAGGAACGGAGGCTGTCCGCTGAACAATTCAGTTACACTGCAGGATGAATTTTCATTTCACCGTTTGTGTGTGGGGTGAAATCCCCATGTGCTAGTGTGGGTGAAGGACTCTCATGTTTCGGAGGTGAGTAAGCATTTAAGAGATGAGTAACTTCCCTAAGTTGATTAAGGTCACATTGGCCAATTGAGAATAAATGAAAAAATCATGCACTGAAAATTAAGGCCACTCTGTACAATGTGTTTTCTCCCTCTGCCAGAGAGAAGCATTTGCTTTGGAAACAGAACATATACACCCCTCATTTTATATTCAGTTTGCTTGGCAGGGATTTTTAAAAGATGCAGGTGTTACATTACTGAAATAAGGTTTAGTTTTGGTGGGAGAAGCCTTTGCTGCTTACAAAAGGAGCAATTCCACTTGCCAAACACACAGCAGGGTGTGAAGAGTGGATAAGGATGGACACTGCTCAGAAAATCTCAGAGAGACAGAGAAAGAAAAACAAAACTGCACTCCACCAAAATGCAGAGCAGCACCATCCTCCTGTTCTCTTCTACCTGGACAAATGGCTGTAAAACCAAAAGTCAAGGTACAGGAAGCTTCACCAGGAGAAAAACAGCAGCAGCTGTTTTGTCAAAGCAGTAAGAGTGACTCGTCATATGTAAACACAGAAGTTCCTACCAAATGCTTGCCTGATTTTAACATAACTTTTACTTGTTTTTAAAAACCACACCAAACCCAAAGAAAAGCAACTGAACTGGAAGATGCGGGTGCTTAACAATGCACATCTGTTTCTTATTCTTTCTTGGATTTAGCCCTTGTCACTTTTAGAGCTGTGAAATAGAAAGGCAGAAAGATGTCAAGCAAGTAAGAGCCAGCGACCTTGCTGCCTCCCGCACTCCTGTGTATCATTTCTCTACTTAGCTTTGGAAAAAGTGCCACCTTCATACACCATCTTTCACCAACGCAAATCTTTGTCTGTACATCACATGCCCTCATGCAGTTAAGTGACAGGAACTATCACAATACTGATTCATATCCAAGAATGAACGGCCCAAAAGCCAAATAAAAGCAAAATGCTTTCTGAATTGCTGTGGTACTATTTCCAGTGTGTAAGTTTAAACAAAGGTATACTTCAGTCTTTTATGATCTAGAAATGGGGATGAACTATAGTGCATCCAATCTGATCTACTGATGGACATTCTACAAATAAGATTTACTAGCATTTTAATAGTCCAGTTTCTTAGCAGCTACTCAGGGCCAGAAGCGAAGCTGAATAGCACAGAGGTGGAAAACATCAATCTAATTAAAACCTTAAGTAGCTACAGAGCTGTTAAACTGTTGACTGAGCAATAGACCCAGGCTGGCACTCCCTTCTTCCAGCCATCACAGGGCATACCTATAACTGCTGCAAGAAGAGATAGTACCTGAAATGACAGGAGCAAAGCATCTATCATGTAAAACAAGGAGGTTTGAAAGAACTCTGAGATCTTGAAACAGAGCTGAAATAAAACGCTGGTGTCAGAAGACACAAAAGAATGGTAAAGCAGCTCTCCAAGGCGAAAACAGAGCCCTTACCGACTTTGTAGTGCACACAGCCCTCCAGGTCACCCACAGACACCCAGCCTTGCCGCTTCTCCACCTCTGGATCATTGCGCAGAATTTTATTTCTCAGCCATGATAAGTAGTACACCCTCAGCTTATTCTTCTTCCCTGAAAAAACAAACCACCTGCTTTAACTCACTGAAATACAAACTCTCCCACACTTACAGAAAGGCAGTTTTGTGACCTTGAGTACAGCGGGTCTTTGAGCCTCATCAACATGAGAGAAGTGTGCAGCAGCAGAGAGGAAAAGCCCTGTGGGATGGTAACACACAGGAGGGAACTGGAACATGAGCAATCCTGTGGCATTTGGCACCTTATGACTCAAGCTTCATGCAAGACTTTCATACCCAAGTAAAATTCTTCCCTCAGGCCGAAGAACAGGGTCCATAGAGATACATGTTTTATCAGTAATAATGACACTATCTGGCATTTACTCTTTGACATGAAGAAAGGAACACAGTTATGGCCTACAATGGCCATTTTGAATGAATTACTCATTTAGTTCTAATTAACGGGCAATCTTCATCACAAGTAGCTGTTTCCTTTTGTATGCCTTTCCAGGTGAGAATTACTTTGTCATCTTTCATCTCAGTGTTTCTGTCCCTTTAGTTCATCAGTACATAGGGTCAACAGCAGCCTGGGATCACAGGTTAGTCTAAAGAGAAGGACTGTGTCATATAATCAACTGGGCCTGTCAATATTGGACAAACAGCTCTCACCATTGCCTACCACGATGAGTGTGGATTGAAGCAAGGAGCTGCCATTCCTTGCTGGACCTACATCTCTGCCCTTGTTATGGACTAAGTGTCCTTCAAGGCCACTGTCATCCATGGAAAATAAGAGTCTCGGTACCTTGCAGGGCAGAATCCAAGCTGTTTGTCAGCAGAGGCTGCAGATGCTTCTTTATTTAACGTTTTCACAGTGCTTTTCATAGATGCTTTCACAATGTAGATAACTTTCATGTTACTGCTCATAGATCTTTTTAAACATCATATTTGAGAAATCATGGCAGTCAGGTGAAGTTCCTGATGACTGGAAAAAGGGAAATATAACCCCCGTTTTCAAGAAGGGGAAAATGGATGACCCAAGGAACTACAGAGCAGTCAGTCTCACCTCTGTGCCTGGCAAAACCTTGGAGCAGATGCTCCTGGAAAGCATGCTAAGGCACATGAAAAACAACAAGGTGCTTGGTGACAGCCAGCATAGCTTCACTAAGGGGACATCCTGTTCTATGATGGGGCTACAGAACTGATGGACAGGGGTGGAGCAGTTGATGTCATCTACCTGGACTTGTGCAAAGTGTTCAACACTGTCCCACATGACATCCTTGTCTCTAAATTGGAGAGACTTCAATTTGATAGATGGACCACTGGGTGGATAAAGAACTGGCTGGATGGCCGCACACAAAGAGTTGTGTTAATGGCTCAATGTCCGGCTGGAGACCAGTAACGAGTGGTGTCCCTCAGGGATCGTTGTTGGGACCGGTCTTGTTCAACATCTTCGTCACTGACATGGACAGTGGGATTGAGTGCACCCTCAGCAAGTTTGCCGACGACACCAAGCTGTGTGGTTCAGTTGATACCCTGGAGGGAAGGAATGCCATCCAGAGGGACCTTGACACACTTGTGAGGTGGGCTGATGCCAACCTCATGAAGTTCAACCATGACAAGTGCAAGGTCCTACACCTGGGTTGGGGCAATCCCAGGCACAGCTACAGGTTGGGCAGAGAAAAGATTCAGAGCAGCCCTGCAGAGAAGGACTTGGGGGTGTTGGTCGATGAGAAACTGAACAGGAGCCGGCTTCAGTGTGTGCTTGCAGCCTAGAAACCAGCTGTGTGCAGAGCTGCATCAAAAGGAGCGTGACCAGCAGGTGGAAGGAGGTGATCCTGCCCCTCTACTCTGCTCTCGTGAGACCTCACTTGCAGTATTGTGTACAGTTCTGGCGTCCTCAACATAAGAATAACATGGAGCTGTTGGAACGAGGATGATCAGGGGCTGGAGCACCTTAACTATTACAACCTTAACTATTCTATGATTCTATTAACACAGAATGAGGTTATTTAATGATCTTTTAGTAGGATTGCACTTAGAGAGATGCTAACCCATCACAGAAACAAGCAGAGTGATGAACTATAACTTGCCTAGAACCAGTTCATTTTAAGGATATGAAACACTTTGCATTTACGACAAAACATTTTACACATTAACCAGGTACTGAAGTATCCTAAAGCCTCTCTGAAGTGAGAATGTAAATGTTAAAAATTCAGGAGAGTTTTCCTATTAACAAGAATAACTGTCCTGTGATTTTCTCTAAGAGGAAATTCCTCAACCTAGTTTATAACCTAATTCTTCTTTTTAATAGCTTCCAACCCCAATGCAGGTCAGATACTTTTAGACACTGAACTAACCTGATATAGTAATTAGCACATTAAGTCCTTCAAGAACATCCATTTGCTGGAATCGTCTCCTAGTAATCAGTGAATACACTCTTCCTTGTCCACTTCTGTCCAGCAGCCATAATCCATTCTCTGTTCCCACCAGTAAATTGACTCCTGTTGATACATGGGGAAAAAAACACTGCATAAATCACCTAATGATTCAGAAGCCACTGAGTGCTCACTCTTTTGAGAACCAGTTCTTGTTTAGTCTCACTTAACAGTAGTTGATGATTTCTCTGTTGCTATGTGGATGACTTCCCAGAAACACGAAAAAAGGACCTCACCATTACAGTCTTTACCCAGCAGAACACTTACATGCTCATGTAACTTGAAAGATGAATAGTTCTGCTGAAGTCAATCTTGATTTAAACTAAAAGGAAAATGCTTTGCGAACTTGAACTTCTCAAAAGCCCCAGTCTGGCACCACTCCTCTGGCCACACAGGAAATCCAACTAAACCACCTAAGAGTCTCTACCAATAAAAACAACTCCCTCTTTCTCCAATACAATACTCAAAACACAGGACCAAACCTGTGGGAGGAAGGGCTGCTGCTACAAGAAAGAACAGTGGTTGTTTGAAAAGTCTGTGTTTTGCCAGAATGCTCTCAAATGCCAAATTAAAGGAGTGAATCCAACTGCTCCCAAGGAAGCAAAGGCTCCAGTGGGTTGCTCACATCAGAGGATGTAAAAAACTGTGGCTGGTATGACAGCTATGTTTCCTAATCAACAGCTTCTAAAGAAATGATATGAAGTGTCCTGCTGTAACAAGCAACCTCCTCTACTAGCACTGCTCTGATGCTCAAAGTACTTGGTGCTCTTCAGCCTCAACATACATTTAATTACAGACCTTGACACACAGCTCTGTTCTTAATCTAAAATCTTGGACTCCTGCAAACTTACATTACACAAAGTCTGTGAAGCTGTACACTGGAAATCTACATTTCCTTTGGATTATGCTTCGTTCACTTCATTCATTTTCTATTCCAGACTCAAAAAGTGAGGAGGATTAAAAGGCTGGGTGAATCCCATAGAATACATCTGTTCTGAAGTAGAAGGATGGTCAAAACAACTCAAGAGCTAGTGTGAGACTGGGACAAGGTCTATAGTTATTGAAAACTAGCCTGACTACGCTCACCTGGGTTTTACACTGTGTGAGGCTGACTCTGTATAAAGGGTGATCCAGTGAGGTTCCAAGTAAGCACTGACAGCCAGAACGTGAGGGAACCAAGCTTTTGGAAAGACTGGTGCCAACCTGCTTCAGATTCTTGGAATACCTACCAAATGCCAGCAAAAGTCTGCAGGTTTGGATTGTTCACACAAGGTCAAAGGCTTAGTGTGATCAGCTGCTCTTGCATGCAGCTGAGACAGAAGTAACTATCATGAGCCGCATAAGCTACTGAAACGTTTGCAACTTCTGGCTCTTCCAACGAGCGCACTTTCATTTTGGTGCCTCATTTTCTCATTCTCATGCACAAAATCCTTTGCAACTGTAAGTCATCTCTTTGCTATTTTCTACCAGGAAGGCAGTGTCACGTGAGTGACGCAAGCATCTACCCCGTGATCTGCTCCAGGACTTCCTGACAAGAGAAGTGCAACACAACTGTGAAATCTGCCTGGCACACGCTGCCAGCCTCTCCTGCTGCTGCCTCCCCTCCACAGGCATGCCCAAGTACTTCTGAGCTTACCCCACAAGGCAGCACAAAGGACCTCCGAATTGAATTTCTTCTTGTATTTACGGATTTCTGGACTGTCACTCTGGGGGCGAATATTCGTTGGGTTGACATTGACAATGGAGCCCTTCCGTGCATTTTCTCTCCTGACAGGCTCAGGTTTTGCACTAGATGCTAGAATGAAAGACACATGCAATTATGAAAAATGCAAGTGTTTGGCTACATCTCACCTGCTTATGGCAGGATGAAAGAAAACTGGGAGGGATGAGAAAACACCTCAGGAGCATTTCATAGCCAGAGGAAAAAAAAACCAAACAAAACACCACACATCTGGAAAATTCCTCAGGCATTCTTGAGTAAGCACTGTGGTGACATGGCAGCAGAGTTCTGGAGAAAGGCTAAAAGCATCTCAATGGAAATTCATAGTGATGCAGAATTCCAGTTTCTGGAGATGTTACTGACAGCTTCCATTTTCAAGCAATATGCCCTGCCCACTCCAAACCAACCAACCAACCAACCAGGAAACCCCTAAACCCCGGGATACTCACGAGAACTACAGGAAGGTCCTACTGGACTGGTGGGAGGGGTGATTGGCAGAAGTCTAGGATCTATGAATGAAGTAAATGATGTTGTAGAGGATGTACTGCTCTTTGAAGGTGTGCTTTCAGTGCATGGAGTCTACAATGAAAAACAAGAGCTGCTTCAGGAAGATGATGCTAGGGGAGCAGACAGCACAGAGCAGTACGGTGCCTCTGAGGTTAGGAAGAAATGGCATGTGGCATACTCAGGCATGATGAATAGTTCTAAAGCAATAGGTACAGATTCAGTGACAAAAGAGGAGGCCTGAGCAGGGAGTTGTGTTGGGATGCTTAGCCAGGCACAGTACCACACTGAAATAACCAGTACCCAGAAGAAGAGCATGTCAATCACTTCCTGCTCAAATCTCTTTACTGCAAGGAGGGCACTATTGCCTCAAGTAAGGCAGTTTAGGACACAACCCCTGACAGAGCTGTTTATTTGCCTTCAGTGACACACTTCAAGAGATGACTGTGCTTACAGCAGTGTTAAAGTCCCTTTGGGGCTCCCTTTGGTGCACTCCTATCTGACATATGGGTGGAAGAAAGCCACAGTCAATGAGCAGAGGCAGAGTGCTGTGTTGCTGACATGACAGGTAAAGGACCAGAGGGCACAAGCCCCCTTCTAGCTTGTGTAAAAGGGGAGGAAAAAAGGAAGGAAAGAAAAACGAGCAGAGAGAGAGATGGAGGCAAACAAGTGGAACAATGAAATATGTACAGAAGCTCAAGATTTCTAATCCATCCCCTAGATAAAACTGTTAAGGAAAAGAAGGGATGTGGTAAAAAAACTCCATCATAAAAAGAGACAGGATAGATGGACTTAAAAGGGACTTGATCTCAGGATCCTAAGGGCTGAAAGGCAATGATGGTACAACTGATTCAATCTGTAATTTATCTCTTACCTTATTCAGAGGTTTCTTCTGAGGTTCCTGGCTGGTCAGTGGCACTTTTGGTGGGTTCACAGAGGAGTCTGAAATCTGGCTTTGCTGAAGGAGGTCTGGCAGGAGATAGTTCTGGTTGTTTATGCTCCAGAGGCCTTCTTGGGTGCTAGAAATTTGCTTCCCTAAAATTGGATCCTGCACATGAGAACATACAGTTAAATTCTACATTTAGCATATGTCCAATTCAACTCCTGTTCATCAGACTCATTATTTATTGCATATGGGGAGAGGGTGCTCTACATGATGCATCGTATAAAGACAAACCCTATGGAAAAGTTAAATTAAAGTCAATAAATACAAGTTTGTGGCAAACACCTGAGATATCAACACTGGGTTCCCACTTCTGAAGTTTTCCATGAATGTTCCCCATTTACATTACCATGACAGGTAAAGAAGCAACTTCATCCTCAGAGACACTTGAGACAGAATTAAATTACTTGTCCTAACATTACAGATCTGACCTCTGCCTGCCACAGGCAGAGGTACATCTTGGTTCTTGGCCTGTATTTAGTGAAAAGTCCCTTACCATTCCTTGCATTGCTACTTTCCATTTGCTGAGTTATGAAACCTTATTCTAGAATGATGATATTCGATTGCATCTAGTATCAGCATTTCCAGTACAATGATGTTTGGTGCTGCAACCTCCTTACAGGATCTCACCTTAGCTTCAAGGAAATACTTGTAAGCTATGTAAGGTTGAGGCACCACACAAGCTGTCTCCCCAGCAGCACAAAGTACAGAGTCAGAGGTTGGTTTCTGGGAATACATGGCCAAAAAGCTTTAAAAAGAAGAAAGATGGGATGTATGAAACAAGTGGTGTCCCAGATTGCGAGGACAGTGATCGGTCAGGGTACCTGAACACCACTGGCACTGGAACATAGAGTGACAGGAGACAAGCACTACACTACAGAATTGCTCCTGAATTACACTGAAGCAAAAAGCACTAAACTCAAGCAGCTTCTGGCTGGCTGAATTCAAGGCAAGTCTGTGCATTGTACTGACTTTGATAAACAGCCTCCTGAAATTGGATCAGCTTTTCTGAATGCTAGCCAAAATATGGGGGTGGGGAGTTAGAGAAAACTATCTCATTCTAAATAAGACATTTGCCTTTTAAAAGCCAAGTAATTAACTAAAAAAAAAATCAAATTCATGCTCAAAGTATTTTACAGTTTAATTTAGATATAAAAACCCAAACCAAAACATACACATCTTTGTTTGAGATTAGGGAATCAAGCCAGCATGGGGTTTTTTTGTTCAGTTTTGAGTCAGATTCAGCTAAGCTGAACCAAACCCCCATTTGAATCATTTGGGCAATCAGTGGTTGGGAAGTCCAACCACTTCAAACCAGTTCATGCTGATGGCCAGCGAAAGGAATGCTTCCAACCTTAACTATTCTATGATTCTAAGGAGTCACTGAGACTCATGATGGCTGTGGTTGGTACAACAGATAGGGGAAAACGGACAGGAGTCTCCATGAGAAGAAGGGAGAAGACTGGAAGGCAGAGACCTTTGTGAGGAGGGGTGGCAGTCATCCCTCTGTTTCCCTCCTGCAATGTCCTCCCCCAAACCCACCAGAAATTGTGGCCTCCATTCTTTTCCAACCTCCCTAATCCTCAAGTCTGGGCCCCCAAAACCCCATCTTTCTCCTTTCCCTCAAGCAACCTATTTCCAGTGCCCAGATACCGGAGGAAAGGGGAAACACCAGAGTGGCTCTGCCACAAAGAAAAGGAAAAAAGTAAAAATCAAAACTAAACCAAACCAAAAAACCCAAATTGGCTCATGCCCCGTTTAAAATTCCTTCTCCAAAGCAGGGTCTTTCCTCCTCAAGGACGGTGAAACAAAGGCAAAGCAGGACTCCTTCCTCAGTCAGGAAGGATGCCCCTCTGGTCTGAAGTTCAGAAGTCACACCAGAGATAAAGAAAATTTCTTTTTGTTCCCAGCCCTGCCACAGCTCACAAAAGCAGCTCTGAGGAAAACACTGGCTTCATGGCAATTTGTTTTCTGTGTCTGTGAAACGAGAGTACGCTGAGTAATACATGAGAAGTGCTCTGATGCAGAGTGCAAGTCTTATTACTATAATTTTTTACAGTTTCCAACCACAAAGAACATTGTTCTGTTTTGTCTGTATTCATCTCTTCTGCACTAATATCTTTTTACGGGGGAAAATTCCCATGACTTAAAGTCTCTACTAGAAACTACAGATAAGAAGGAACCACAATATGACATAGCAGAAGACATTTTTTGCTAAGCTATCGAGGAGAAATCAAGTGTTTTCCCTCTCTTCTGGTAATATTTTAAGTAGTAAGAGATCATCCTCTAAACTGATATCAAAAATGTCAAGATTTTAAAACCCAGCTACAATGCACATCACCAATAATCCACAGCACTGCTTTATGCAACCTGCCCAGTGCCTTCAAGAAATATGTTGACATCAGAAACTACTACCAGGTCAATAACAAGGACAAATAAAGAAGTGCAATTTCATACCTAAATGTGAGCATTTTTACAGAAAGCACAAAATCTGAAACTATGCATTTTTTCAAGGCTTATAGCTATAATTTGCAATGACAGAGCAGGACTTCAGAGTGAAAATGCTGCTGAGGAGAAAAGGATACAGCATTTATCATGCACATTAATGATCTGACTCCCCCCCAGTGTACCCACCCCCTTACAAATGGCCAAATTACCTTCTGTTCTCCAATGATGCTTTGGGGTTTCAGTTCAATTCCGTCTGGTACTCTTGTCCTTGAGAAATCTGCCACTCTGCTGCTTAGCAGTTGCCTGGTAACAAACTCCAATTAATGAGCAGAACTACTCTGGGGGGCTGGGGAGAGCCAACCCCTCCCACCCAAAAGTAAAAAACCCCATGTATACACATTCAAAAGTGAGCATCATTAACATTCACTGCTTACACTTACAGGTTCTTGAAAAAGAAGCAAGCTGATGAGTGTGTGGATGTGACTGAACAGACTTGAGCTCAAAGACCACTCAACAGAGCAGGAAGCTCTTCTCCACCTCAATGGAGAGCATCCCTTTATGTCCCTGCATTTCATCCATCATTTTTCAGGCACTGCCTAGCTCAGGCAAGTGAGAGCTGGTCCCTGTCACTGGTTGCTGTCATTTGAGAAGCATCTACCTCAAAACTTCTGTCTCCCCTCAGACACTACCCTGTGGGGTACAATTACAAGCCACCCTGCTCTCCAGAGAAAGAGCATCAGCTGCACTTGCAAGGGGGTATCAGGGACCTCTCTGACAGTGCCTACTGGGACAGGCTACGCTGGAATTTCCTACTGTGAACCAGTTCCCAAAACATGGACATCCTCACCTTACGTACAAAAGAACCAAAATGTTGCCCAGTGCATATATAGACAGAAGAACCTAATTGCTGCTGGACTGGGTGGGGCCCAAAGCCCACCTACCCCAGGATTCTGTCTTTAAGAGTGACTGAAAGCACATACCTAAAGAAAGAGTAAGAAGGCAGCAAGCAGCTGTTGTGATACACTCCAGCATAGTATTGCTTCCTACACAAACCCCGGTATCTTTGCATTTTGAACGTTTTCACCCAAGTGAAACTACCTCAAACTTCCATCATTGAGGCTCTGGCCCCATTTCTGTGCATTTCTACCCCATATTATTTATTTATTCCACTTGTGTATTTATATCCATTTCTTTATTACTGAAATTCATTTAAGCCTATTACATTTCCATCCCCTTTCCAGTAATTATAAAACTGACTTGATTCACGATGCTGGTGTGAAAGGGCCTGCAGTGCCACGTGCCAATTGGAAGGACAGTGTAAAGATTTTTTGTTTGTTTATTTGGTTTGGGTGGTTGGGGTTTTGTGGGTTTGGTTGGTTGGGTTTTGGTGGGGGTTTAGATGGGTTTGGGTTTTTGTTTTTTATGTAAGTGTCTGTGGTTGGTTTGTTGTTTTTTTTTTAATGTTGCCCAATGTGATAACAAAGGAGGTCTGGCAGAGAACAACCAACTTCAGATGGTTGTGAAAGAGCACAAGGTTTCGTGGACCTTTTTCATTCTTAATTTTTTGGTTTTGGCTCATGTCCTCCTTTCTATGGGAGGAGATGCAAATAACACATGTGGACTTCCAAAGGTAGTGATACCGCTCCTTAAAATCATTACAGCATGCAAGGATCACAGCAATCTCACACACAGCAAATTCATTGCTGCAGGGCAAACCCGTACTTCTATGTAGAGTCTCTCTGAGGTCTAGGATGAATTCAATGACCTAGAGTGAATAAAACTTTTTACAGATCACAGTAAGGTGGTTTGGAAGAGGAGCAGTAAGGAAATAAAGGCAATACAGCAGAAAGACAACTCCCTCCTCATCCCTCAGCTTTGAAAATGAACTTCAGAAATGCAAATCAGGAGCATATGCAGGCACAAAAACCACTGCCTTCTTCAGAGCAGCACAGGAGAAAGGACTGGTACCAAGCCAGTGCAAATAGCTCGCCAACAGTGCTACAAATCTGTGCACCTCTTCCTAAAGACTGACAAAATTGCATGTGCAATGATGCCAGAGGAGCAAGAGCCCCACTGAAGAGAGATCTGTGGCCTGTGATGCACTTCAAAGTAAATCCTAGAACTTGAATTAAGTTTCTTTGCAAGAAAATTAGAAGTTTCATTCATCAATACTAAAAAATAATTCTATTTGCTGTTCCAAACAGTGGGGCTGGCCAGCTGATCCCTGGCTCTTTCACCTGGACCAGCGAGCTACTCACACTCCATTATTTCTCAGCAGAACACAGGTTTGCATGACAGGTAAAACACCACAAGATGTCAGTCACAAAATCAACATGAGAAACTGGAAAGGGGGAGAGAAACAGCCCTGGTGAAGGAATCAGCTTTTTAGTGGTAATTATTTCTCCCAGAGTGAACAGACTACCTGCATACAAGGGTCATGTCTGCCTTGGTTTTTTCACTGTAACCCATGTTTAGCATGAAGGGGTACAGTTTTTCTTCGCTCTCCTTTTTTTATTTTCAGAAATTCATTAAACATAGATCAATGTGAAGCAATCCCTATAAAAGCACTACCTACTGACATTCAGTTAAAACGAGACATTTCCTCATTGTCCCAGGGCAGCAAGTCATCAAAGCTAATTACACTGCATACATCTGACGGAGCAAACATTTACCCCCGGGAGTTCATTACAGTGCAATTAAACTGCTTAATTACAACTGACATAAATGATTGATATTAACTTCAGAGGGAGGTAGGATGCATGTATGCCAACTTCCTCCAGATATTTAGAAATGTGTAACGCAAAGGAAGAAAATAATAATTAAAAGAAAGACACCAAGCAAACCTCGTGTGGTTCACGTCATCCTCATCGCTGCTGCTGCTGACTTCATCACTTGATGAAGAATAGTCTGCTGCTTTTAAGAATGAGTTAGAGCTGTCCTTCACCTTGGCAAAGGAGGGTGGACTCTGCATATAGAAAACTCAGCTGACATTTTTTCCCATGAAGAACTCATCGCTAAACAGCATGTGCGGTATTTTATTGCCCCAAATATAATTACTGTCACTTCCACACCACACAGCTTTACTAGAAAGTTGGTGCTTTTCTTGGTCCATCACAAGTGGGTGTTTCACACAGGAATAAAACACATGATTTTCCCAAAAGTTGAAAGGTGACTAACTTCAGTCAGTATGTTATTTTGCATCTCAAACATTTATGATCCAATCTCTGCACTTTGCAGGAGCACAGAAGTACTTCCTTTCTCGCACAAGAAAAGCAGTGCTCTGCACTAGCACTAAAGGATTACAGCAGCTTGAGTTTTGTTCCAGCCCTGGACTACCTTGAAGGTTGTGGGGCCATGCCTGCGCCCAGGCTGTGCCGGTACAGACCAGGTACAGAGGAGCTTTAGGCTGGAAAGGCAACACCAGCACAGCCATGGCTCACAACCACAGGGCAGTTAGACACCCCAGTCCTACAGAAATCCATGTATGGGCCTCCCACACTATTGGCAATGGCTTAAGCTCAGAGTCTTCTTCAGACCTCCAGTCCCTGACAAGCCAGGAGGAGCTGGGGACCCCAGTAAGCCGCAGCTGTCCCCTGCTGCCCCACTCTGCAACCCCTGGAGCCACCCAGGCCTGCCTGTGAAGTTTTAAAATGCCAAGCATCCCACATGCGAGCTCGAACATCCTGCGCATGAGCTCTTGCACAAGGCACCACGGGCTCCGGTTGTCCAATAGGCATCTCCCCCTCCCCACCCCAAACACCACCAAAGATAAGAAATGCCTCAGTAAATAAGAAAGAGAAATAGCAATCATTCCTTTCGATCAGCAAACAGACCCAGGACAATCTTGAGTTTGTCACAGACTGGCAGCACATATTCCAGGCAGTTACACACCGGATATTTGCACAAGCCACTGGCATGGTCTTGACTGCATGACAACTGATCAATGACCTCCTGAAATATTAAAGACAGACCCTTCCCTTCTAAAGATTTATGATCAGACAAGTTCAGGAAAAGTGAACTCTGCTGATGACCTGGGCTGGACACAAGTCAGCCATGGACCCGTTAACACAGCAGTAAGCCCGAGCCAGTCCCACACAGCCTCTCAGGTGGACTCATTAGCGAGCAAACTCCAGCACCAACCGAGGAGCTGTCTGCACAGACATACCCTCACTGAAAATGATGAGCAAAAATATCATGGATTTAAAAGAACCTACTGCAACGTGGCCTGGATGAGAAACCTTTTCAGGCTTCTTCTGCAGCTGCAAATGGTTCTGGGACAAAGCGTTCTCTGCCTTGGTTGGTCCTGCATTCCCTGGGAAAATAGGAAAAAGTGTATTTTTTTCAATGCACGTGTAGCAGGGTGAGAGAAGGGACCAATAAGACTTGTTTCCCTGTGGTTCTGGATGCTACAATATTATGTATATATACTGATACTGATGTAGTTTAATGCTGCGAGAGCAAGACAAGAAAACCAAACCCTTGGCAACATACTCCCAATGAGCACCAGTTCTACAGACTGGAAGGCAGCTTGCAAGGCAAAAGGGTGAGGACATGCTAATCCCCGACTCTGGTCCTCTTTCTGAGGGGAGACAGCTCATCGTATTAGCAACTGCTACTCATATTCCAGCATTAAAGGTGACTGCAGACAGGCGGGTCAGGGAGAGGATGCAGGAGCCTGGGCCCCAGCTGCACATATTCATGAGTTAACAGATGTGCTGCTGAGATTTGGCTTTCATAAAACTGCTGCACAAAACCAGTTTGATTCTCTAAACCCATCTGGACTGAGGGCAAACAGTGGCATTAGACTCCACTCATGAGCATGGGGGGATCAAGCTAAAAGCAGAAGAGGATTGACCACTTCCCATGGCAACACAGGGAGAACCGCCTTGCAGTCCTGCTTCCCCTTGAGCACACAGCATCACTTCTCAGCTCCCACTTCCACTCTGCCTGTGGGGAAGTAGGTAACAACAGCCCTCATCTGCAGAGAGCTGCCCCTGCCGTGAGCCAACTCAATGCCAGTTGGCACCTTGTGACACTGTGCCCAGGGTCAGGTGCTGGTGGCACTACACTTCCCTCCCTGGTGGCATGGGGACCTACACTTGCCACCATGCCTGGACAGCTACTGAACACCCAAGCAAACAAGACTAGAAGAGCTGGAGTCCATCTGCATGTGCTGATGCCATGTTAGGAGGGATGCTTGCAAGTAATGAAGCGAATCTTGCCTTTCAATAACCCCACTACCCACAGAGCTACCTGGGAAGAGCAAAAGTTGCCTTGGAGAGATACTGTCTGCTGTGCACAATTCCTGATACAAGCAGATGTACCCTCACCCTCCACTGGGACACACTACTAGCTCAAAGTCTACTTTGTTCAGCAATTTCTCCTTTCCCACCACTACTAACAGGACTCCTTGCAAGTTAAGGAGGAAGAATTGAAGCTCATACAAATTCAGATTTGTGTTTGATAATTTAGATCGGTTTATCACAATGGCTTCATGTACTCATGCAGTTTTCAAAGCTTTTAAACTTTAGAACTCCTTACTGGTCAATGAGTACCTTAGCGACTCAGCAGAAATATTAGCTTTAAAGTATTTATAGGCCTTTCCTGCCCAATTCATTATCCCTGCGGGTTTGGGAAAGCAACAAACTCTTTCTGGAACACCATATGCCAGAACTAACTGTAATTTAATGACACTTAAGAACCCAAGGAGACAGTTTAAACCACAGGGGAGGTTTTCTATTTTTTCCATTGCTGGTGAGGTTTTCATTTCCCCATGCCAAAATAGCACAGGAGTTACACATCACGCAGACACTGCAAAGTTGAGCTGGGCTGCTGCATGTTGCTCATCTCTATGCTGTTATTCAAACACAAAATGACATAAGAGCAAAAAGAAACAAAACCCAAGCAGTTTAAATGTGTTTTTGGTTTCTCTTGAAGCAAAGCTTCCTATTCTGTGTAGTTAGTGAAAGCAAAACTGGCTCTACTGTGTAAGTGTCATAAATAAGTAATTTGTTCTTCATTTATCAAGGGCTTGTAAATTAACAGTGTGAGCCTCAGTTTAAAAATAAATTACCTCAGCAGCTCACTGGTGTAGTTTCAGAACACTTTTAGCATCCACCCTGCTCCGAGTTGAACTTGATTCCCCATGTACCCCATCTTTAGCAGTCAAGCTGGAGGAAAAGCATTGCAACATACCACTGTGCTTGCAAGGAGCTATGGAAGAAATTGCCCTACAGTTGACCCACAGAAAACACCCTTAGGAGTAACAAGAGAGGAACAAAGCTATCCACTTCTGCTCCATGTCCCCATCCGCCACAATCTCCTGTCTTCTCTGAGGAGCCAGTGTTTGTACAGGAAAAATTCTGCACAACCATGAGCAAGCCCACTGTGTTCCTACACCACTACCAAGAAAGCCTACAGTGCTGCATCCTTCTTCAATTTGATGTGGGTATCTCTACCTTTTAACTTCATTTGTCTTTCTTTTCAGTCCCACTATCGTTCTGCAAATAAAAAACTATTGGAGGAATGCAGCATAAGGTGCTGTGGAGTCTCACACTTCCTTCAGCCAATGCATTATTAGAGTACAGAAATATCAGTGTACATAAACTGCTCATCTGTATCATCCTACCAAGTGGGCAATGCAAAAAAGCAACATATGGTTATGCAGAAAGTGCCAGTGGGTGAACCCTGGCATACATCTGTAATGTTGGCTCTGCTGAGTTTCAGTGGTGTCAGTAAGTGGAACAGAACTGATATTTTTCAATTCTTCATTGAGGCAATTCAGATTTCCTATATGGAAATATGTTCACTGTTACTTTCTGACTCAAAAGAAGAAGTACTTATGTTTTAAGAACATGGAAGCACAAAATCCAGAGAGCTTTCAAAAGGCCACCATCAGAAGACATCGTTAAGAAAAATACCCCATTTGTAATGCAGCACTTGACAACCTGCTGAAGCCTGTTTCATCCGATAGGAATTTTACACATTTAGACTGATGGATTTTTGACTTAGGAGTCACCTGAGGTTGACCAGCTGCTCTGATGAGATCCCATCTCCCACTCCTTGTTGCCAGAAGTGCTGCTGTTGCTGTTTAGCTTCAGAGCATGTCCCCCGGGGGATGACTGATGAGTGTTACTAAACAGAAAGACAAAAAGCAGATGAGAGTACCTTGCATGCAGGAACACAGACTGGAATGGACCTTCTAAGCCACTGAATTGAGTTCCCTGCTTCTACTGCATGGTATAATACTCCTGATAAACATAAATTTCATATCCATTGCTGCTGCAAGCAGGGCCACCCAGTAGAGAGAAGATGATGGAAGGAACGATCTCCTCTGTGCAGTCATTCTGGGAGATTACAGAGACTCCTAAGTGATTACAAAATATCCTACTATATGTACTCCTCCCTTGGCCTCTTCAGATTTGTGTCACTCCTGATTCCAACATCTCATGGCTTTTACAAATAAACAAACATGCTCCAGTACTCTACTACAAGATATATTGTCATCTACTTATCAATGGAGAAAGGAATGCATTGAACATAATGCATTGGACCAATGCATTACTTCCATGGTTCTTTTCTGCTTTGCCTCACAGAATTTCTAAGTAGAGAGCATTTAGGGCTTGACTTCAATTGAAAATTATTTAGACACCTCTGACTCTGGCTCATCAGAAGCGCTACACATTGTTTTGTTATGTCAGCTAAATCTACTTCACTTTCAAGTCTCTCCAACCCTAGTTTCTCACAGCATTATGTTCCCTCGGTAGACATCCAATAGGGGCTACCCTTTATTGATAAGCTCTCTGCATTCTTGGCATTTTCTCCTGGGATATGAAAATAGTCTGCTTTAAGGGCAGACTGCCAAAATAGTGAAGATACATCTACAGACAGCTCGTTCAAGCTACTACCAAGTAAAGCAAAGCTGCAAGCTTCACTTGCTGAGACTGACTATACAGGCAGCTGGCGCCAGACCCCTACCTGCTGAAGTATCCAGGCACCTAACTCCCTTTTGAAACCAACGGCACTGGTGCAGATGCAGAACATCTGCAAGAGCATCCAGGCAGCCCTGACCAGCATCACTCCCACCTGCCATCGCCAGTGGCTAGGTTAGGATCTCAAGTAACCTGCACCTTTAGCAGCCAGCTGCTCTAATGTGAAGGGAAAGTAAAGCATCACCAAAACTCAAGTTCAATGAATGCCCAACACACTGCCCGTTAACTAGGAAACAGATGCACAGCTTGCATCCAACATGCTCAGGCATGCCAAACAGGCTAAGCCAAATGAAATAACTCATTGCAGGAATTATTACAGCTGTTAGATGAAACAGCTCTCGTATGTTAAAAATACTGCTTTCCAGTGGATGACGGAACAAACTTGCGTGTAAAGGAGGAGAAGGTCTAAGAGAATTTTGTTTCTCTTTACATCAGTTATGTCAATCATTACAAGGAAGCTGGCTTAGACACTTCCTTCAGGTTTAAGATCACAAAGTTTAGTTATTTTTGTGAACAAACTAACACAGAAGACAAAATATTTTTATCTGCTTACCAAATGATGTATGAACTCATGTCAGTTTTCCTGCCACTGAGGTTATGGCTTCATTTTTTAATTAACTTGCTTTACTTTTCCTACTGACAGTAAATCAGCATTGGTATAAGCATAAAATACTGAAGAGCTTACCTTGAAAGACATCTCTGATGGCCAGGCTGGTCCCTGCTGTAAAATTTAGAGGTTGTCCTTTCTGGAACCTTAAGGATTTAACAGAATGTTTTAAGGTTGCTACTGATATTTTACACTCAGTTAATAAACCTAATGCTTACTCTGTACCAGTGCAAAAATAAGACTAACGAACATAAATTAATAATGCTACAGTGGGACCTGTGGAGAAGTCTTCCATGTTATCAACACTGGAAGCTGCAAGTCAGCAGTAGGTGCTTCTAATTTGCGCCAAGCCTGTGCAATCTATCGGGGTGCAGACTGGAAGAGGTTTGCACCTTTCCTTAGAGTCAGCATTATTCTTGCTCAATATTTAAAGCAGACAAGGAAAAGCATCTGCAGTCATTTAATGCAGCTTTCCCTAGGTGGTGGATTACCAGTGTTGCTATCAAAGGGCTGGGGGAAGAGACACACAGAAACATTCCCCAGCTGCAAAGTAATAAAATGAATACATACACACATGCACATACATATCCCCACACAAATATGCTTGTACTTGTTCTTAACAGTTCTGTTAAAAAGAGAAATACCCTGCCACCTGAACTACACAAAATAAGGAGCTTTTCTGCAACAAGCCAGATTTTTCACAGGCAGGTACAAATATTTACATGGTCTAACAAAAGAAGTGTATCTGCACTTGCAGATCCTGCTGATATTATATACATGCACTCAAAATATTGGCCTGCTTATGAATTCATCTCTTTCCAGATTACTAAGTTCATGTACAAGCAATGGGATTTTTATTGAGTTTCATAAAGTGCAAAGGATGGATCCTACATAGCGCAGGGGAACTGAGTGGAGTGCTATTAACCACCAACAGTACCAAACACCCAGAGTTTCACATACCTTTGGGGGCTGTTCTTCACTTTGACTGATGCTCCAGAATACATCATCCTGTACAGGGCTGAGTGGTGTCGTCACCATATCTGACAGTGAACTGCTGTGGTACACATCCTTACTAGCCCGGAAATTTTCACACTTGAAACAAATGAAATACATATTGCCTGAGTTTAAAAGGCATCTTCAAAGATATCAAATTGGAGTGTTAGGATAGCAAACGCCCTAACCACAGTGAGGGTGAGGGGAGGAGGTGAGAAAAAAAAAAACCAGACCACTTCCTCACAAAGTCTTTGTGCCAAGAGAACAAGCAGCGTAAAACCAAAACTAGAATACTCAACATTGGTCCTTTGATTTTTTTTTTTCTGTATTTAAAGGAAGAAAAAGGAAAACAAACAAAAGGGAAGGAAAGATCCCTTAAACTCTACACACTAATGATCTATTACACTGGCATCTCCCAAAGGGGAAGAAAGGCAGAGAGCTAAAAATGTCAACTGAATGTACTGATCCTCCCCAAGATGAGAAATTCTTTGAACACAAGACTGAGATGGAACACACAGGAAAGCTGTGTGAGCTGGGCCCATCTTGAAGGATTCCTATGCCAGAACCAACTGGATGTTACAGAAATTAACAAATATTAGAGAAATGCCTGAAGCTCCACCACTTTGTGCTCTATCTTGTTAGACCTCCCATGCAAGGGAGCTCTCTGAGAAGCACCTCTCAAATGCATGGCAAGAGCACCATCCCCACCACTTGCAAGCCTAAGGAAGAGGCTAGCAATTTTCTTTCCGAGACAAAGTTCAAACTCTTGTGTCCCAGCTGAGTTCCTGCAGCTCAGATCAGAGGCAGATGCAGTTCAGTTCCACCAAAGAATGACTCAAATTGATTTATCAGCCCAAGTCTATAAAATTCTCCAGTTCTCCAGTCTTAAAAACTGAAACACAATAACTGAGAATTGCACACAACTTTTCAGTAATATATTATTATGAACTCCCTATGGCTCTACAAAACTAATTACTTAATGGGAACAATGTTCAAAATCACCTAAATATTGACAGGTAGTAACTCTAAAATCAATCTAAGATGCCAAACATCCATTCAAACATCCCACCACCACCTCCCAGACCAGCACTGCAAAGTCAACTGTCAAAAAACAGTCCTGAGTTCACCTAGTTAAATATTCAGGTGCTTTTTCTACCTTTTGGGGACAATATGCTGTCTTGACTCCCCTTACAGAAAAGAGCTTTTTCAGCAGTTATAACATCTCATAATTCATGTCCTTTTATTTTGTCAAAGCTACTTTTTTTGTCCAACATGATTATCACTAATAATAGCTTTTAGTTAACCAGAATTATTTCAACAGCAAAGTGTTCCCCTGAAACAATTCATCGTGGGTATAGAAACGGGTTTTACAGCAAGTGTATTATTATCAGATTATAGGAAGATTTTTTTCCTTCCCACTTTTTCGACAAGGTACTTACATTTCTTGCTAAATTCCAGCTTTTGAGTCCTGCAGACTACCAAAAAACTGTTTGTGCTTAAAAGCATGGATGAGCTTTGTTGAATCATGATATAAGAGTCTGTGAATTCCAACTCTGGAGAGTACCCACATACCCTATTTGGGCAGAGAGAGACCAGTACACTGGTTCCATGTGAAGCCAAGAAGCGACATCTGCTTTTGGGATGATTACTGTAAGAACTACAAGTCTTTGCAATTCCACAGCAAGCAAAAACCATCTCAGATAACCCTCAAAACCATAATGTTTCATACTGCCCTTAAGTTTTACAGATAAAATAATTGGGGGTGGGGTGGTGAAGAGAGGAGCTGTGTGTTAAAAAACACCCAAACCCTAACACTGATTCTAAACTACTGAGCCTTGAGCCTTTAATTGTTTTTATTATAAGTAATACTGAGAGAACAGCAGCTTCTCTCATGTACAGAAACAACTAGCAGACTACCGTCATAAAATCATAAAGGCACACCTAACAGGGCTAAGGAAAAGGAGCCTTTGCTCCCTGAAATTATAACACAAGGTGATACAGTACAAAAGACTGATCACTAGAGTTAGTTCAAAAAGATTTAGGTGCAAGAAGTTTTAAAAAGACTGCACTGCTTTTTGGAGGATGTCTAATTACAAATTTGCACTGAATCTTTATTTGAACTGAGCCTACATACAGGGGGTATGTAAGTGCAACTGTTGTTCCAAAACAGCATCTTAAACTTATGAGTAGATCTGCTCTGGGATACTGGGTCAATCCATGACACATTGATAGGCACAGCTAGTTTTTCTAATATTGTTAGCTTTCTTGTTCTGTTTCAGCCACATTACTCCAGACAACAGAGATCTAGCTAGCAAATCCTACAGGAAAGCCATGGAGTCAATAAAAAAATGGAGTTCATTTCAGATATGAGATAAATTCCTCCACTAAGTCAGGTGTGATATTCTGCAGGTAGCCCAGAACAGCTCACACCATACCACCACAGAGTGCCAGATCTGCTGCTGTGCTGCAGCAAACACAAGTGAAAATGGTACACTGTGATCGGGTAATATGCCACGTTTCCCTTACCAGACAGATAGGATATAAGACACTGAGAAATCATGCACCCTCTACCTCAGGGGCTGCATTAAGATTTCCAGTGAAAACATTTTAAGAGATATTTGGGCAATATGATCACTTAAAATAAGTCATTTTTGTCTGAGTGGAGCAGTGATGACAGATGATCCCTCTCAGACAAACCTGTCTGGAAGTTCTTCATCACAGACATCTGTGATGAATTCAGCTTGCATTTTAGCTCTGCAGTTCATTTTTATTTTAAATCAACATGGCACACACATGTATAGAACTTCACAAGTGTATTGCTGTGAGTCTTTCAATTTCCAGGTGACAAACTGGTCCATCACTCACTCCCTTAGCACTTCATACAGTTAATGCAGGCAGCATACCCAAACACACCGCTATTCTCATCAACAGCTGCTGCCAACCAGCAAAAGAAAACACAATCCTTCAGTGGATTTATAAACTAGCCATTAAGTTCATCTGGTCTCCACGCTAACACAGCAGGTGAGAGTACAGACTGACTTCTGCCTGTCCACACGGTCTCTATCACTGACTTGTGAGTGGGTATCAGGGCAGCTACCAGCAGGGACTGAAATCACACAGTAACAGCTATATATCACTTGCTGCTATTATCCTTAAGTAACACCATCACTTTAAACATCATAAATTTTTTATAGTGGAGTTTCCATCAAGGAATGTAAGAGATTGGTAAATATTGCTTCATTCTTCACTTCCCTTGGCAGCTGGGCAGCTTCTCTCAAAAAGAGAAGCACTGACAAAGTGAAAAGTAATGCAGTGATTTGTCCTAGATGATGCAGTCAGCCTAGAACACAGCTCCTTTCTTCCCAAGAGCATCATTTTAACAGGCAAGACTATTCTCTCTGCAGCCACTGTGCTCCTACAGAAACCCAAATGCCCTGCAATAAACTATGGACTCCCCCACTACTATTGCAGGGCTGAAATATTTGCCTCAAGAAAGCTGCCAGCCTCTACCCAAGGTTAAGATACAAACATCCTTCTTGTTGACCGTGCAACAGCTCTCCAGTGATTTGATGCTACAAGCCAGGCCACCAACTCAGCGCAGTTACAATACTCCTGACTTGAAATGACAAACAGGCCCTGGAAAAAAAGGATGTGAAAAGATACACAAATATTTTCCCAGGTAAAAGCTATCAGGTGGAATGGCCTTTTCTCTCCCAGCAGCTGTCTATGGTGATTTTTGCATCATCACCAAAAAGCAATCTGAGCAGGAAAGGCACAGCGAGGCTTTGACTTAAATATGCTAACTGCACCTATTAATAGGACCTGTAGTGACAGGACAAGGGGTGATGATTTTAAACTAAAAGAGGGTAGATAAAGACTAGAGATAAGGAAGAGATTTTTTGCAATGAGGGTGGTGAAACATTGGAAAAGATTGCTCAAAAAGGTAGTAGACTATCGAGGGGTTGCAACAGCACAGTCATTTAGGCTTTCTGTGACACATTTCAGAGTAATGCCATGGAATCAGTAATCAGGCATCAAGTATTTAAAGATAACTGTTACCTAATCCTGTTCTGCAGTGTCTTAAGTACAATTCCACATAGAACTCATCAGCACATGGTGGCACTAAGAAACCTCTGAGCTGATTTGCACAGGCCTCAGTCATTTGTGCCAGGAGAGAAGGGAATCAGGTTTCAGACGTGCTGTTCTGCACCCACGCTTTCTCCTGCCCATCCGGGGCAGCAGTACCATACCTGTACTAACACGGCTCTCTGCGGCGCAGGGGTGCAAGGGCTAGAGCTGCTGCCGGAGCCCATCCTGGTGTGTGGCGTGGCTTCATGCCCCAGCACTGCTGACCACTGGAGGGAAGGCTGGATGCTGTCACTTAGCTTTCTTCGGTCCTCGGCCTGAGAAGGAGAAAAGCAGCAGCATGTTATACACTGAGCCTCAGGCGTCGCAGCCCGGATGTTCTCCATCAGCAGCACAGTGCACATCATCTCTGATGGACCTCCCCCACTGGGGAGAGATCAGCCCTGGCACAATATGAACCATGACTGCATCTCCATCTGCAACCCTTCCTTTTCCATCAAGTTTCCAAACTGCAGCAAGGCAAAGGGCCCCAAGCTGCCATCTGCTGTGTTCTAGGCCATCCTCCTGGCTGCAGGTTGGAATTTTAGCTGGGAGGAATCATCTGTCTGTACTTACTTATCTTTGACAACACACAGCCTGTTTTGCCATGCATTTATTACCCCTTCCACAACATTGACATTACTGCATGTTCTTTTCTACTTTAAATACTTTTAACACTGCCTTTTGGTATGTTACTTAGACTGTGGAAAAGACTGAACAACAGGATCTAGAAGGAATAAAGTTCCTTTTAGTTCCTGAGGGCATGGCTCATTACAAAAATCTTTATCCTATAGTTTTGACTCCACTAATCTTTCCACTTTCAACATGACTCATTCTCTAGTGTATATCTTTAGCATATCCTCTGATTCAGCAGCCAAGAAACAGCTCTACACGCTACACAGTAAAGATTAATGCCATTCCCCCCCCAGTTATCTGTATTTGGGTGGGCATTCTGAATGGTATCTCACTATATCTGGATGTTTGTGCCGGTGACAGGTAGGTAAGCATATTCTTAACACAGCCTAGGAAACTGCTGAGGAAATGGAAAACTATTCCACTCAGCCTCAAGGATCTCAATTGGGGAAGAAAAAAAAATCATTAAAAACCAAAATAATAATTAAAAAAAAAAAAACCACAGAAAAAAACCCTTATTAAAACAAGCAACCACAGCCAAATACCATAAAACTCCAGCCCCAGTGAACTTGATTGGTATAATACTCTTGAGGCCAGAGTTTCATTACTTGCAACTTATAATAATGAAAGGCAAATTTTACCTTAAGCAAGAAAGAAAATGTAAAAGCTAGCTATGATAATTCACCTACCACCTCTGTGCCCAAAGGGTCCTTGAATGCAATATATTATGCTCCAGATGCAAACTCATGCAGCTGACAATTTGGGCTCCTAGAACTGATGCCAGCCCCTGTCCAGGCACTGAGCTAAATGCAGTGTCAAGCCCAAGCTAGGAGTCCTTGCCTCTCCCCTCATTAACTCTGGTACTGGTGGGACCAGATACAGCACAGGGTGAGCTCACACCTGCACACAGCAGGAGAAAGCTCCCGACTGCCTGCGACAGGGTGAGTGCAATGGCAAAGACACAGAGCACTCAAGAAATGGTCTGCGGCCCCAAACATTAAATTTGAGGCTTTGGAGGGATCTATTTTTGTTTGTTTGTTTTTTAATGCCTCAGTGCAACAATAATTCTGGAGAGTTTTTGTGTATCAACAATTGGTCCTGCAAAAACCACTGAGCCCTAAAAAAAAATACACAAACAAACTCACTCTTGAGCAGGCTACCTCTATTCCTGTGTAGATGTCTCCCAACAGATAATCTAACATCTCTTTGGCTAAGAAACTTGGGAAAAGTCAGTATCAACAAGAACAAATTCATTGTTAAAAACAGACAACTCTTTAAAGCATTTTTACATCATTATGAACAATTATTACTGCTGACATAATTCTGAAGTTTCAAACTTCAACCAGAAAATGCAACCCTGTACCACTAATTGTGATTTCAGTGGTAAGGACCTCTGACTTTCAAGAAGTTCTGAGATTAAATACGTAATATTGTAAAATAATTTGCCCTTAAAACTAGATTATATTGTGGTAGTCATCATGACAAAAGCCTCATGCTGTGAACCTAAAAGGCAGGCGGCACCTTATCTGCAACTAGCGATATTTAATTTCACCACCAAATTAAAAGTTAACAGTGACTGCACACTAAATTCCACAATATACTTCATTCTGCTACAAAGGGTCACTTACAGAATACACACCAAAAACAGAATTACGCAATTCTTTTGACTTTTAACTACAATGAAGCAGAAAAGAAAGTTAAATTGACTCAACTAAGTTACATTTTCTCTCCACCCACTGAGAAGCGTAGCAAAGGCAAAGCATTTCTATTGACTTTGATGTTGTGCATTTAGCAAAAGCAGCTTTCTTCTCTGTCCACACCCAATTTAGTCCTCAGATGGAGTAAGACCCAGTCCTCTGCCATCAAACAAATACTGATTTCAAGAGGAGCTCCTTCAAATTTCAGTAACAAAATGTTCATCACAGCCTGACATTGGGCCACAGTGATACGTGCTCCGGAAGCATGACACCATTCTGTGCCTGGGTCAATTCTGTGAACCTTAAATCTTTTGCCTTTACCGACATCAGGAAAAGACACCCATTAAACCTCAGTTGCTATTACCTTAATTCATTTCTCTTTGGAAGACAAGGGAATTACACCTGGTTGACCAGAAGATTCACCAATCAAACCCTTCTCTGAATTCAAGCAAACGTTAAGTGCAACCTTTCCTTTCTCTTACCCTCTTACATTAATGGATACCAGAAGCTTTATGCTAGCTTCTGGTATATAGTACAACAGAGGTCAAGCTCCAGATTTGGGTTTAAAGATCAATCTGTTCTATGCTTCAGCATTACCAAAGCATCATAAACTCCAAAGCATCTGAATGCCATATTGACCAAGCTGCTACCTCTTTGCTTGCGCTGCTTGATGGAGGATGCACTGCTGAATTTGAGCTCTCGGAAGGCTCCTTCTTCTGCTTGTAGTCATGCTGGAGAGACAGCAGCTGTGTCTGATCTTTGGGAAGAGTTCGATGCACCTTCCTGTTGTGCTGCACATCTTCAACCTTCTGAAAGCAAAGAGTGATGAACCTCAGTGAGAGCAATGGCTTGGAGGACAACCAAATTGATTGCTGGAAATACTGGCTTTTCAAAGAACAAAGCAAACACAATTGCAGCAGAGCTAACAGAAGAGCTACAACCCTGAAGAAAAGGAAGCATAAAGTGACCACAATTGCTCTGTATTTGGCTTCAGAGACACCACATCAGAAAAAAACCCATATTTTTTCTTTTCACTTTTCCTAAAGGAGGATCTGAATCAAAACTCCATACTTCTGTCTGATTACAGATCACTTTGCTGCTGGAACAGTAGAATAATATTGTGGCCAAGGTGCCAGACCAATGACTTCAGCATTAAAATTAACCTCTGCTCCATTTTCATTTGTGAAAAATAAACAGTCCTGGTTACAAAAGGAACAGAAACTGGAGATCTAAGCTTAGGTTGAGCTGATGCTGGAAGCCTTCAGGGTAAATATATTTTAAATCAGACTGAAAGGAACACACACCATTTCAGCACAGCAAAACTGCAGGGTCAGAAGTGGGAGAGGCAGTGTCATTGCTGTAGATAAGGATGACTCAGTAACCAGTTAACCTGAAAGAAGGTTGAATTTGAGAAAAAAAGGCAGTAAAAGGCCCTCTCTGGTCTGTGACTCAGAGGATGGGAACACCCTCAGAGAACCAAAAAACCCATTGGTACAGGAAAAGGAAGCTATGAATCTCTGTTGCTAAACACTTTTCATACCTGCTTCTTTTCTAATTTCCTCTGTCCATCTAATATGTCTTCTTTACACCTCTCTTCTTTCCTCTGAATAGCCTTAGCCTCTGGCCACCTCTGCTCACACTCCTGCTGCCTTCGTAGCTCCTGCTCTCGCCTCTGATGCTGGAATAGAGCCAGGGAACAACACTGTTTATTTTACTTTACTTTCATACTCACCAATTAGTCATGCCAGTGTTCATCAATCACAAGGCTAATTTCCTGCTATGCAGTCATTGATATGGGATACCCAATACACTGTGTAGCAGAAGCAGCCAGCCACAAGCTCCACCACACTGACTGTCAAACTTGAAGTGAAACCTTTTCCCATTTTGGTCTTCCAGGGCAGATACGCCATTCATTTAGGCAGGCATGCAAGATCTCTGTGATGGCTGGCAGCTTATCTAAGGCCAAATGTCTTCCCACCATTTTGAGAAAGAAGGGCTTTTCCAGAGTCCCCCTGTTTTGCTGCAGCAGCACTATGCTTCATAAATGCCAGCTCAAGTGTTTGCACAATGCTTGAATTTTGTCAGATACTGATAAGAAGGGACAGGTTGGTGATTTAGTAATGCCTCCAACACCAGAGTGTGTCGGACAGTTTAAAAGGCAGCAACTGTCTTGCAACATCTTGGACAGAAGTGGGGCCAAGACTCTGGATCAGACAAACTCTGGACTGGGCAATACATATGAGAAAGAAATTGGGATCTCTCATCCCATCCACCTGAGCTTCCACCACCAAACTCAAGCAAAGTGCCTTTCCCCATATGCTCCCAAAGCTCAGGGCAGATTGGCACCAGGAAAAGGACAGAGACTGTTCAAAATCATTGCGTTCAAAAGTGACACAGTTCTCCCAAGGCAAAAGACTACAACCCAGGTTGTGCTGACAGTTTAACACAGCCTTCTTGCCTTTCAAAGCTACTCTCTACAGACACATTTGTTGTGATGAGACATGAAACAACCATACAAGTCAGTCCCTACATCCTCCAGCCTCCTCCTCTGCTCTTTCTGCTGCTCGATCCGTTTCTGCCGCTCTGTCAGCAGCTGCTTCTTGTATTTCTCCTGGTCCTTCAGCTGCTGCTGCTGGTGATGAGGATCAGAACGGTTTTTGTTCTCCTGCTGCAGCCTCAGAAATTCACGGCGGAGAGTTGACTCCCCTGGGAGGTTAACGATGGAGCTGAAACAAAGGGGAGGTTTCTACGTGACTAAACAGAACATTAAAGAGAGAACACAAGGTGCATTGGGAATTGCTTGATGTCCTGTGTTAGCAAATTAAGATGTTCCAATATATCTCCAGCATGTTGACTATGCATCTGCATTTACTGTGCTAAAGAATAGCCTGACGCTGATTACCGAGTCCTTCATTTGAGAGTTTCCTCCCTATTGCAGAGGAACTTAGAAGGAGCATATTACAGACATCTTATACTCAGCAGTTATATTTGATAGGTACAAAACAACTCAAGCTAACAGAGGTTAGCTTGTTAGTTCATGCTAACAAGAGATAAGGGATACAGAATAAGTTAAGGAAGCCATTCTGGCTGAGGAGGGTTGCTTTTAATGAGAACAGCTTGGGCAGTCAAATTTTCTATTCCAGTAATAAAATTAACCTTGGTTCTCCTTCATCTTCATTCATCTCATCATCTTCCTCCTCACTTCCACTGTAATCATAGTCCGTTTCTTCTAAAAAAAGAGCAGAATAAACAAACCCCAGTGGAGGATACTATTAGGTAAGATATGATCTTGGTTTCTGAGCACTCAACCTGCACTTCGTGTAGCTCAGCAGGAATTCAAGAAGAAAACAAAGGTTGCACTGGGAGGCTGAAGGAAGGCAACGTATCCACATACATAATTCAAAATCTAGTTCAGATCATATTTTAGGACAGCTCCTTTACACACTCCCACCTTTTCCCTTGAATGATTGGTTTGGTTTTGCAAAACTAACCTATTTCCGTCATCTGAAATAAATTAGGCTAAACCCACAGAGAAATCCAACTCCCACAACAACACCAGCGGAAGGGTTCCTTTGAAAGAAATTTAGATAGGACATAAAAGACTTGAATTGCCCTGCTGTGCTATTGTATACCTCTTGTATGGCTAAGCTGACGCCTTCAGTAAATCCAGGTTTCCTTTGTATTAAAGTGAATGATTAAAAAAACAGAAACAGGGATAATAAATTAATGCCAGTTTTAGCACAGCAGTTCAGAAGTCACTTTCTAACTGTACAGTGATTGCCCAGTTTGCCCTCACAGTCACTGATCTTCACAGCCCTGCCATTATAAAACATACAGAAGAAGAAGAGGGGAAAGAGGGTAGGCTAATTTAGTTGTCAACAGGCTATGGTGCTCTCTCCACCTTGCACAGCCCTTAGTCTGCTGCGCACATATATTTACACAAGTATTATCCCTACTCCAACACTGTTTCTTCAGGTTTTACTCTGAAGAGCAAGGCCAGCATTGGGAACAAACTCAGATTCTCTTTTTCTCCAGCCACCCTGTGATGCAGATCATTTATTATGCTCATTCGTGTTTTTCTGAAGCTTGGAGACCTTCTTGAAGTTTCTTTCGCACACTCCATTGCAAAAATGCTTAAAGAGCACTTCCATCCCCAAAGAACTCACAAGTTAAAAGTATATGAAGATGCAACAGGTGAATTAAATGGATCAGGGACAGACAGATGAGTTAACAGACTAAGGAACGCTTACTGAGTATTACTTAGATACTCAAGAAAGTAAGGACCTAGACTTCACTCAGACTCATCAATCACATTAGTGTTAGGGTTGCTCTCTGTGAAGTCAGAGTCAGACTCCAAAGATTTCAGCACTTAAACAGCATTAAGGACCCAGACTTTGTCAGTGATCTTCAAAATGGCTGCATCGCTATCAAGGACAACTTAGTCACTGTTTTCCAGGTTCTAGTATTTCAGTTGTATCTGCCTTGTACTCTGCTGCCAAAATTGGAAGAGGATCTACTCTCTACAGTGCCTTTTGTTTTTGCCATTACCCTTTTCTCCTTTTTTCTTCCTGGTCCTGTCCAGGTGGTCTTTCAGCATGATGCGCACTTGCCGTTCATTCTGCATGTCTCGGATGAAAGAATGCTTTAGCAAGGTCTCCGTGGATGGACGATGCAAATAATTCTTTACAAGGCAGCTTTCAACAAAGTTTAGGAATTTCTTCGACCTGAGAAGGAAAACAATAATCCTTTTCAACGAGGGTGCCAAGCACTACCCTGAGTGATGGAAAGCACTAACTTTGCAAGGTTTCCTTTTACACTGGAACTGTGAGAGACGGCTTGCCACCACAATGCCCCCTGAGACCACCACAGTGCTGAGGGTGAGCGATAGGGAGCTCCATCCTGACCACCTACTCAGTGGAGTTACCCTGAATTTACATCTGGATCAACAAAACCACAACCTGGCCAGCATGACTCTTTCAAAACCACCCTTACCCTTTTGATACGGTAAAAAATTATGTACTTCATTTAAAAGACAAACTAATACTCCTAGGCTACAGTGACTGCCATTAGCCCCACAGCGTCCATGCAGCATTCTGACAAAGCTCTGACCCCAAGCAACCCACCTAACCCTTGCCTACAGTGCAGTTCCAGCCACCCACACCAAACTTTAGCAACTGCAGTGACTTCTGCAGTTTAGGCCAAGCCCAAAAGAAAGGTGCTGCTTCCCAAAGGCAAACTACATCCTGCACCAGTGGCCTGACCCAGCACTAGAAACACCCTAGGAAAGACCTCACAGATCACTGCAGGATTTAACAAGATCACTGTTTCTGGACAAGAGAGCTCAAAATCCTTCTAAGCCCAACGCAGCGAACGCACAGTTTTTTTACACATCTCTTTACCATTTTCTGGATTTCAACTTTGGGGGCGGGTTCCGTGGGATGAGGAAGAGCGCTCTCATGGGGTGCATGTCACACAGGGCTGCAAAGGAAACCACAAGCTCTTGAAGGGTACATGTCCCCACTGTGTCCCTCCCACAGCCTGACCACGCTGATGCAGCCTGGTTCTCCCATCGAGAGGGGAAGAGTCCTCCACAAGCAATCCTACTTCCACCAGCACAGCATCTGCTGCAGAACCTCAGCATTAAGTCAACAAAATTCACACTACAGCCAAGAAATAAAGTCTCTGAGTACACAGAAATCTTTCACAACAGTATGCTGTTACTGCCAGTTAAAAGAGATTTGAAAGAAAGGCTGCATGGCCTTGTTCCTCAAGTACAATTTTCTTCACAGTTTTTATATATAAGGCTTCAGAAGGACATAAAAAAATCCTTACCTTTCCAATACACCAAAATGTGTTTTCAAATAAATAGAAGTTGGGATTGAAACACTTTTCTATTTTATTATGTCTGGCTTATGGTTCAGATAAATGACAAGCTAAATTTTAACCAAACTCTTAGCTACATAGGAGAAAACGCATAAGAGAAAACGAAGGATGAAGAAAACCTTATGTGAATTGGGGAGTTCAAAATGCATCACTGGCACAGAGCGTAATGACAAAGCACAGATTCCATCTATTCTGTGTTTCAGGAGTGTGAGCACCATTATTAGACAATTTGAAACAGATTCTGCTCATGCATTCAGATGCTGGTTTCTCTCAACCCAATGTACTTCTTTTTAGCATTACTGTTGGGGAAAGAAGTTAGAAAGAACTCTGCAGAAAGTAAATACTGTCACATCTCATCTATCCCAGGAGTTTTGTATGGAATTATGAGTGTGTGCCATCTGTTACAGAGGAATCCCAAGGGTCAGAGATCTTCCTTCATGACACAGAGCCCCTGAATGACAACTAACAGGATGATATGGAGGCTAATTTCTTACAATATCAAGGTGTCTGGCAGTGATTCTCTTAACAGGAATGGGCTTACAGCACTGCAGAAATAGTAAAAGTGAGAAGACTGCGGATGGTAAAGCCTTCACTGCCTTCTATTAACTTCTCTGCCTGCACTCATCTGCTGTCATTTCTCACGTCTTGGTTCTGGTTTTGACTGTTTTCTTTTTATTTTCAATAGCATGTGATACAGTGGGGATGGGGGGGGAGAAGAAGTCTGGTTTCCATCTATAGGTCCCAAACACTGTTGTACTACAGAAAACAAGACAATGCCACAGAATATAACCCACAGAATTTCCCTGCCAAAACTAGTGAAAACATCAAATACCGTGGCAAGAAGAATTGGCGTGCAAAGCCACAAAGGGTCTCAAAGAAAACTCCCACAGACCATGTCTTGGAACCAAGCTTCAGCTAGGCTGCAGCACAGTGTCTGAAAGCGCTCCTGAACTCCAGCTGGCTCCTGAGCACTGCTGCAAAACAAGTCTGGCAGGAGAACAGCCAAATGTGTTTTTAGAAACAGCCTATGTGCTCTCAAGCTCAGGCCAGAGTATAATCAATTTCATCTCCTGTGCTCTCCGCAGTGACCGTATCCCCCCCATCATATCACATCACATCTGCTTTGTGGGCGCTGGGGCAAAGCAAATGGTCCTCTGTGGAAACAAAACTGCACAAGGTCTTTACATGCACCCTGCAGCCACCCATCTCTGCCCAACGCCTGCAAGTGGCTAACTGGAGGAGTGAGGGTTGCAGCCGGCAGGCGAGGGCAGGCTGTAAAACTATGTCAGTTTGCTGTCAGGTTGAAAATGTGGTTGTGGATTGTAGCCATTATGTGAGCAAATACAGTATTCCTCTCCAAACTGGTGAGGATCAAGTCAGTCCCAGCATAAAAAATATAACCTAAAGCCTGGCTTCTACCACTGCCATATTTTTAGGTGTGCTAACCCAAAGCTACTCTTGTCAATTTTTTCTGCTAATGTGTCAACCACTTCTGCTTAGCTGCACCTACAGGCAGTGGTCAACAAACTGATGCTAGCAATAAAAAGATTTTGTTTCCCTAGGAAATGAAGGCAAGGGATTAACATAGATGCAAAGGGACTAAAAGAAAAGCAAAAGAGTCCAAAAGAAAAAAAGTAACGGGTAATTTTTACAGGTACAGCCAGAACCAGAATTTTCTACATCTGTGCATTAGCCAAGGATATCACAGAACACATTCACAAAACACAGACATCCCCTCCGTTATACCAAGTCACTTACGAGGAGCTCCTTCGGCCATTTCAATAGCTGTGATTCCCAGAGACCACAGGTCACTCTGCAGGAAAAGAAACATTGCACGTTGCAACTTGCAGCATTCAAGCTTTTATTTTTTTTAAATTTTCTTTAGTTTTGATTTGGTTTGGGTTTTGTGTGTTTTTTACAGTTTCCCTAGATTTCTCCTAGTTCAGGTCATTTCAGTTGGAGTGACATACATTCTACACCCTCCCGTTCCCTCCTGAGCTTTTAGGAAACATGCTAGTAGCCAGAAGCTTCCCAGTTCCCATGCAACTCTGAACAGGTGATTCATCATCTAAGCAGCCAGACCTTCTGCATTCAAGAAACAAGAGCCAGACCATAACAGGCACCATTTAAATGTAAGTCTTAAATCTTTCTAACTGTTTTCATGATGCAGTGAGACTCAGCAGTGCCTCACCACCCTGCTCTGGCCAAAACCAAATTCTTGGTTTAATGCTTATTTCAGAGCAGTCACTGTGGAGTTTTACGCTGATGAAACAGAAATTATAGTCAGGCCTTCGGGTCTGACTTTGTCTGTCTATCAAGTCTCTAATTACGTGTTTTGGGCACATGAAAGGAGAGCACATCTTGCAGCCATGTTGCACGTGTATGTTCAGCTCAGAGTGGAGTTCCATTTACCTCAGCATTTGCCTGGATGCTGAGGGCCAGGTTTTGACCATGGAAGGTAAATCGGAAACCCCACCAGTGACTGCAAAAGCTTCACAGGTTTCCACTTGATTGATCATGTGCATTATTCCACTATTTTTTTGTGTCTAAATGTAGTCAAATGAGAGGCACGTGACCAAACCACCTTGCAGGGCTTCTCCAAAACTCTCTTTTACAAAGGGAGCAGCATAACCCAGGGAGGCTGTGAATGCTCCATCCCTGGGAGTGTTCAAGACCAGGTTGGATGAAGCCTTGGGTGAGATGGTTTAGGGTGAGGTGTCCCTACCCATGGCAGGGGGGTTGGAACTAGATGATCTTAAGGTCCTTTCCAACCCTAACTATTCTATGATTCTATGATTCTAAGACAAACCTTCAAAGATTAGAAGCATATATATCATTACATGAATAGCAGTTCATACCCAGCCTGGCACTCTAAATATGACTTTTATCAACAGTCTCTTCTCAGTCCAGCTGCTCTGAACTGTTCTATGCAAGCTGAAAACCAGTTCACATCATGGTTTGTGGAGGGATTCAACAACAAAACCGGTAGGAATTTAATGGCTTCATGATCTTGACTCGTTATTAAGTAGATAAATGAAAACCAGAAAAGTCTTTGAAGGCTATTACCACAGGTTCTGGAGACAATGGGAGAAACAATCAGGCTACAAAGAATTTTGGTTTGGAGTTTCAAAGCATGGGAGGTAGAAAAGTGAAAGGGAAGTTGACAGCAACGCTCATACAAAAGTCAGTGTGTAAATATGTATTTATGCATATATATTCTTACTCATCTTATAATCCTTTTGGTTTTTTTTTTTGACCAGCTAGAAGTTACAGAGTGGCTTCCTGCTACTTATCATATCAGCTATAAATCTCTATACAAAAGACCGGCCCCGTGCCACCTTCTCAGTCATAGCACTGCCTGCGTAAGTGCTGCCAAAAACTTCCACTGATCAGTTTTAAACTACTATCTGCAGAATCTATTCAGAACCAAACATAAATGCATGTGGATGAACTCTGATTATTACTGAAAGCAAAGAATCCTCAAGAATTAGGGGTGCACATTCCTAATGCTTGTATCATCTGAAAAGTATATGTTCTGAAAAGGAAATCAACTGGGGACAGGGAATGAAGACAAGAGATTAATTTACTGAAGATTTACATGGTATGAAAAATAAAATCCAAGAACATTCTTTATTCATGACGGACATTTGCACAACACGACCTCATCCTGCCAGTGCAGCACAGAAGGTCCTAGCAAGGGAGAATCGCAACCTCTGAATCACTAGAAAATGGAAACAATAATGGGTTATTCTAATAAAGGCACAATTAGAATGAGAGGTGCAAAGTGACAACCATGACAGTACTTGAACCAAGAGAATGACCAGAGTGTCCCTCAGAAGTTGGCTGCTCAGAAGGTCATCACTAGAAAAACATCCTTCATAAGTGTAGACAGACAAATGATAACACTGCTGGAAACACGCCAGAGGACAAAGAACAAGTCTCTCTGAAACAGCATCAGCATGTTTTGATATAGGAAGAGAGCCAGGGAAAGGTGCTTGATAGCTGTTTTCGGGCCCCAGTAAAAGGAAGTCATGGACATACTAGAGTGGGTGCAGCAAAGGGCCACAGAGGTGTTTAAGGCATTGGAGTTGGAAGGCTCTGGGCTGAGAGAGATGTAACTGTTAAGTCTGGAGAAGGGGAGGCTCAGGGGAATCTCATACATCAGTACAATTTCCTAACAGAAGGAGAGTGAAGATGACCAAGCCAAACTTCTGAGTGGTGCTCACTGAAAGGACAAGAGACTATGGGCATAAACCAACATACAAGAAATTCTGTGCTTTCTTACCTCTACCACCCCGTGAATAACCCAAAATCATTCTGGAATGGGGAACATCTTGCAGGCACATGCACATAAATGAGTGAAGTGATACTAATTATTGCCAATTAAATCAGGTTTTGCAGCTGAGTGCAAACAGCTCTATCAGAGGACAGCAGTAACTTGTCATATTAGCATTACACTAGTTCAAGTATTCCACCCAAATTTACCTCTTCCATTCTTTTCTATCCTGACCTGCAACGTCCATATGTCAGGTTTTGTTTTGTTGATTTTTTTTTCACAATTCATAAAAGTGTATTTCATGTATTAAAAAAAAAAAAAATCACAAAAAAAAACATAATGAAACTCCACTCTTAAGAAGAGCCACCATCCACATATTTCTGTTTCTCCAGTTATATTATTGTGGTTTAAAAGGAGGGAAGTTGGAACTTTTCAGATGCAGTAGTTGAGCAGCATTTTAGGATTAAGCTGCACATTTTGCTGCTTCATGGGGAGTTGCAATACTTACTCTGTAATCATATGTAGAGTCTGGGTTCTCCTCGCAAGCAATGACCTCAGGCGCCATCCAGTACGGTGTGCCAATAAACGTGTTTCTTCTCCCAATAGTCCTGTCCAGTTGAGCACTTACACCAAAATCCACTGAGAAGCCAAACAGAAGTAAAGAAATTAATGCACAGTTGTATCCATTTGGCAAAGTATTTGCTTGGTTACTGTCATACTACTCAGAATACCAAACCTTTAGGCCACAACACATAACAAATCTGAGTTCCTCAGTACACCTTGTCCAATAGTAGAAAATTAATTGCCCCCCAAATAAAGAGCATGCTAGATTTGCCAAGCAGGTTACAGCACACATGAATTACTCTAGGAAGACATCACAGAATAATTTATGTTTAATCTAGACAACACATTGAGTAGGACTCGAGATCTTTAACTAATATTTGAAAAGTAGTATCTATGGACAAGGCAAATTTGTAGGTGTTTAGTACGGCTATTTGTGAAAGCTGGAAAAAAATATCGTATCACTTCATTTTGAGGTGTTTGGAATAACTCTGTCCCTACAATCATATGCTACTTTAGAACAAGCTGGAGAGTATACTAGTTTATTCTTAGACTCATAATGAGAATTCTGTGGTGCTCTTTGTGCTGCAAAGGGTGTTATGTTCAACAGGATTGTATAGCAAAATGGTTTTGTTCAATTTGCAGAAAGGCCCATGCAACCAATAATTACATGATTGTACTTTTCTTTGAATAAACCTCCAAGATACACTAATTGGATCCACTGGGCATAGAACCTGAATGCTATTCACAGAAGACAAAATAACAGACAAAAGAAAGGACTGAAAGGAGACAGCCCTATGGTTATCATCAAGGAGATTTTCTCACCTCACTGCAGATCATCTGCAAACCACAGCCATTTGTACTACTATAATTTAATGTGCCTGTTTAGCAAACCTGCTCCAACAGTCAGAGCTGACCTTTGGAATTATCATGCACTCTGTTTCCGATAGGAAGTGTGCATAATTACACTGGAGGAGAACTGGGCTGAGGACCTCTTGGGTTTCTAGCTTCTTTAACACACACAAGCTAAATCTCTCTGAAAACAACCTTTTTTCTTTTTTTTTTTCTTTATTGTTGTACTTAGTAAATCTGTTTCATCTCTACCCAGAGACAGAAAGCTCTAACTTTCCTGTCAATCATGTGAAGAATGGTAGGACTAGTTACTATAAAAGACCAAACACGCACAAACCTCCAAGCCCCATCTTCTCAGTTTTAAGAGGGAACAGTTGAAAACTACTACATATCTTTTAGAGACTACTAGCAAAATCCTGCCTTCATTTAATACAGCAGCAAAACTCCCTTTGACTTCAGTGAAGCCAGAATTTCATCATAAGGTTAAACCATAATGAGACTTAAAGTAATCATTTTTTCTTGCTCCAGCCAAACATCCTACCCCCACCCACAGGCTCTACAGTGAATTCTTCTAATTAAAGAGAGAGGAAACATGAAGATCATCCCAAATGAGAGAATTGCTGTCCTTGAGACTACTCCTTTAAATCACTGCCACTCATTCTCTGTGATGTTTTCCCAAAACATCAAAGACATCCCCTCCTCAAAAGAGACATGTACTTGAGTTTAATCTTGTCAGAAGTTGTCCACACTGACATGTCACACAGCTGGAAAAGGAAGTGAGCAAACTCACTAACATTTTTGAAAGATTACTATTAGTAAGAGCTACTCCTCAGTGGTAGCGCTCACATATGAGTAATCTCATCTATTGTCAATTTATGAAAACCTCTAAGACCACTTCCCTTAGAGAAATGGATTAGCATAAATTATTCCCCTAACTTTTATTCTGGAAGTCTCTGCACACCTGGATATGCTGTGAAGGCCTGATTGTACTGTGACTTACTAGACAGATTATATGTTTGACTGCCCAAAGTAGCTGTACTCCCCACAGAGCGAGAGTGACATCCTTGCAAAGCATGTCACATTTGCAGTTCTTTCTACATGACAGACACCTTATAAATACAAGCACTAATGCTACCCTACATATTTGTTGCTCTTATGTTACTGAGGTTCTTTCTGAAACAAGATGAAAAACTTCAAATACGACAAACAGGTTTCTAGCACACATTTAACGAAACTTACCCAGTTTTACTTCTGCATTTTCTGTGAGAAGGACGTTCTGTCCTTTAATGTCTCGATGGATGACATGGTGAGCATGAAGATGTGCCAAGCCCTAAAGGAAAAACAGACTTTCCTTATTTTATTTCCTCTCATTGACATTGTTGCCTTTTTACACTTTTGTCAGACTTTATTCATAGAGAAAGTCCTTCAGATGTTATTTGCAACATGAAGACACCAGTTTCAAGGAGAAGAGAGGACAGCAACTGCAAGTTTGATTGTCTTCTTTAGCCACAGGCCTGACAGTAGTTGAGCACGTCTGAAGTCAAGTGTGAAGACAACAAGCTACCAATATTTTAAACTTCTGCTTCAGAATCAAGGGTTGCCTCTATATCATGTGTTAAAAGCAAACAAAAGAGGAAACAGCAGCTGTCTAGCCAAGTGGCTTGAATTCTGCATTCAGCAAGACTGTGTTCAATGGTAAATGGACCACAGAAAGTTCAAAATTGCTCTTTTTGAATGCAGCAAGTATTGTTTTCAGTCAGTTAATATTTGATGAGTGTAAACCAAATATTTTTAACATCAGTTGCTTTAATACAGATATTATAGCCACAAAATGAAGAGCAACCTGACCAGAACATGAAGGTTTTTATTTCCTTTGCTGAAGCTCTCCCTATGCTTTCCAGCTATAGTTATATTAATCTGCATTCTAATGCCAAATCCTTGTAAGATGGCCAATGTTCTCTACTGAGCATGCTTCTCAGAAGCTCTGCTCCGGAAGCAAGACTGACCCCTATTCAAGCACTACTTCAGCATGCCATTTGAATTCCAGCTCCCAGAATACACATTTATTTTACCATTATTTAGAAAAGAAAGAAAACTCCATTACAAGGAAGATGGATCAGTAACTCTGTAATGGGTTTTGAATTCAGAATGACAGGTTCCAACATCATTTTTCTCCAGTGTAGTTCACTAGATTACACTTGGGAATTGTTTTATCCTCTGTAGCTTCCAGGACAAAACAAAAGAGAAAGATAAAAGAAAAAAACAAACACCTGCATAGAATGAAATACAGCCCCAAGAATTGCCTTGGGGAATATTGCCCCAGCAGGGCCACCTTTAAGATTCTGGAATGCTGTTTAGTCAACATTGCTTTTAATAGTGTGGAAAAGAAGTCCCTGAGTGTGTGCAGGTAAAGGAACTAGGAATAGAAAGATCTTAAAGGTCTTACATAGCACAAACAGCTGAAGCAATGCACTGTAAAATCTCCTGATGTGGAGGACAGACTTATTAAAAACAGAAAACCTACTTCTCTAGATGCACGGAATCTGGACTTTCAGAAGATGGCTACTTGCCACAGGAAACGGGAATTTTCTGTACTTCATGCAGAAAATGGGATTAACTACAATAATATGGGATGTCAAGCAGCCGTCATGCTGGCTTTTCAGGCTCTTCTGAACTCAAGGACCACAGCCCATGAGCCCCATGGATCAAAACCTTTAAACAGTAAAGCTCACTAGTGAGCTACATTAGCAACCAAAGGCTTGGAAAGACCTTTTTGTTGCAAATGAGCGAAGCTCTGTTGGCACAACTCACCCTGAGAACCTCTCTGCAGATGTATGCAATCCAGTCTTCCTTGAAACAGTTCCCTTTTGTCTTCTTGACCAGGTCAGTGACAGAGCCCGCACCACAGTACTCCATCACCAACTGCAGAGAGACAAACCTAATACACCTTTACCAGAGCACTGACAGGGTGCCAGCAGAGAAACCATGTGCAAACACCCACCCCATCACAATCAAGGTGTGGCAAGCTACACGTGACCTTTCCAGATGCCAAGTGACATAAAATCTCATTTCCTGAATCACACACATCACTGAGTAAATAAAAAGCCTCAGCAGTGCTCCCTCCTATTGTAGGTTATGGGTACTTTTATTTTCTTCAGAAACTACATAATCAGAAGCCCATGAGCTAACAGCACTGAGCAACATGGGAATGTGTTCAACATCTGAAATGTCTCATTTTGCTGCAGAGCTTCAAAAATCTTGTGGCCAAAAAAACTTGAGGATTCATTTTTCTTCTCTGCTTTATTACCAATTCCTCTGTTCCCTTTTTATTTTCCAACTGAAGAAAGGAGAGGAAAGTAACAAGCAAAAGGAGAGGGGGGATGAGGACAAGCTCTTTTGTACTTCCATTAAAAATAAACAAATTACAGAAACGTTTAATTTGAAGAAAGAAAAAAAAAAACAGCTCAAGCAACAAATCAGAATGACAGCACGAGTCACAAGTATCTTTATGTCCATCCTCAAAGGAAATCATAGGGGGTGAAAGATGTCTTGGGAGCAGCAATTTTTCTCTTTCATGCTACTCTTCAGAACAATGACTTCAGAGTTTCACTGAGGCAGAGCCCCAGCCAAGCATGCTGAAGCTCTACAGAAAGGAGCTGTAAATATCATGAACAGAAATGACACTAGACACTTACCCAGAGCTGATCATCTTGGCCTGCAGGACTTTTCTTTACAAATGCTCCATAATATGTAGCAATATTCCGGTGATGGGAGTACTTTTTTAGCATGTTTATCTCCAGCTTGATTTCCTCCTCTTCATTCTGTAGCAAAAGAGAGCAGAAGGCTCTTTTAGGTAGCCAGAGATCACCGAGTTCCAGGGCTGCCCAGAGTTGCAGGGCCACCTGTCTTTGGAGGTTTCCAACACCCAGCTGGAACCAGCTCTGAGCAACCTGGTTTGGTCCCACAGCTAACCCTGCTTTGAGCAGGAGATTGGACCAGAGACCCCCCAAGGCTCCCTCCAACCTGAGTTATCCTGCGATTATGAGACTGCAACTGAAGGACAGACCCAAACTGATGAATGAATCACCCTGATCCATAGAGTTTAACAATGAATTGCTAAGGTTTGACCTAATGAATTAAAACCATCCTCATTCGGGTATAACAACTGCACCTCAGGGGTCTTAGGACCTATTACTCCCCATTTTCGGTTTCTGTATGCAGTAATTTAGTCTTAGAGAAATTAACCAGATTCAAACAAAAGTATTCCTAACACTCCATTACTTAAACACTTGGAAAAGCACTTAGTGAACCCATCAGCCAATTTGTCTTCCCAGTCCTGTGGAGGGTCTTGCTGGGGGGAAACTGAAGCCAAAAAGGAGGCGACTCACCACAAATCAAACTCCACAGCCAGCGCAGGGTTAGGATCTGCTCCTTCCTTTACGGCTGTGATGCTAGCCAATCTGGACAATCAGGATTTTCCCTGATTCCTAACATCATGCCATCAGTTAAGTCTCTGGCCTGCTCGGGGGCTAGCACACCCCTAGACACCTCCTTCCAGGCACTAGCTAGCCCTGCTTTCCCACTGTCTTTGTTTCAGTCTCTTCAGGGCTGATGTTCTCTTCTACCCAGCACAGCACTGTGCACAACAGGACAACTAATGGAATCACAAGTTTCAATAATTATGTTAGAGGAAATTCCCTTTTCTCAGGATGTGAGGAGGTCCTCCCAGACCTAGCCTGTTTGCTGTATTGTCACCAGAGAAAGGGTGCACAATACCTGGTGAAACACAGACAGATTTTGCTGTCTCATTTGCTTTAATAGAAAATAAGCGGCGCTGCAAGATGTCCTTGTATAGTTAAAAGGACTATGACAAAGTTGAAAATGAATTCCCCTTGCTGCGAAACATCCCAGTCAGCACTTACCAGCTGAAGGGAAAAACAGAGACAGCAAGAACAGCTCAGCCCCACAGGACATTTTTCTGCACTTTCTCTTATTTTCCAGTAGCTTTGCCACGGAGGCATTCCTTTAACCACCACAACACTCGTACAAAACCAGCTGCGTAGTCCTTTCTACCTGTAGCAGAACATTAAGGCCTGACAGGTGGAAGCCAAATTCCCTCAAGCATATGCATATGATGCGTCTTAAATAAGACCACGCAAAAATCATTCTGACCAGAACAGAAGGGACCAGTGAGTTTTCCCCAGGTAACACCAATCCACAGGAGACATGTTACCAAACTAAAGCCTAATTGTCTTAAGCTTTAGGAAATGGGAAATGTAAAACAACTCCATTTGAAGCAAAATGAGCCATTTCAGGTTTCAAAACAGCCCCTTTGTTGAACATAGGCTCTACAGCTGCACACATTACACTAGATTTTTCACTTCTGTTTGCAACTGAGGAGAAAGAAGGACCCTTAACTCTTGGCTTGATACAGCCCTGGATGTTGTCTGACTTAGAGAGGGGAAGAAGGAGCCTGATGCAGCACCTGGAGTCTCCAAGAGAAAAGAGAGCTGACTCCCGAACAGCATGCAGAAAATCCTTCACAAGCAAGATCCCATTTATCTCCACACAGGGCCAGGGTAAAATCAAAAGGGAGCCGAGAGCTTGCGCTGATGCTTTCTGTGTGGGAAAACAAGGCTGTAGTCCCTTCAGGACTCCAGACAGCGCACATGAAAGGGTGGAGACACCTTTCATGAGGAAAAGGAGGCAGAGTAAGGACATGGGAACCAACATCCTGGACCTGACCACAAGAGTCCTGTCACTGATACGAGTTTCTGGCACCCCTCTGGCATTCCGCACACTCCCTCTGCTAGGGCAACCATACATGCAGAGGGGCAATGTTCATCTTTGGTAAAGGCCTTACCCCAGATTACTTAACATGTTTTCAGATTTTAGGATTTTGGGGTTCTCCTTAACTCTGCCCACCTGCAGGAACTTTGCAGGCCTGACTGAAAAGCTTCCCTGCTATGCCCCCAGCACCAGCCTGCAGCTTTCACAAAGTTCCCCTTGGGGAGCTGGCAGATTTCAACCACTTCCTCATAGCTGTTGTCTCTTTTTCAGCTCTTATTCCTTTGCCCAGTTATTTTACTGGATGTTGGGACTGTGCTGGCACAGCTCTTATCTGAGTACTTTCTATTAATGGGCAATCTTGCATCCACGTTTTTAAAACAAAGAAAAGCATGTGCCTGTTTGTGAACACTGCTGGAATACCAGGTAGGCTCCTCTACATGCACTGCCAAGAGCAGAGTAGCTGCACATGCATGATGCTCCTTTACCATTACCTGCAAGATGATCTAATTCCTACTTTATCTTGTGTCCTTATCTATTTACCCAGGAAGTTGCCACCTGCTCCCTTTCTGCACCTGCCTCTTCTTCCCTTGCCCATCCTTGCCCGTAGAGGCAGTTACCTGGGTTCACACACTGTTGTACGCTGCTCAGATACAGCACGAGTGCCTTGGGAAGACACTGCTTAGACTGGACAGGGGCCTTCCCTGCTGAGCCCCACCACTGCTGAGCAGAAACCCTCCAAGCCAAACACTTGCATCCTCCAAAGACAAGAGAAGTGACTTCAAATACCAATCAGTCTGTAAGGTAAAGGGCTATACAAGAGGACAAGTGGGCAAAAAGTACTCTGTCTGCCCAGTGCTTGAGCGAGTTTTGAAAAAAATTCTCTATTTTACATGGAGAAACCGAGGCAGAAGAGTAAATGTGAGCCATTCTGTCCCATGGGCCAAGAAGTGAACATGGACTTGCTAAGTCTCAGCACTACATACATCCTTCAAGCAGGGTGACTGGGGACACAAGCACCCTTGACTTTTCAGTGCACATGCTCAGGATACCCCCTCTTGTCAGTGTTACCATCAGCCACATCTCCCTGGGGCCCAGAAATCTGTTCATAAATCATGTGCTTTAGAAAAGGAAACAAGCTCACAGATGTGCAGGTGCAAAAAGCTGTTTGCTTTCACAAACCAATGCATTTCTGGGCACAGATGGCTGCACGCACAAAGATGACAGGTTCATGATCAAAGGCTGGTTTTGAAGATGTGGCCTATCTGCAATGACATTAAGAAGCTAGAAAGCACACGCCTCTGACCTCAAATGGAAACAAGATCATTAGCTGACAAACACTTCACCAAGAGACCCCTTAGCACTCGGGCAGTTCTAATGATAATTTTCTCATTTAAATGTTATTCTGGTATGTGGAAAGACTGAACACAAGGACAGAGAGAGAATGACCTGATGCAGAACAGCTCTTTGATCACCTGCACCAATAGCTGAAAAGCAGCAAGAATCCAACCTCTTTGTAAGCACTTTGTTTGCTTGGCACCATCAGACAACAGGAAGCAGTGCCTGTGTGGAGAGGCACGTGAGCATACATTGACTCCAGCTCCCCTTCGACCATTTCAAAGTGCTCCCCACTCTCCCTGTAACACCACGTGGCAGCACTTCCTGACAGACATCCAGAGGATCCTTCAAGGACCACAACAACCTGCTGCTGCTCTTGGGAAACCAGCCCAGGGCTGCAGCTTATGACAGTGAAGAGCGAGTTTGCTTAGTTCTTGGTGTGCCCCAGATCTTTGAGCTGAACAATCACAGCTGGAGCTAGCCAGGAAATTTCTGATTAAATTATTTCTTGCTGAAAGAAAAACTGGTGAAACAAAATATTTTGGCAGAAATGTACCAGTTATGATGAAATGTTTTAGCTGAAAGACCTCTTAATTTGGATTTTCTAGTGATGAAAGCATGATGCTGGGGGAGAAAAACCCCACTGAGGAATCTCCAAGTAGCAAGAAAGGAGCTCAGAAGACCCTTAGCATACGAGATACCCTTGTTCAATCCCATCCTCTGCCTACAAGTGTCATCTTTGGCCAGCCCTCACGCACTGCTGACTGACCCAGCAAAGCATGAGAGCAGTCCATATAGAAACTCTGATCACTTCTGAGCCTGTGCCAGGACCTGTCATGTCAGCTCCTCTGCCAAAGCATGCAGGTACTCTGATCTGAAGAATCTGTATGACTCAAACCCCACCTCCTCACCTGCTAAAATCCAGCAGCCTCCTCCTGTTTGGTAAATGCCATTTTTAAAAGCCAAAGCACCTGCTCATCCATGTACCTGCAGAGCTAAACGCAAAAATCCCACCAACCTCATGTAGCACTCATTTAAAAAACACATCCTCTGTGCACAGAGAAGAGCAAACCTGGCAATGCAACTACACATGTGTATTTGACAAGGTAGCAGCCAGCGCCAAACCAGCCCTTAGACATGCTTTAGCCCACTGCAGTAGGGCTTTAAGTACAGATAACCAATGTACCATTCAGACCAATTCCTGTTCAGGACTGGATTCCTACACCAGAAAGAACTGTCCTGGACTGCTCTACTTGACAAGGCCCACACAGCCATCAACTTGTCCCGCTGTCTTCCAAGACAATCAAAAGACATACAGAAAAACGCTGGCAAGGCTTACTTGTGCTCATCCAAAACAGCACATATAGGTGCACCACTGGCAGACTTAGCCATGGTTTTTATTTCAGAGCACTGCAAGAGGACAAACTTTATCCTGGAGTTTTGTACTCCATACCTACACTGCCAGAGTGACAGAATGGTCTTCAGCGAGAGTAGCTGCATTGTAGAAAACCACAGACTTCCAGTAAACATGAGAAGAGGATGCAGGGAGTGCCCCCAACTTTTCTGGGCTTCAAATGTCTCAAGGAACAAACTGCTTCGCTACTGGCTGCGCTCTTAAAAGAAGAAACAGAAATCGATACTTGGCAACTTCTTCAACATCCTGCTCCAGCACTGACACTACTTTTAAATGCGAGCAGCAACAGTGCCAGTTAAACTGTCTCATCCTCTCATCTGTCAAATAACAATAAAAAAAGTGCTACTTTTACATTTCTAATATGTTCCTGCTTGCTAGCTGTCAGGGTAGCTGCTCTGAGGAACGGGTGGCACGCAAGGGGAGAGGATGTGATGAAACTCAGCAGGGGCAGTGCAGAGTTACAGGAAATCTTTTACTTGCTATCTCTGGAAACAGATAAACAACTAGAAATACGCAGGAAGAGAGTTCTCTTTGCTATTATAGACCATCAAAATATACAGCAATGCATTCCCCTATTGCTTTGCATCAGTGGTCAGGTACAATTGAAAAATCTGGTTGTATTACCACCTCTCAGTAATTTACAAAACACAAACTGGTGCTCAGAAACCCTAATTTATATCACTAGATCATCTTTAATAAGCTATCCACCTTCTCACGAGCTGATTATTTATTTTTCCTTATACCTTGATGACAACTTTTTTATTACTGGATTTGCACTCACCTCAGTAACATTCATCACTTTGATTGCTGCTAGCTGCCCAGTCTTCACATGGCGACCCTGTTAAAATAACAAAAGCCTGTAAGTAAAACATGTATGAGAATTATGCATACAGCGACAAATTAAGCATATAACAGCTCGGCAGCAGTACTTGCTTTCAATCACGTCTCAACAACCTTTCAGTGATCCAAAACCACCAAAGTGAAGTTGCGTGATGTGTTATCAGGCCTATATCTTTACCATGCTTTAAAGCTATGCTTTGCAGGGTTGAACTTCCCCCTTTAGCACAAAGCAAGCAGCAATGCTAGGAGATCTCTGCTGTCAGAGCACAACATGGCATGAGTTTACGGGTATCCATCCAACTCCAGTTCAACAGATGCTGCCACCTCTCAAACCTCCTCTTCTAGGATATCACAGCCCAGTCCCAGGAAGACCCAACCAGAACAACCTTGTCCTGCAATCCAGGGCCGCTGTGTGCTGGGGAAGCAAGGTGCTGGGTAGCTGGCACTGTCCCTGCCTTCCCATCCTACATGGTGTGGCTCATCTCAGGGTAGACAGAAAGCTGGGTTTCAGTACATCAATCTGGCAGCCTGTCTGTGGCTGCCAAGAACCTCTGAGCTGTATGGACTGTTTTTATAAAAGAGGGGAAATAAAAAATAAATGTAAAGCCTTTCTTAAATGCTTAGTTTTCAAAATTCTCACTGCAGCTGAGTTAACTGCATCTCAGCTACCTCCCAAAAAAGCATGCAGTGGCTTTGTATTTTCAAATGCAATCTTCTGTGGTGGTGGTGGCGAAGAACGCTCACAGGGCTTTGACTCCCTGCGTGCCTACATCCATACACACTTCATTAGTGAAATGCCAACATACCATGGGCATTATTAAGCAACAGATACTAATTTTAGAGGAGGTAAGTGGGTAGTTTTTTTAAAACACAGCTAGGAAAAGGAAGGTAATAGAAAATGAAGCTATTAAAAGAGTAAACTTCATATAGAGACTGTCAAAATGTGATTCACAAGAATTTATGTTAGAAACACAACCAGGAATTTTGCTGTAAATTGCAGGTTCGTGGCTTGCTTAGATCAAGCTGCTCAAGATATACAGTCTTTTGCCGTGATAACCCCCACTAATCTCATACTGGAGGGTAGTATCAAAAGATTTGTATGAACAGTGTGGTTGGCTACCCATACTAACTCCTCACTTCCATCAAATGCTCAGAAATGGGTTTGAAGCTTTGAGACTGCGGTTTCATTCCTGAAATAGTAGTGCTTGCAAAGCTGTACGTTGAAATAACTGACATCAGTTAAGCAAGCCATAGGAAATCAGGAAATCAAGTATGAAATGCTGAAGTTTGCAGACAACATGATTTGCAGGTGCAATTTACACCTGCAAAATTAAAAGCTGTGTTGATGTCATTTTAAAACCCAGGTTCTATCTGCACAAAACTGCTTACGAGTGTTATTTCTAAGACTAAGCAATTTTGCATCAATGAAAAATGATTCCTCATTCTCAGGCAGTATGTCACAGTCATGTTTTCTTTTACACAAAATTAAATCCTGCTGAGTTTTTGTATCTTTGTAAGTGCCCTCTTTCTGTGGAAACACTCCTGGGATTGCAAAGCTCTTTCTCACACACTAGAATGATAGGATTCAGACATTGTCAGAAGGAAGACAAATGGCACACATGCTCCCCAGGCCAGTGACACATATGACCGTGGCCAAGTGCAGCTGGGAAGTGATGAGTGCCAGTGCTTGGTCAGCATCCATCCCAGTTGACGTCAATCCCGGTTAGGGAGCTTCCTCTGCACAGCCATGGCTCCTTTGTTGGAGGCCATTGTGTGCAAATGTTTCCAGGCATTGAATGTCTTGGCAATATAGTGAGAGAGGGCCTTCCACAACACAGTCACATTAGACATGCTGGCACCCTGACATACCTCCAGAGCTTGGCTGGAGTCAAGTACACTGATGTTTCCATGTCTCTGGCCACCACACTTAGCAGGCAACCAACCCGTCTAAACGATGAGTCTCTTCTGTGCTGCAGAGTATGTCATCAAGAACCAACACTGATTTTCATAATTGCAGTGAAGCATGGAGATGTGCTTCTTTACTGAAAAACTAAATCCATCAATATGAGGCTACCATTGCATTTGGTATTGAATATTCATCAGAATAAGGACACGACAAAGGCTTGACATTCAGTTTTGACTTCAAAGCATGACACCTGGTCAAACTGTCCCTCTGTATAACAGACATCTGTTATTTTACAGATAAGGTTATTGCCACTGCATGCAAACCTGCTGCTCTCACTCACTTTTACCATTATAAATGAGAATACTAAATCCCCCCAAAAGGGTTTGGAAAACTAGCAAAGAAAAACAGCAAGTCCTTTGGTTTTGTGCAAAACAAACACAACAAGTGTGTCGTCCCCCCCCCATTAACTGAGATTCACAACACAATCCTGCTCCTGCATTCCTGAAAGCTCCCATCTCTGCAACTGTGATAACTGCTGGATAAGAGTAGCTTAGGTTGTGCAGAGAGGGCAGGATCACACCCTGTGCCTTGTCTTAATGCCTCATCATCCTCACACTATGCAGGGCTACTGCTAGCCTGAGGGAAACACACAGGGCTGCAGCCAACCATCGCTGCTCACCTGCAATAAATGCTGACTGGGTAAAGCAGCCTTTACATGGCAGCAAATTCTGTTAGATACATGCACTTCAACCCTTATGTTCTTTCAGACTCCTTATCCTGGAACAAAACAGAGAGCAGCTCAATCCACGAGAGAATGTGAACCCTTCTCAAGGGGCAGAAAGAAAAGGAGCAGTAAAAACATTCCTGCTCCCTCTCTCAACTCCATTTATTTTCAACAGCTGTTACCAAATCTTTTGAAAAGTCTTCCACGTTTCCTGGTTGCATTAAGCTGAAGAACCTCACCTTCACCCACCAGCACAACTTTGTGCAGGGTAATGCAAAGGGCTGTGGATTAACCTCATGGAAAGGTGCAAACATACCTATATATTTACATCTGCCTTTCATCAATTGTCTAAAAGGGATGAAGTCATTTAAAAGTGTGTACAAAAGAAAAAGCATCTTGGAGATTGTATCGACACCTGTGTATCTACACAAAAACATTCTCATCATGACATCCTGATCTTACTACCATCTTGGCAGATTTACTTTTCATTAAAGTTGCGCATTTTCCCAAAGCAAAGGATTCACCGTTATCGCATGGAAATACGTGTCAGGAGTCTCTGTACCTGCTAATGTGCACCACAAGCAATGATGCAGACTTGGACAGCACACAGTATCATTTCTGCTTGCCTCTGACATCATCCAAATGACACAAATAAAACTTCTCATTTAAATACTGCCAAAGGAAAAGGGTCAGTCAGCAGAGACAAAATAACCAGAGAAGCCTGGGAACATCCTAAATGTTATTCCTTCTCCTCCCCAGAACTTCACTATCTCTGCAGTAACAAGAAAAAATGAGCTGAAGCAAAGCCCCCCCAACAGCTGACCCAAACACCAGCAGTCCCTGTAAGTAATGGCTGCACACTGGCACCCTACTGAACCTCCCTCCCAAAAAGTGAGTGTGTTACAGCAAGAGTCCACACTAAGAGGGGTGAAGCTTTCAGAGGACATGCATGTTCACATGGAGAAGAACCATTAGCCTGTGCAGCTGATCTGAGCAGGGTAATGTGTTCCACATTACACCTGCTTCAATGCATAGTCTGTGACTCTGCTGACAGTTCAAAACAACAACAAAAAAAACACACAAACCTTTTCAAACTGTTTTGAGCTCATTTTCCTTGACATCTCTAAAAGCAGCAAACATCCTGAAACCAGCCCTGGGCTTTCTGGTTAACACACTGAGACTAGTGCTTAAGTAAGGGAAGGTTTCAAGGACCCAGCCCTTATGTTTTTCATTTATCAATAAATCTCAGTGGTTAGCCAGAGTTCATAGGAACTCACACATTGCTCCTTCTACTGAAGTCACCAAGCTGAGCATGATTGAATTGTTTTGAAAAAGGTGGCATTTTGATTTCCCTAGGAGCAACTGGCTGTTTTAACTGTTTCCAAACCAATGAGATCAACAGATTCACTTGCTTCCAGTGATAAGACACACAGAAGTTCAACCTTTGTGATTTAATCCAAAACGGAAGGAAGAACAAGGCGCATTGCCCTCCAAGCCCTCTGCGCAATTCACTGTTGCCCATCCTCTCCGGATTCAAAATCGTCTGTTGTATATTTCCTCAGAAACTGGGCAGAGGGCAGGAATGGACCTTGGGCCCATTTCCCTAAAAAAAGTTTTTATCGTTCACCTAAATTCTCAGTTTAAAAGCAGATTTCAACTCTGGGGAATGTGGCCAAAACATCCAACAACCATCTGAGAGTCAACCGTATTCCTACCTAAGAACATAGCATTAAAAGCTACCAAGCTCATACAGAGCCTAGACACAAACAATTCTGAACCTCAATGACTTTCTAAAATTGAAGTTCCTGCCTACATGTTGATGGAAGGAATTGTCCTATTAGCTTTGAGTCCAGCTAAATTCCTCATCTCCTCCAGAAAGTATTTCTGCATAAAGATTCTGCTGCAGTTGCCAGTTAGTCACTACAGTAACATCCAGCAAACCTGGGGCCAGCATACAGACCCTTCAACTCTGCATCATGCTCATTGCAGCCACATTTATAGAAGATGCTTAACACCAAAGATCTAGTTCTGACGAGCTGCAACCCTGCATTATCTCTACAAGGAGACTGACATGGAATAGGACAGACCACCCAGTGTAATTTCTATTGGATGCATATTCACCTTGTTAGCTCAGTTCGATAGAGGAACTGCTTATCTATGCCCTCTACAAGGGTCAAGATGTATTTTTGTATCTACAGCAAACAAGAGTATCAGCAGTAGCAGTCAAGAGATTAGCTGATAAAGGGGCTTTACATGAGTTAAGTGTATTTACAGAATTCACACACAACACCTCTTCCTGGTAGGTGCAAACAAAAACTTGGGGCAGTCCCTGGCTTGGGTCACAATTACAACCAGAGACCCAAGGTCC